TAAAAAAAAAGATAGTTTGATTAGTTTCTATCGTTAGCAAAAGGGGAGCGGGGGATACTTAGCCGATTATAATCTAGTATCGTCTATAGTAGAGTCCTCTGCCCCGTCTTACGTAGTAACGCGAGATTAGGTAATACCTATAGTGCGCTTGCCGTTAGCGTTGCGCGAATCTAGAGGCTACGTATACGAGGTATCTCTCTTCTTAGGTACGGGCGGGAAGGTACGCTATAGTAGAGGCTAAGGGGTATATATAGGTGCTTTCCCGAATTTTGGGGTTAGTACTAGCTTCTTTCGGATATTATACGCTAGGTCTAGATCTTAACTATTAATTAGCGATAGTATATAGCTCGCTAATACTACCTCTTACTTTATACGGAAATCGGATACAATCTAGGCAAATATACTAAATTTTCCTCGCTTTTGCGTCAATTGAGGCGCGTAATTAAGCTACGCGACTATCTATACAAGCCAATTGCTAAAGGGCACAAGATAGCGTATTAGACGAGACAAGTTAACGCAAAGCTATCGAGCATCGGTTATAAATCCTAGAAGTAGGGCATTATCCTTATTATAGCGGACGAGAGAGATAAGGCTAATAGTAGCTTCTCGTCCTTAGACCTTAGCAGACGTCTTAACCTATAGCTAATTCGCTAACTCCGTATTCTGCAAGTACGCTAATAAGTAGCTCTTAATAATACCGGCCTACTCCTTGTACGGCGTAATAATAAGGAAGTCCGAAGGCAAAATCTTACGACTACCTTTAGGGACTTCGGCACCGAGCAAGTACTTTATATAGAAGGCGACCGCCTAAGCCTCCGCTATATTATACGACGAGCCGGAGGCCGATTTCACCTTATAGGCGCTATTAATCCTAGAAACGTCGATAGCAAATCGCAAGCTTCGATTACCGGCTTCTAGAGCGTAGTATAGCTTTAACTTAGCTAGCGCGTGCTCTAGCGTAATATCGATAGCGTACTACTAAACTACGGTAGAATAATCGACTAACTTACCGTCGTAGAAGACTTCCGAGATTATCCGAGAGATCTAAGGAGCTATACGACGCTACTCCGTTAGCATATCTTTCTTAGTAAAGTCGGGATTCTTATAGAGCTTCTAGAAGATCGACGTTAGCGAGCATCGTATACTCTTATTAGCACCGCGTAAGATCGGTAGTAGGCCCTACTACTTATAATTACTAGCAAAGACCGCGGCGAGAAGGGTCTCTCTAAAGAAGGCCGTACTAGTAATAGTATCCTCGAATTGTCCTATCGCAACCTTATCCTAGTATAATAGCGTAGGTCTAGCTCCCTCTACTATCTTATTATAGGCGGACGCGTTGTTCGTATAGAATATAATATCTATAGTCTCTAATACTCGACCTTCCTAGACTCGGCGATTATTCCTTAGCTACTAAGTGCGTTCCTTTAGATCGTCTAGAGATAGACTCGCGCGATACTTCTTACTAACCGATCGCGCAACGTCTTAATATTCTAAGGCCTCCGTATAGTACGGGCTGTCCGCATTCTTAACGCAATCCTTAATAAACGGTATAGTCTAATTATATAGGTAGAAGTCCTATAGCTCTAAATTAGTATACGTGCTCCTTACGAGAGAGTCTACGATAGCCTATAGTAACCGCTAATGCTTATTATAGATGTCGTCGCGTATAGTCGCCGATTCCTTAGCCTTACGAGTATACCTACCTTAGAATAGAACAACTCGAAGCTTGCCCTTAGCGTTGTAGGTCTTATTAAAGTTCTTATATAGATTCTATACGGCCGGGTTAGTAGGCGCGCACGAGAGTACTTAGCACTTTAGAGCCCCTAGAGCCTTACTAGCTATAATATAGCTATAAGAGATAGCGTTTATAGTATACGACTTGCCCGTACTAGGCGGACCCTAAATTAAGGTTAGGCTATCTCGAGAATAGAAACTCCTTAATATAGATTCTATCTAGCCTACGTTTAAGCTGAATCTCGCGATCGTATTCCTAAACGACGTCTCGGCCGTCGGACTATGCTAGCGGCTAAGCGCAAGCCCGTTCTACTACTAGATGCTTAGTATAGCGCCTAGAAGCTAACGAGCGAAGTCGACTCCGGTCGTACGCTTAACGCCCTTCCCGAGCTCGACTTAGCGCCTAGTTCTAGCGTACCGCGCTTGTAGGATCTTGCTTAAACTTTATCGAGATCGTATAAGCCGCCTAAGGTAGGTTAGCGCTACCGCGCTTAGGCTACGCAAGAATATACGCCGTAGGATGCGTAGCGAAGATGTCGGTAGAGATCTCTCCGATAAGCTTTATGCCCTTAAACGGACCCTCTTCGTAGATAAATACCTCTACTCGCGTTCTAGTAGCGGGCTAGTATCGCTTGCTCTTCTTAACCTAACCGCCTACTTCTTTCTCTTCCTTATCTTTAAGGAAGATCTTAAGCTATAAGCTAGCGTTAGTGTCGCTCGTCTATAATAGCGTAATACGAGCCGATAGCGTCTTAGTCTCGTTAATTCCTTCGAATGTATCTTTTAGGAGATACCCCTCGTAGGCGTATATACGCTAGGCCGCGATCCGAGCCTCGATAGACTTAGTCTCTACGTCTAGGCAATGCTCGATATCCGTAAACGATGCCTAGCCCTCTAGAGTAAAGTTCGCGATCTAGCCTTAAGCATCGTACTTAAGTCTCTACGTCTTAACGAGCTAACGTAGTAGTAGTACTTAGACGAACGGAAACTTTAGATTTATAATGTCGGTATTAAGAAGTCGTGCCTATCGACGATAGTATAGGAAGTTGCCGTTAGTAGCTGTATCTTTTATAGCCTTACCCTACTAGTCCGAGAAGTTTTAAAATACCCGGAAACACGAGTTATTCTTAGGCCAATAGCGGAAGATAGAGAACTCTTTACTATAATAGAGCCGAGCGATAAGCTAATCCGTACGACAGATATAGTTACGATCTTCTTCTCTCTTATGCATTTGCTAGTAACCTACTAGTTCCGGCAGGTTTAGGCTTAGATCGCCGTAAAATTTAGGGCGGCGAGGAGATATACCGAATAGCACGTCCTTATTAACGACGACTGCGTATTAACTAGTAATCGTAGCAGGATTAAGTCTAAAATGAATCTTACTAACGCTATTCTCCTTATAGTTATCGCGGAAGGACTTATAAGCTTACGCCTAACGCGTAACTATATCGGGATCTTCGCCCTAGTATATCTTAAACCCGATCGCGTCGATATCGTTCGTTCCCTAGATCTAACGAGCGATATCGTTAGTATATACGAAGACTGTAACTAAAGGCTTCTTCGCTCCGGTATAATTAATACGGCTATTAATCTTTAGCTTGAACCCGGGCACCTACGAGTATATAATAGGCGTAAAGGAGATAATCGGCTCGCTATTATCTAGGTAATCTTTGCGCGGCGGCGCAAGTAAACTAAAGAAGTCTAGCGGGCAGTCTCTAGTACCTAATAATCCGTATAAAGAAAGATCGCCGACTACAACCGCTGCTTGCGCTTTATTAGTATACAGGATCTGCTTGCTATCGGCTTTACCTTAGGCCTTCTTGCGAGTATTACGCTTTCTAGCCTTACGTAGCTAAGCTAAAGACCCCTATATAGCCTTGCCTAGCTAAGCTAAAGACGCCTAAGGTAAAGGTGCACTCGCCGTTGCCTCTAGTCCTATTATAGGGTCTAGAGCATCGACCTTCTATATATTAGCCGACAGTGCCGGGAGCGGCACAAATTCAGCTGCAAACTTAGAGGTATCGGGTCGTACGGCCTTCCAGTATCTGCCGTAGATGTATCCGAGATATAGCGGATATAATCTGTCGCTATAGGACTCTACGCCCTACTTATCTACCGGCAAGTTCTTAACGATGCGATAGTTTTCCTCGAGCGGCGTAATCTAGGTACTCTTTACTTTAACCTCCTCTTTCTTATTCTCTTCTATTTCCGAATTAGTCTCTAACTAATCGTTATTAGACTTCTCGCCGGGACGGAGGTGCGGCGTATTACCCTATCCCGCGTTACTTATATTAATATTAGTAGCGCCGAACGCTATAACAGCTAATCCTGCGATAGCGGGAGAGCTTAGGTCTATTTCTAAAGCTATTTTATGTTTGTATATAGGCGAAGCATATACGCGGTGCCTTAAGCCGGGTAGAAAGGGAAGAGGGGGTATATAAAAAGCGAAAAAAAAGCGGTAGAAGTCGCGAAAAGTCGCGAAAAGTCGCGGAAACTTAGGGCTATAAAGAGGTTAGTAAATAAAGCGCCTCCTATCGCTCGCTAGACGACAACGTACCTAGTTCGCAGCTAAAAGAGGTGTGCGTAGAGGTCGTACTCTGCTAGCTAAAGAGAGATTAAGCGCGCGTAGCAAATTTTCAAAACACACTAAACGTATACCGGGACTTCCCGCTCGGTAATACTACAACTCATAGACGCAAACGGCTATAAGTTACGGCCGAATAGTCTACGTCCGTAGGAAGCTCGATACCTTAATTAACAAACTCGCGAACAGGACTGCCGAGAAAAGGCTGCTAGCGCCTATCGTAGGCCGAATAGTTGTTATATAGTAGAGCGAATAGTCTAGCAGTATCCTTTATTGTTATTTTACCTAAGACGGTAGTTACGACACTTCTACAGCGCGGTTATTAGCAGTCTTCGATTACGATTCACTTACTAGCTACTCGTACTCTAGACATAATCTCGCTAGATTAATTCGGTTATCGATATACATTTCGCAGCTATAGTAAATCTGTCCTACCTGCTATACTATCCGTCTAAACAGCCTTCGAAGTGCGATATAGATTAACCGTAAAGAGCCTATAGCTAGCGTTAGTAAGATGTTTAAAAACGATGTTGTTTGCCTAGATATACTTCCTAGCTAATATAGAACTACTATTGTTATCTCCGGCCTTCCCTAGGCTAGACTTGTCTATTCTATATACGTTCTTTGCCTTATCCCGACTTCTCCTTCGATATCTCTTTCCTTTTTAGATATACAAATCTGCCTACTCCTCCAACTTTGCTACTTATGCAAATAAAGATCCTATATATCTCTTGTATCTCGCGCTACTACGACTAACGTCCGATTGTTAGAGTTCTTACCGGTCTATACGAGAAGGTCTTTAAACTCGATTAGTATATAGAGTCGGCTCTACGGAACGTTTGTAGATTACTAGGAGTCCTTAGTAAAGATACTATACGACTCTCCGGTAGACTGTAAATCATAGTGTTAGTGCAGATTACTATTACATCCTCGACTAACAACGGTAGTATGCGTTGAGCCTCGGATAGGACGCTAAGCATATATATATGCTAGTAAGGAGGAAGGTGAAGTCGGAAATATATACTAGCTATAGCTAAGCGCGCCCGGATAAGTCAGCTAGCGATGTTAGCCGCCTAACCGCCCTTTCTTCCTTATATATACACAAACACTATAGACGATACGCCTAAGGCTGCTATCGAGCCGTATAACTTACTACGAGATTACGGGTCGGAGAATGCTATAAATTTTGCCGCGACTCGTAGTACTACGGATGTCGGAAATCTTACGGCATTTTGTACGCGGACAACGAAATTATACTAAGGAAGCTGAATATTACTCAAGTATATAGCGATAAGTAATAGTAAAGTATAGCGTAATAGAAATTTGTTAAGGGTACCGTTAACCGCTCGAGATAGCTACGTATAGTATTAGTTTAGGATGTCGAGCATCTATAAAGAGCTATAGAACGATAGCCGAAAGAGCTTAAGGATGTTAAAAATCGCTTAGAATTCTTAGAAGAGGAGGATACTAAGGATCTCTCGAGTTAGCTATAGACGGAGCCGGCGTTATACTTAAGCATAAGGATAGCGAATATCTCTTATAGCGGCTTTTAGCCTAGAGGGATTCGTAAGATACCTATTGTCGAATCTTATAAGTAGCAACAGCGGCGTACTAAAGTTAGTAATAGCGTAATATTATTCAAACCTATACCGATCGCTAGCAATTGAGGAAGCTGCGGGTTTATCGTAGGTAAGGATTCTTAGTAAACCAATCGGGCGGTAGGCATAAATTGGATCGGCTATATTATAAGGATACAAAAATCACTTAGACTAGGTTCGAAAGACGTCTACGATCTAAGAAGCATCCCTAAGGATGTCGTATATCGCTTAGTCTAGCTATCGGAGGTCGTAGCGGTAAAATAAGGAAGTCGATTATTACCTAAACTAGTATTCGTACAAGCGAGGGCCGTTAGTACTAGACGGAGTAATACGGCAAAACACTTATAAGGATGTCGAATATCGCTCGAGCGGTATAGCGGACGAAGGAAGACTTATAAGGATATCGAATATCGCTCGAGCGGTATAGCGGACGAAGGAACACTTATAAGGATATCGAATATCGCTTAAGTAGTATAGCGGACGAAGGAATACTTATAAGGATATCGAATATCGCTCGAGCGGTATAGCGGACGAAGGAATACTTATAAGGATATCGAATATCGCTCGAGCGGTATAGCGGACGAAGGAATACTTATAAGGATGTCGAATATCGCTCGAGCGGTATAGCGGACGAAGGAATACTTATAAGGATATCGAATATCGCTCGAGCGGTATACCGGACGAAGAGCGTTAGCTAAGAAGAAAGAATATAGGGTTGTCTAATACAATAGAAAGAAGGAAAGACTATACGCCTAGCTAGATAGAGATTCTACTTATACGATTAGCACACTCTATTAATTAAAGGAGACTTTATAATACGTAAGCGCCTAAGAGTAGGAGGTCTATATTCTTTTATTATCTAGACCTATTGTACTTATTGCTAACATTAGCTGCTATTATAAGCTACTAGCCGATAGTCGCGCGGAAACATACTTCTAATAGAATCGAAGAAAAGATAATACGCGTAACTACGCGACGCAAATAGTACACTATACCGATTAAAGGAGACTTTATACTACGCGAGTATATTAGAGCTAAGTATACTTTGCATTAAAGTATATCAAATGACTAATACGACACTATTAGTAAACGTAACTTTCTCGTAGTCTAAAGGGCAGTTACTAGATTTGCTACTTTGTCGAGCGATAGAGGAAGGTGCCTTCCTAAGAAGAGGCTTAGCAGAATTCGACTTTATATAGTATTAGGCTAGGCCTAAACGTCCTTTCTCCTTATATCCGACACGCTTTTATAAGTGTATTATTGATTTCAATTCCTATAAGAGGCGTTACGCCTCTATTTACTTACTCTTTTCTCTACCGCTTACGCGGTTTTACTATTCCCGGCTTAAGGCGCTACGTGCGCGCCTCGCCTATATCTAAATTAGACAATGTTATCTTCGTATAGATACGCAGACGCTTCTAGGCGGACTCGTAGTCCTACTAGCCGGACGGCTAGGCGAGGAGATAGTAGAGTTAAGTCCTTATCTCGATATAAAGGCTCTAGGCTATCGCGTCGTACGGACGCGAGCTTAAGAACGTCTAGGAGGTCTCGTTCGCTATACGACTCTCGATTAGACCGTCGATAGAGGCGAGGGTCTCTAGTAGCGGTACGTAGAAATAACCGTTCTCGAGAGAGACGGTTAGGTAAGTATACTAGTAGTCGTATAAGATTACTAAGACGGTTGCCGGACTCTATTTATTATAGTGCCCGACGAGATAATCGCGGCCGTAGACGAGGTCGTTCTCTAAGTCCTGCTAATAAGAATTACAGGTTCGATCGATACGTGCCTTTACGAGCTAACGATAGTAGATACTATCGAAGCGGATACGACAAGTACGTTCCTTTACGTACTAGTAGCGATAGACATCGCAACGATTCTAGAGACAGATCGTACCGGCGGAGATCTCTAAGTACTAGACGCGATATAGGGCGAGCTTAGCGGCGTAAACGCTCTCTAGTTCGTAGGCGAGGCTCGTAGAAGACGTTAGGTCCGGGTCGAAACGGATCTCTAGATGCTAGCCCTAGACCTAATCGGCCTGTATGTTAGAAACGCGCTAAGATTATATAGGGATAGGATGCTACTACGGAGAAAGGTAGAGTATAGCGAGAATAGAAGATCCGTAAAGGAGAGGTTAATACAGTGTCGAAGGGACCTACTACTCTACTAATCTCTAAGTTTGCTAATACGAAAGCTTTACTAACGCTAAAAGCAGCTAGCGTAACGGTTGTATAGCTCCCGCCCGTTACTACTACGTAGATACCGGCAGTACTACTAGCGGCATTACCGGTAGTTAACGAGATAGAGACAAGTGCCGACGTCTTCTATATAGACGATAGAGACTCGCTTATATAAGAAGATGTCGCAGTATCGAATCCTAATAATAAGTTGTTTATAACGGATAATAACGAGGAGGCTAAGTTAAGCACTCTATTAACTATATAGAAGAGCGTACTAGTCGTAGGATTATCGCAGAAGGATACTATAGTCCTAGACTATAAACTAGAGGATCTAGCTCTTACTAGGAAAAGGTAGAATAAGTACAACTTAGACTTCGCCTACTAGAATATACGCTAGATCTCCTTCGAGTAAGGACTAAATCCTAACTCGAAGCAGGATAAGGACGGACTATTACTGCCGATTACGAGACCGCTCGCTCGCATTATCGCGACTTACCTTAAGCAGAACAAAAAGGATAACGGACTCCGGAACTAGGGCGATCTATCGTTTCCTAAGAATACGGTCTTTTTAATAGACTATCTATAGAACGACTATCGTCTTAGCGGGCTAAGTTTGCGCACCTAGAGTAAATAGTATCCGCTAATAGGTAACTATAACAGTAGCGACTACTAGCTAGATAATATAACGATTTCGGACTTTATCTTGCTCGATAGTTACAACTTCGTACCGGGAATCGTCTACTTCTCGCCCGTTAAGTTACTCCGCTAGCTTCTAGACGATAAGATAGAAGTCCGTTAAAATCAATTATAGGACACGCTCGCGCTCATCGACCGAGAAGGCTAGGATAAGCAGCAGAATTACGCCGTATACATCCTAGATGTGCCCGCAAACAGTAAGGCTATAGCAGGTACTATGTTAAGTAACAGCTATTAGAGCTCCTTTAATGTCGACTTTGTAAATAAAGTTATTATCTTAGCTAATTCGCTTAGAGGTATAAAGCGTAGCGGAAAGTTAGAACAAGCTATTCGGATTATACTCGAGCTTGCTTCGAAGAAGCTAGACTTTCTATTTAAGGATGCTTATACCTAGCCTTCTCGAGAGGTACTATACACTCTATAGCCGAATAACTACGAGTGCGGCTTCGCTACGATCGACAATATACGACACTTTATACGCGAGGAGCCGATTATAGTAAAGATAGGGCAGTAGGTAAGGTAGCACTTCGTCGAGCTACGTATATACTTAATACAAGAAGGTAGAAGACAGTAGCCTGCGCTATAGCATATCTTTGAAAGCATATCAAGTTAGTAGCCTTCGTCTAAGAGCAACTCGGCTAGTAAAGGTGCTTTATTCGCGAAGTAGCCTATCGGTAAGAGTGCTCTATCTACTAAGAAGGATCTACTAAGCAAGGGTAATGCTATTAAGGCGTTGTCCTAGCCTCTACTTAATAGCAAGCCGAAAGAATATACTCCCCGGTAGAACGCTAAGTTCTATGCCTCGGCAGATTTACCTGCGGCTAACTTTTAGAGGGCAATTAAGAGGATTTATAAGACTAGGAAGGTATTGTCGACAAAGTCTATCTCGGATTAGACTTTAATAGTGCTTCGCTAGATCCTTAATACCTACTTTTCGGGCGATACGACCCGATTAGATGCCTCTAAGACAATTAGTGTCGTAGTTAATGATACAGCCCTAGATAAGATAATCTAACTTACGGCTAGAGGAGTTGTTAGTCTAGCACCTATATTCTAGTTAGTCGACGACTTAGTTTTAGCTTTAGTCCGAATATACGTACTAGACCGAGTAAGAGGAAAGCTCGCCGTTAGAGTTCTAACTAAAGTCGCTTATTAGATAATGTCTAAAGATGCCGTTAAGCAGATTATAGAATACGGCTTTAGATTTCCGTTCGCACTAACGGAAGACACAACTGAAGCCGCTTTAGTCCTAAACGAGGCTAATATATACTAGGAGTTCTTTATAGCTCGTCGAGAGTTATATAAGATCGTAGTCTTCGACTTATAGCACTTCGATCGTTCTAAAGTAGAATAAAAAGCATTCTATCGTCGGTAGGTCGAAACGATTTTAACTACTCTATTCGAGAAGTTATACGGGTCGGCCTTCTGCTCGCCGTCTTAGATAAGTACAGTCGGTCGTTAGAAGTATATATAGGCCGATACTGCTTTTTAGAAGAATTATAACGACTATGCTATTTACGGAGTGCAAAATCTCGTAGAGTACGTCTATCTCGATATAGTAAGGACTTCCTAATTACGACTAGACGCCGCGGCGTATCGAGCTGTATACGCTCGTCGCGTAGAGAAGATGCTCGTATAAGGCAATACGAGCGGCTATAGTTAGCTAGATTACGACGAGACGCTTATAGCGCTTTATAAGACTAGGGATATTAACTACTCTCCCGACTCCTCTTTAGAATCCGGCAACGGGAGCGATAACGCAAATAAAGACGTAAAGATAGACGATAGATCGTAGAATAGCGAGGGTAAGGACGATAGTACCCCTTAGTAGGAACGTATCTTCTTCGCAGATATTTAGCTATATAACGGAGAAGTCCTACTCTTAGAGCTAAGGCGAATTGCATACGATATCTTGCTTCGCGACTTATAGGGCGAAGCGACGCTCGAAGCCGACATTATCGCTAGAGTTATCGAAGAGATCCGATATTCCGTAGACATCGAAGACGAGAACTCCTTAAGAGATCGAATTAGCACGGTACTATTAAAGAGTGTTCAGACCTTTCTAAGGTATATAGATAGTTAAAATACTTTCTATAGCCTCTATCCTAGCGTCGGCAGACAAGTAGGTATATCTACTCTCTAGTACTTGCTATCCGACCTAAGAGAAGCGCTAGATCTTTAAGACGCTATCGACTATACGCTACGACTAATTATCTCCTAAGTACGGAAAAGTACGGTACTTAGAAAGATTAAAGATTTCGAAGATCTAGAAGGCCGTACGTTCGATTAAGTTCGCGCGTTTTATAGGAACTTTAGTACGACTAGTAGACTCCCTAAGAAAGTTACATCCTAGGTAGAGCTACGTAACAATATAGACTAAGTCTCGTAGATTCCGTATACGTATTTAGGCAGTTCTAGAAAATAGTTCCTAGACCCCGAGGACGAAGGACAATCCGGACGTAGCGGCAATCTAGTACGTAGTTTACTGTCCTAACTCGCGGACTCCGTCGAATAGTATAACCGCCCTATCGAGATTATGCTACTTTAGTCCGGACTAGACGGAGGTTCAACTAACAACGATATATAGTAGTATCTTTGTAGCACTTATCCGATACTTAAATTCCGTCTTACTATCGTCTATAGCACTTCCCGCGTCTAGAATTCTAACCTCTTTCGGATAGATAGAGAGGAAGCATAGGCATCCTTCGATATTAATAAATTAGCTAGGCTGTACACTAATGCTTTAACCGACAATAGTACAGATCCTAACTAGCCGGAGTACTATTTCCTCCTTGCCGTAACAGTCTGCGATTACGTGCGATAGGATTACTATAGGTTAGTAGGCGACAAAGTTGCTATACTTTTAATAGGACGTATACGAAAGATATTCCCGCTAAACACTAGCGAGCAAGAATACGAGATCTATTACTAGAAGCAAACAGAGGGCAATATTGCTATTAAGACAATGCCGTTAGATAGAATTTAGTCTCGAGGGATATTAAAGCTATTAGCTCTTCGCTATAACGCGCACTTAGAAGCGGAAGTTGTAGCCTTCGACGGATACGAATTATTTAACGGATTCCTATACCTAGCGTATCGACGTCGATTTAATACCGAAGGAGACCTAAAGACATATAAGAGGTTAGCTTATAAGAAGTGCGAAAACTGCCCTATAACATTTACGATCTAAAGCAATCTAAAGAGGTATATAGTAACAATTTACAAAGGAATTAAAAGGGAAGCCGGCCTTAACCTAAAACCTTTTAAGTGCGAGAACTACCTTAAGGCATTTACGTTAAAAGGAAATCTAACGAAGTATATAGTAGCAAGTTACAAAGGAACAACGAGGGAAGCCGGCTTTAACCTAAAACCTTTTAAGTACGAGAACTGCCCTACGGTATTTACGTTAAAAGCAACTCTAAAGAGGTATATAACAATAAGTTGCAAAGGAATTAAAAGAGAAGCCGGCTTTAACCTACAACCTTTTAAGTACGAGAACTGCACTAGTGCATTTAAGTACAAACACGACATAAAAAGGTATATAGCAACTTATAAGGGAGCAAAGAGGGAAGCCGATATTAGCCTAGAGACTTAGAAGTGCAGATATTACGCTCGAGGATGTATACAGAGTTAGTATATAAAAAGACACGAAGAATTATACAAAGCAAAGAGGTAATACAGACTCTGTACGCATCGGAGATTCGGAGTGATAGTAGATACTCTGGTATCCCTGCATTTTCATAGATTTGAACGAATAGCGCTGCTCAGAATCGACGGTCCGCGTTTAGTGACTAGCACTCCGATGCGTTCATACGCTGTATCTCGTGATAATGATCACCACCGCACGCCCGCGCACTACCTTGCTCGGTTGTGTGCAGACACCGTCGCGATCCTGCACAGCCACAATGTGCCGCGGCGGCTTGTTCCGTTTCCGTCCTGTTTGGTTCTGGGCACTGCTCCTCACCCCAAGCTGACGTGGTCTTGCAGTGAGTCTTCTGACCGGGAGTCGATCTCACAAGAGCATACGGCAGCTCTCACGAACACTCTGCCTGACCATAGCTTGTCCCACAATATCCATGAGACTCGCGCCAGCCACACCGTGGGCGTCATCACTGCCCACGGGCCGTTCGAGCCCGGAGTTGGCGTTCCGGCGGTTGAGTTGGCGTGCTCTTCAAACCACAAACTCCACGCCAACACCAAACACCCTGTCCCAACCGGAGCTGGAACCGACGGTTTGGAACAATTCCTTCATGCCTACGGCGAGACTTCGTAGCGACAAGGCATAACGACGAATGACGATCGAATCCATCTGCAAGACGTTGAGCAAAACTACCAGTGCAAGAATAGTGAGCTTGCGAAGCAGTTGATGTTACTCTCCAGGTACCGTTGTCAGTGCCTGTATCAAAGCACTTGAAACGCGCTTGGAAAGTATGATCCCTACCCATACCTACAACACCCATGTCAATAACTGTGCAGTGAGCTCAGAGTTTGCCACAGACTGATGGCTGCCGTGCTGCCAGCACAGCTCGCTCACGCACACCGTCGGCATCGGCACTGTTGTGAGAGGAACCGATCAATGAATTTCCGCCATTGGAGACTACATGACTCGTTGGCTTTCATGTGAGGCAGCAGGCTGCATGACAACCTCTTGCAACGCTTCATGTACGTCTTGGCTGTGAGGTGTGTCACGATTAGCCTGCGAACAGTGTGACAACGCTGGGCATCCCGGCCCGTGTTGTCGTATACATAGGGGAGGTAGACCGACTGCTGCCTTTCGTTCGGCAGCCGAGTGGCAAAGACTGCTGCCAACGCTTTCAACCCTCACAGCCTCAAACATTCCGTAGCCTCCGAATGCACAATGATGATCCCATCACGAAGCGCACGTTCGCGAGGACCATCACGGGAGCACCTTTCGTAGTCGAGAGCGTGGACTGACATCTCTCAGCAGGAAGGTCATGCCAGCGACGACGGCAGGCAGGCGCGTACAGATGCACTTCGCCAGCCTCTCAATTTGTAAAGTCAAGATACTGTCTCAAGATGCCACGCTTAGAGGCTAAAAGTCTTCATCCATTGGGCGAATGTTCTCCTGCCGAGGAGCATACATTTCGGAAAGCTGGCTGCATCCGGGCTGGTTGCGAACGGACGTCTGTTGACCATGAACCTTGGACTCGAAGCTCACTTCGTTGGCAGCGCTAGCGCTTCTCGCTGGCGTCGCGTTTCTGGAGCCCGTGCGCAAGATGTTCGTGTGCTCGAGGAGATTCTTGCTGCTGCTTGTTCTCCACACTGCAGGCGGAAATCCTCCAGCAGAAGCAGGATAAGACGCTCTTGCGGGGTCAGCTATGCTTCCTGGTGGCGAGTTACAGGTCGAGCTGGTGATCGAGTTGCTTCGATTGGAGCCGTCGGCCACTTTGATAGCAGTGAGCAGACTAGAGGCCGAGTCTTCCCTTTCCTGCCTTGGTCTAGCCTTCGAATTGAAGACAGGAGTCGGAATCCTCGATGGAGGCCGTCCATCTGTGGGAGGAAGTGAAGCTGAGCCAGGAGCTGAAGCTGGCGGGCTCTGAGCGACTGGAGAAAGAGGTTGCTGCATGGTGGGCGAAACAGAGCGATCTAGAGCTGCTGTCTTTGCGGCTTGTTCATTTAGTGCAGCAAGGGAGACACTCTTCTTGAGGATTCTGTCTTTCACAGCTTGGGGAAGGTCGTGCTGTCGTCTCGAAGCATCAGTGTCATCTTGGACAGCTCTCGAATCATCGCCTGGCTCGAACGAGAAGCGCCTTGTCGGCGCTGGAAACGATGCTGCCAACGTATCCACCGTCAACTGCGGCTTCAATCGATGGAAAAATCCGGATGCTTTCGACATGACCGTCTTCTGCTTTGAACTGCTTCTTTCCGGCCACTTTGCGGAGCCTGCAGGCTTTGGTGATGCTAAATCGAAATTGACGGGCATACTCGCGTTTCTTCTGCCAGCTTCTCCATTCGCGTCGAACATGTCCAATAGTTGTGGTAGCACATTGGATGGGTCAACATTGCGACGTCTTGCCACAGCGTAGGCAATTTGCTCAATGGAAGAGAAGTCGTCTGCGTTTGCTGACCGCGGCGGGCCAAACGTGATTGTCTCATCGGGAAGCGAAACTCCCTCGCAGCTGAATGTTGAAAATGTGTCATCCGAGGTCGATATGGTGGAAGAGGTCACTGCTCGCTTCCGTCCCTGTCGTCTAGCTTGTTTCTCTAACTCAGACGCATTTGTTAGCGAAAATCTGGTATCAACTGGTGGTGTTCCGAAGGGAAGATCCGCGTGGATATTGGTCGTTGATTTCTTTGGAGCCAAGCGCAACGACATCCGCTTGTCCTTGTCCGATGGCGATTGCAAGATCGGTGCCTTCATCATAGCTATTTTGGCGTCAGCTGGAGAAAGTCGAGGATGCCATTAGGCTCACCTCTCTGACCGCTCCACGCGGCATCTTCGAAGCATTTCGTCTTCTCGAGGAATTCGAATACTGTTTCTTTCTGGCTGCCCACCCGCGAACTACGAGTGCGAAGCTTGCTATCCTGTCTGGCGAGCGTCACCTCTGCGACGCCACGTTTACTGTTTTTGGCAAGCAGGACCTCGAGGCGCTTAACTTCCTCTCTGTAATCATTTCGTTCTTCGATCCAGTCATGTTCGGCCGCGTTGAATTTCGCAATGAGGTCCTGGGCAGAGTCGAGCTCAGCCTCTAGCTGTCGCTGCAGCTGAACTTTCTCGTCTCTAAGGCTAAGGTATTCTTCAAAAATGGCCATGAGCGAGCTGTTGTGCTGGACATCGAGTGGCGCGTAGGGGTCTGCCATAACACGACTCATTACAGAGTCTATCATTTGCTCCGCCTTTGGGTCCGGATACAGCTGCTCTAGAGGCCATGACGGCAGTTCCGCGCCAATAGGCCCAAAAGCCCCCTGCAAAGACGATTTCTGATTGTGTCCAAAGTAGGACGATAGTTTCGGCTTCAGCTTGCGCTTTGGCGTGGTTGGCGAGAAGTAGTCATCCGACTCATCTGGCTCGTGTGGGGTGTATGGAGTCCGAGATCTGGTCGGCTGTATTCTGCGCCGCCATTGCTGTATGTCGGCCATGGTGGCGCTGCTTGTGGGTGCAGATTTGCATTCTGGTGGTGGACGAACGGGACTGGGAGGTGAGGCTGGAATTGGCTTTGTTTACGACTAGCCTAGCGTGCTTGCCGCCGAAGTTGAGTGAAGGCAGGAGCAAAACGGGCATCGGACCGACATGGCAACGACATGACAAGAGGCCGTCGTTCTTGTGAACATACAGCTGTCATCTCCCAGCACTAATCAGACTACATCATATCATTCATGGGTATCTCGTGTGTACAAAATCAAAAACCACCACCTCTCACGCCTTCCTTCCACTCTCGCGCGATGGCCTCTTCTTATCACTCTCTTTGGCCTCCCGCTCAGCAGACCACAGCTTGAAATGATTCCAGGCAAACTCGCCCTCGCCCGATGCCATCCCTGTATTTGCCCTTGCCTCCTCAGCTTGGCTCTGCATTACACGATCCATCTTCTCTCTCCCACGATCCACCAGCACCAGCAGCTGTTGCTGATGCTCAGAGAGGTCTCGATTTTGAGCCTCGGCACGGGCCTTCTCCGCGTATGCTCTCTTTCGAGCGGATTGGTAATGCATGAGACTTTCAGCGCCATTATCTTCCCTCCAGAGCACGAAGACTCTACCGGTGGGAGACACAACAACGCCGTCAGCCGCCTTCGCCATCCTGATGAGCTCTTTTCGTGGAATAGGCGCAGCCACTGGGATTGCAGAGTTCTTGAGGGCCGAATGTCGACGGTTGTTAGGCGGGACACCCTGCCGTATTGGCTGCGTGACTACTAGTTCTCGTGCGCCGTTGTCATCATATGTGCGATGGAATTTACGGAAAAGTGTAGGCTCGTCGCTAGTGGTGGCCAATAAGGTCGCCTCTGCATGCGCATGTGCATCGATTGCATCTTGAGATGATGTCGACGAGCGTTCCTGTGGCTCGCTGCTGACTGGGGGAAGACCCTCCACAAGCTTGAAATTAGCAATCGTGCTAGTCTGTGCATCACAATCGCAAGGCGGATGATCATCTGATTTCACTTTCTTCTTGATCGCTCTGTTGAAGCGTTCTGCGGCGCGGACAGGCGCTGCATCTGAGGAAGAGACGTCGGCGGTAGTATAACCCAGTCCAATTCGAGCCACCGTTATTGATGCGGAGGAGCTACTTGACTGGTCATGTTGCTGAGGCATGATTGACTGCTTCACTGTCCAGCTATTCGTGCCGTCACCTAAAAGGATTGAGTCGGCACCCGAAGTCGGCCCGGAGTCGTCAGTCAAGGCCTCTGTCTCCCCTATAAAGGACTCACGAGCACGTGATATGCGCGTTTTAGGGTTCGCTGGCATCGTCGCAGAGACCGTGGACGACGCAAGCTCAGCCATGCTTTGAACTGGAGTAAATTGAACTTGGTCCTGCCCACATGCATCTTCGGATTTCGAGCTTCGGAGGGTCCAGTACCTCTCTCGACGTGCCATACTCCATCGCTTGAGGCGATACATGGCAGACGCTTTCTGATCATGTGCATCGATGGATGGCAGCGCAGAATGTATGTCAGCTCGAAGTTGTCTCCGAAGACGAATCCTCGGTAGCGTTCTGCTTTGCCACAACGTCCAAACCGCTCGGTCCAGCTTCATCGCCACCTCCTCGCCTTCAATTCGTCTCACTAGTGAGAGAATATACTGAAACTGTGTTGTGGAAGGTCGCTTGAAGCCTTTCAACGGCCTTAGCACTCCGGAAATTACCATGGCTCGGGTGAGAAGAGGAGCGAGTGGTGCACCGCGATCTTGGAGGAAACGATAACACTCCCAAACTCTTCTGAAGGCCACTCTTGGCCGCAGGTGGGACGACTTTGCATACTCATGGGCAACCAAATGGACCAGATCGATGTGCGGTTGAGAAAGTCGATTTTTCTCATTGCAAATTCTGTCTTCCCGCTTCCAGACGACATCGTCTGCAGTCTGCCGACCGAGAATGTCCCATATCGTAGATGACGGAATGTTGCACCTGCGAGCTAGTTGCAGAGGCAAAGAGTAGCATGTACTCAGAGGCAGCGAAGGGATCTGGAGGAAGATTTTGTGGGCAAAAGCCGTTGATCGTGCGCTATCACACTTCAAGAAGTGTCTGATAAGTCTGTTAGCCAGGCCAGCAGGTACGCCGAGTGTCGGATGTTGCTGAAGCTTCCGAAAGGTAAGATACACGACGAGGGCTCCATGATTACCACGCTCTGCTTTTGCGGTAAGGATAGTGAACAGATTGTGCGCAAATTCCGCATGGGGAATGCCATGATCTTGCAGAACACTGAGCATGGAGACGAATGGACTCTTTGACGAAAGTCGTCCTCGCCGAGTAGTTGGCCGACGTTCGTTGAATGCAGCGATTAGATCGCTTGAAGCGGTCTTGGGCCGCACGAAAGTAAGACGTTTTTGGCTTCCGAGTGTCGTGAACTGCATTGTTCGCTCCTGTGCAGTTGACGCAAAGTATGGGGCCCAGAATCTGAGAAGGACCAGGCACAATTCTAGTCTTTTCAGATGATATAGATGAGAAGCCGCTGCTGCAGGGCTAGACGTCCTTGAGGCGAGAACCTCGTAAACACTTTCCCAGATGGGGTCTTCAGAATGGTAGACCTGGAGATGCCGACACTTTCGAAGATCACATAGCCACATCTCAATTTGCTCAGGCAATTGTTTGACTCTCACAAGACCCGCGAAGGTATACTTGAACAAGATCTGTGTGGTCCTCGCACATGTCGCTTGGAGTGCTTCCCTCGATAATGCATCCAAGACTCGTAGAGCAGGAGACTCATGAGAGCCTGACATGAGGATAGCGGCCAGAACATCGGGCAGCTCTTTCTCGTCCATAGTGCCGAGCCGTATTTTTTCCAGGACGACTTCTGTCAAGGGACGGATTGTAACGTTCTTTAACGACTTAGACACCAGCCATTTGCTCAGTCGTTTTATGTTATGGGCCTTGGGCTCATCCTTGCTGCTTTGCAAGAACTCGAGGATGCTGTGTAGACCGTCCTGCTCGATCACCTTCATATGCTGCTTGCTCCCAAGCAGACTTTCAAAAGATTTCTTGCTCTCGTCCACAGGATTGACGGAAGGTTTAGGTACATCCGAGATATGTTCGAACACATTCTTCCTTTTCGCCATTTTCGGAAACATCCAGTGCTCTTCTTTCTTGACTTTTTCCCGTCCTGGAGGCCTCCATTTCAAGTCTCTAGCCGGGTCAAAGACATGAGCTCCATAACCTCCAAAGCCAAACAGAGCTCCCAACTCAGCGCCACCAGGCTGTATACCAGCTCCCGAAGCTGTCATACCCATACGCCGCCTAGACAGACGACGATGTGCCTCCAGCGGGCCTGGGACATTGCTGCCATACCGTCGACCTCCACTCTGTCGCTTGCAATGGGCATTGGATACGCGTAAGAAGCGATTGAAGGCCTCATTGAGGACATGGTCCGTGATCCAGAGACATTGTTGGCTTTGCGCTGCCTGTAGCGCTCGGCGACATGGCATAAGTTGTAATAGCTCTTATCGAGGCATTGGTGAATGCGAGTGGGAGGAGTGAGTGCTTGAGCGGGAGTGGTCAGCAGCTTTGCGGACTTGCGGACATTTGCTTGGCATTCGGCGGAAGATCTTCCTTCGATGCGCCAGCGACATTCGATGTCTACAGCTCACGCACAATGATAATACGATCGCTACGACTGCGGCATGGTATCAATGGAAGACCTAGCCAGATATCGATCTACATACTGATGACTGGCAGGCCGAATAGCCCTCCCTCGAAAACTCCCACTGCGACGATACCAGTCCACCCTAGAACACAGCACGCAGGAAACACAAGCACCAGCTGGAGTTCCGGTCTTCAGCGCGCCTTCATCACAGCAAGATGCCAGCGTGCAAGCGATAGTGCGTGAAGTGCCATTGAATGATCCCAACCACCCAGTGGCACAAGACTATGCATTCTACAAACACCAGAAAAGAGTTACGCAGAATGTTGGATCTGCCATTGCGCCCCATTATAGACCTCACGAGCTCCTTACCAACCCACCGCGACCCAGCGATATCACTCTAGAACTTCTCATTGCCTCACAAGCGCATATTGGACACAGCACGTCCTTATGGAATCCAGCCAACGCCAGATATATCTTTGGCATCAGGGGTGAATACGATCCGATCCACATCATTTCGCCTGATGTCACCGCCGCGCATCTGCGGAGGGCATGTAAAGTGGTCAGTGGCGTTGCAGAACGAGGTGGTCTGGTCTTGTTCGTGGGCACGAGAGAAGGCCAAGCTAGAGCTGTGGTCAAAGCAGCAGAATTAACAAAAGGCTGCCATTTGTTCACCAAGTGGATACCTGGTACTATCACAAACGGCCAGCAGATTTTGGGACGATGCGAAAAGAAAGTTGTGGACGAACAGGATCGGGATGTGCCAGGGTTCGAAGACCAGCTCGGCGCGAAAGCTGCCATTAAGCCAGACCTGGTGGTCTGCTTGAATCCTCTCGAGAACTACGTCTTGCTTCACGAATGCGGGCTCAACAATATCCCAACAATCGGCATAATCGACACAGACGCCAATCCAACATGGGTGACATATCCTATCCCAGCCAACGACGACAGTTTGCGTGCCGTTCAAGTTGTCGCAGGCGTGCTCGGTCGTGCAGGTGAAGCTGGTCAGGCGGCACGATTGAGTAGAGCGGCACGGGATGGATTTGTGGTATATCCTGCAATTCATGGTCTGATGGCACCAGGAAGTCACGACTCGGACGTTCGGAGAGCCAGAGAGCCCAGGCGTCGAACAGTCCGGCAGCCCAGCGCCATTGCTGAGCAGGTCTCCGCCGTGTCAAGAGCCGCGGCAGTCGGCTCAGCAGCTGAGGAAGCGGTGTTCCCGGAGGACTACGAAAGCGTGGATGTCAGACAAAGCGAGGAAGATCAGAAGCTTCTGAGCGAAGCCGAGAAGACCATGGCTGCAACACACGAAGACTTTCCTTCGGCGGCTAGAGATGGTGTAGAGGGCGCAGCTGCCGTACCTTCAGCAGAAGAAATGGCCGACATGGATGCAACAGAGGACGATGGAGTGGTGGACCAAGTCGATCCATCTCTGACAGATGAGAACTTTGCAAACGCGGAAGCGACGGCTATGGATCAAGACCTCGCTCAATTCGGCATCCACATGGCATCAACAAGCGACCAAGTCGACGATGTACAGAAAGAGTTGCATCAAGAACCAGAAGGTGAAAGCACGTTTGAGCAGGTGGCCGATGTCAAGCAAGAGCTAGCAGAAGAGGCGCCTGAACCAGAAGTCCCTGGCGGCACTAGCAATCTTAACGCAAAAGATGTGGATAACGAGAGTCAGAAAGAGGTTGATGCCGCGAGTGATGCTGTGAAGCCTGAGCAGCAGGGCAAGGATGAGAAGATATAGAGGCCATATCCCAAGGCTTGAATTGTACAGATATGATAAATATGCATAGCGTAGAAGCGAAATATCTTTTCGTGTCAGTCTCCACTTCATTCGGCACCCACGCCATGGAGTCTTGCAGGCCCGATAGATCGCATTGTTTATCGGATTCGAAAGCAGCACAAGAGTGTGTCGGGAGCAAAACACATCGCCCGCAGCACAATCGTCAAACGCACATGAAGGCTTGTAAAAGACACCACAGGAGAGTAGGAACACAATGTGTAATGCACATTTTCGGTAGCAAAAGCGATCATTCCATTCCTCGCTCTGGTCGGCTTACAGCTATTCGTCTAAGTATACACATACACGCTCTCCAAACACCCATGCAACTGAAGGTGGTATCATGCAAAGGAACAGCAATAAATGAAAAAAAGAGCTAACTCTTGTGTGGCCCTGACCTTGGCCCTCGCCGATTCCGAGAACGCTTGAAGTTTGGAGGAGGCTCCGCGGCGCTCTTGGCCGGCGGTGATGTTTCAGCCATTTTTCTATAGCTTGAGGGCCGTTTGCTCCACTGGTTAGGCTGCGGCGCCGTCGTCGGATTAGGAGGAACTGTAGTGGATGGGCGAACAGGTTGAGCCGCCGAGGAATTGCTATGGACCGCTGTGCGGTCGCCACGCTGAAACATAGACAGGAGTGTGTCTGCCTCTTCAGATCCGGAGAGCGTTGGCGAGTCACGTCGGATTTTGGATGCGTCGTCTTGGTAATTCGTGAAGTTCGTTTCTGCTTGATGTATTCGAGGCGTTGGTTGGGACCGATAATTGTTCAGGCGAGTCCCATCCCCACGTACTGCCTCTTTCTCTCCTGCATGATTTGTTTCTGCTTCGTTACTGCGAGTTATCGTGAGCGGCTCAATGCGCCGGAGTTGGTCACTCTGTGCAGGCCTCTAGCCCGGGACGAAAGTAGGGTCATTCATGAATATGGGAACCTGTTGCTGCTGTTGAGCCAGCTGTCCCGACATCTAGTTTGGGACGAGGGTCGCTCCATTCGTGAACATGGGCAGCTGTTGCTGAGCCAGCTGTCCAAGATTCGGCGGCGTGACGGTATTCGTTGGTGCGAGCTGAAGCGGTGGAGGGTTGGTATGATTTGCAATACGCTCGCGTTCCGCCTTCTCTGCCTCCATACGCTCTCGGTCGGCCTTGGTGATGCGCGGCTTACGAGGCGCTCCAGCAGTACGGCCTCCTCTACTGCCGCGACCTCTTGTTGGTGCATTAGGATCCTTGGTCTTCTCTGCGTCCGCGCGACCACTTGCGTTGGCGTCTTTAGCACCACGACCGCGGCCTCGGCCTCTCCCGCCACCTCTACCGCGACCCGACGATGTGGAGGACTCGACTTGTGCAGTTTGTCCTTCTGGAACCAGAGGACCCGAGTAGACAAAGAAGCCATCCTTGGCTACAGCGGCTTTCTCCTGCCATGCCAGCTCTGTATCGTCAATGAAATCATCTTCCTTGTCATACTCTTCTTCCTTGCGTCTGCGCTTTCTCTTGGGCTTATCGTCATCAGCTCCGGTAGCGGTGTTACCTCCGTCGTCCATGCCACCCATCTCGACGTTGCTATCGCCATCGACTTCCGACATGAGATCAACAGATATATCATCACCAGTTCCACCCTCGAGTCGATTTGCAGCAGCAGCGACCTGGAGTAGGCGTTCTCGGTGCGCCGCTGCGCGAGGGTTGATGGCGTCACGTCCATACTTCTTCGCGATTTCCTGTGCGATGTTGATCGTGTTGCCGCCAGCCGGATTCAGCTTGATCTGAATGCATATATCGACGCCACGTGGTTCGACATTCTGCTTGGAACCAGGTCCACCAAAGAGGTCACTACTAGCTAAGAGTCCAGTTCCAGCTGCTTTTGGTGGCGATGCGGTCTTCTTCTCTTTTTGAAGCTGTGGCGTGGGTGCAGAAGAAGAGGATTTCGATTGCTTGATCTCGAGGCCTGACTGCAAGGCAGGCTGCTTCGGGGGAGCGTCAACATCCATTGCTCCATCCATGTTGGGCAATGAAGGTTGTTGAGGGTTCGGTTTTGGTGGTTGTTGTTGTACAGGTGCAGATTGAGAGGGCAACATCGAAGCAGATATTGATGCTCTTTGCGGTGTAGGTGAATGCTGATTCGAACCAATAAAAGGCGGCAGCGGTCCGTGCGTTTGCTGAGGCGCTTGTGATGAGTATGACAGAGGGATCAAAGGCTTTGTTGCTGGAGGGTCGATCAAACTTGTGATCGATGGCGATGCCTAGCATATATATTAGCAATGCTGGTAGGACAAGATGCTCAAGAGCGCAGATAAGAATCTCATGACAGCTATGCCACAGGATATACTGTCTCCACGGCCCTGCATCGACGGCAGACTCGACTTACAGATGCTCGATTGATCAACGGGGACGCATGGGCTGAGCCATTTGAAACGACTGTTCGTGGCGGCGGTGGCGGAGGTTGCTGCGGCGCTGAATCGATTGTCGCGCCGCGTATAGGGTCGTAGTTCTGTCCACTCGAATATGGCCGCGGTGTTGGTGGTTTGGATGCAGGCGGCGGTAGACTGTCGCGCATCACCGTATCTGGTACTTGGTGAGGCTGTTGAGGTTGTGACGGGAGGATTAATGGGGGATAGTTCTGCTGGGGCGGTGGTTGTGGTGCACTCGCGGGCAGTCCAGGTGCTTGGAACTGCGTGACCATTTGATCAAGGGTCTTTTGCGTGTCTGCAGCTGCAGCCTTTGCGCGTTTGCGCTGTGGGGCAGGGACGGACCCATCCTCGTTCTTCACTTTGGGCTCACGCGGTTTCCGAGGTTTCTTTGCGGGCTTGTCTTTTTCTTCGCCGTCGGGCTTTGGCTCTTTTGGCTTGCGTGTGCGCTTTTTGGGTGCTGCAGCGGTGGTGGTTGAGGCGGCGGTGGGGTCGGCGGAATGGGGAGTGGCGACACCTCCGCTCGATCGGGCACCAACAACGCGAATTTCATCAGCGGGTTGCAGTGCAGGAAGAACGCCAGAAACGTGGTTGTGTGGAGAATCCGGGCCGGGAGAGGACAATGAAGAACTCGAATCTCGATCGGCCATGGTGCATTGGGCGGTATACAGCAAATACACCGCCAAGAAGGACTACAATGCGACGGAGGCGACAGCAAGGTGTTCCGACAACTGCAGATGTGTTCCGACACTGACCGAGCCGAAAGACAAACGACTGCTGTTATTTGGCAGCGCGAGCCTCAATCCATCTTCGAGTCGAAGCGACTTGGGGCTGCGGGATATGAGCCAATCAGGCGCGGGCCAGCAAACGTCGCAGAGGACGACAGCGTCGACGTCTCTGCTTTTCGATATTGCGGGCGGTTCTTGACGAGGCAGGATAGCGAAAGGGGCGTCGAGTTGCAGCGGTGGACTGCAAGATTGCCGTGGTGCAATTTTTGTGCGGCAAACTGATGGCTCGGGGCGACAGGAGATGAAAGATCGGAATGACGATCAACGATTATGAGGGCGAGAACAGAAGGAAGGGGAGGGAAAAGACGTGATGGACGGAAGCTGCAATTAAGAGGGACGGCGAGAGCAAAAGCGCAGACCCACGACCGCGACGCCCACAGCTTCGAGCAGAATAGAGCGGGCCGCACGCACCAGGAGCGAGGAGACGAGCCTGAGCACGAGTGGTTAATAAGGGACACGGTCAACGGTGACAGCACAGGCGTCCGGTCAGATGTCCAGCGATTCGAATGCTCACTCCCAGCGCGCCAAACAGCCGTAGGTTACCTAGCCGAGTCCGATATGCCTACTCTCTACCCTACGCTTGACATCCCTGCAGCTTGCTTTGCTTTTCGCCCTCCATCTTCACACTAACACTAATCTTCCGATTCTCCTAATATGAACGACCGGATATGTCTTCCATCCTCCGCACCAGCTGACATCTCTGTGCCCTCTTCATGCATTGTCATGGTCCTGACCGTGCCCTCATGATCGCTGGCGTCTCCCTCAGCCGAATCTTGGAAGGGATTCACTTTGCGAGATCACGAATGCCCATGCAAGCGACGCATCGGGAGCCCACAGCAGCACAACTTCCATGCCGCCCTCGTTAGTCACTTTGACCTCACTTTCGTATCAAGACGTTCATCGCCATCGTGGCATTCGAGCATGCACATGCGTCGAATGTGAATGGAGTGATCTCAGCTAACGGAAGCGCCCGCGTCTAACGCACGCTAGGATAGCGCGCTTTTCTCCCGAATTAGTGGGTCAACCTTAAAACCTTAGATCTTTCGTCAGGGTCTTCCGTCGAGGCTTCAACAACACCACACAACAATCTGCCGACATGATCAGGGGTGAGCGGATAGAGCTGGATCTGGGTTCGGACAGCGAAAATGATGCATCAAATCTGAGTGCGCCTCTTCCGGGTGCCTTCGTGAATGATGTGCTCGAGCGCAAGCCGAAAGCTCCCAAGCCTCCGTCTGCGCCGGTGGTGAAAACGAAAACGGGATTTCCAGAGCACAAAAAGCGGCCGATAGTGAGCAGATTCAAGCAGCAGAAGTCTGAGAGCCTTCAACATGATCTCAATTGGGGTAGCTCGAGATCAGCTCCATCTACACAAGCTCCGGTGAAGCCCAGCACTGTACCTTCTCACGACCATGCTAGTGGCCACGCCAAAACCTGGGAAGAAGAGGAGAAAGAGCGGATAGATCAAGAAAATCGCCAAAAGCTCGCCTCCATGTCTGCAGAAGAGATCGAGGAAGAGCGCCGAGAACTAATGAACAGCCTCAGCCCAGCGTTCCTACAGCGACTCTTCGCGAAATCTGATGTCGGAAGTGGGAGTAACGAAGTAGACCTTTCGTCTCATGTCCCTGCTCAAGAACCTGCAATCGCAGATGCAACGCAGCCCAAGCCCAAGACCAACAAATCTGTGAAGTTCGAAGAGCAACCCAAGCTAGGAGACCCAGATGAGGATGAAGAAGAACGCCTCGCGACAGCGACAAAGGACGATTCTGAGGCACCAGCAGTCGACGAGCTACCGCACGACACAGTTCACTTCCCCCGCGCACCACAGCCTCCAGAGCTGGACCCCTCATCAGACAGCTTCCTCGAGGATCTGCACCAGAAATACTTTCCTTCCCTACCTTCAGACCCAGACAAGCTAGAATGGATGCAAACATCAAAATCCAAAAATACATACGACCCTTCATCCTCAGCTCTCAACGCCAGCGATATTCGCTTCTCTTTCAAAGGCGAGATCATTCCGCCTTCAAAAGCATCAGTACTACCAGTCACGCTCGGCCTGCATCACCATGGCGACGCACCCGATGCAGCAGGCTACACTGTCGCTGAACTAGCACATTTGTCACGATCGAGCTATCCTGCGCAGCGATGTATAGCTTTCCAGACTTTGGGACGTGTGCTGTATAGATTGAGCAAAGGCGAATTTGGAGATCCAGGAGAACCAGAGCAGTTGCTGAATGAGGGTGTGGTGGAAGGGCCGGAGGATACGTTTGGTGAGCTGGCGAGAGGATTGTGGAGGGAAGTGGAGAGACTGCAAGTGATCCAGACTCTTGTCGATGAGAGCGAGGGCAAAGGTGTGGATGGAGGAAAGCATGTCAGTGCCAAAGCATATGCGACTGAGGCTGTATGGTTGTGGAGGAAGGGAGGTGGGAGGAGATGGAAAGCAGCGTAGCCGTAAAGAAGGGACATCATACTTCTCATATCAGCGCAGCTGGCTACACTGCTGATACCGCATAACCAATGCAGAATGGAATGCATCCTCACAACGCCGCCTTCCCAGCAACCAACCCCCAACTCCCATCCCGAAACTTCACAACCTTCCCCTCCCCCTCCAACTTAGCAAGAACCTGCTTAACCCCACCCTCCGCCGGCCCCCAAAGATTCTCCGGATACTTCCTATAAATCACCTTCACCAACTCCATACTCGTCCAACCCTCCGTCTCCCCGGGTTTCTCCCCCTTCAGCGTCTCCAGCACCTCCTCCTCCCTCATTCTCCGATGCTCGAGATACTCCCTCACCTTCCCAGGCCCATCCTCAACAACATCTCCATGCGCCGGATACGCCCTCCCCTTGAACGCCCTCTCCATAACCCTCAACGACTCAACATACATCCCAAGATCCTCAAAAACCGCCGTCCCATGCCCCAAAACATTATCCCCCGTAAACATCGCATCCTCCTCTTCCAGAAAAAAAGCCATATGATCAACCGTATGTCCCGGAGAATGCAACGCGTGAATCCTCGCCCCTTCAACTTCAAAAACCTCTCCATTTTGAAAATCCACTTCGTCTTTCCGTCCGGGTTTCCTTTGATTTTTGTAAATCTTCACATTCCCATTCCCGCTACCGCCGCCGCCACCGCTACAAATTTCCTTCACGTCTTCCACTCCACCAACGTGATCCGGATGCCAATGCGTAAGAATCACCTTCTCGATACTAGCATTTTCCTCTTTCAAGACTTTCTGTAAAGAGGTTTTCCAGATGTTTTTGCCCTCGGCTGTGTCGAGGAGTAGACGTTTGGGTCCGGTGCCGAGGAGGTATGTGTTTGTGCCTTGGAGGGTGAATTTGCTGGGATTGCCGCCTAAGATTCTTATGACGCGAGGACTGAGGCGTTCGATGGCGGGGAGGTGGGGGAGTTGCTCCATGATTTTTGTGGTTGTCAATGAGTGAGATTTGACTTGGAGTGTGTGTCCAGGTGTTAGGGTCCATCACGTGCCTGATGCCTGAGGCTGCAACTGCCGCACTTCTTCTTCCGACTTTCTCGTAGATAGTCTCTCTCGAATACATTAGTTACATCAAGTGGTTATGAGCCCCCCTGCGTTTCTAATGTACATAACACGTTTACTACGTATTCTAATAGTTACTCCGACAGCTACGTAGCTAGCGCTTGTTACTAAAAATTGCGCCGACACTATTATCGTCGCCGCTATCCTCGCTGCCCTTCGAGTGTTCTAGTAGGTACTAGTCCGACTCGAGTCGGTTACATAATAACAGTATTAGCTATCCGCTATACTAGAACATAGGCGCGCCTATCGGCTGCCCCTTAAGATAAGTCTAAAGTCTCTTTCTATATTATCGCCGTCGCTATCTATAATAGCTCTCTCTATAACTTCTGCTAGCGCTTACATAAGCAACATCCCTAAGCTAAAGAATAAGGAGAATTATCTATTATAGTCTTATACCGCTAAGGGTGCCCTTAAAGGTATATAGGTATAGCGCTATATCTAGGGGACCCGCCTAAAGCCTAATATTAAGTTGTCTTCTAAAACTTAGTTAGAGTTTAAAGACCGATAAGATAAATAGGAAGCAAAAGATCAATTAGCGCGTACGTGGATCTTTGCTAACTATATCGCCGAGGTTTAGCAGTCGTTACTTAGTCTCGCTATATCGCAGGAAGTATAGACTTACCTATATAAGAAATATACTAGTAAAGGTAGGTCTACTAAATTTATACTCTACTAGGAATATATTACCCTTCGGTATAATAGCAAGGACATTAAGAAGTTCTGTAATAAGTATAAGAAGAAGCTTAGTGCCTTAAAGGATACTAAATTAGCTATTAGCTAATACTAGGCTGTCTATATGTTTATTATACAGATCTCTCTATTCTACGAGGCCTTCGTACAGATACGCCGAGAGCAGATACGCGCCTCCGAATATACTATTAACGATAATATACTTAACAACATTATTAGCGCGTTGCTTAATAAGAATATAGCTTAATTAAACTAGGCCTAATATAATAGCTTCTTTAGTCTTTAGCGCTAACTATAATAGTAAGGTAGCAATAGTAATAATAACAGCGGTCGAGGTAACTCGAGCTATAGCGGTCGTAGTAGCCGCGGAAACAATAACAATAGTCGAGGCCGCGGTAGAAGCAACTAGAACTAGAATAGTTATTAGTCTAACCGTAAGAAGTGCGCCTATTATTAGGGGTTATACCCTTCTAACCGCTGCTATACTAAGTACCCTTATCTAAAGGAGGAAGACCGACTGCGTCGTAAACAGCAGAAGGCTAAGAAGAAGAGGGTATAGTAGCAATAGCAGCAGCGTAGACTAACTGCATAGCAACAACCGCTATCTAGTTAGAATAGTACTTAGGGGCTGTATACGGCTAATGCTACCCCGGGGGTGTTATTAGACCTAAGCTACAATTACGCCTTTACTGCAAATACTATAGTTACTATTAGCGACTAGGTGTCTACGGCTCTTACTACTAATACTCGAACTACTAACTAGGTTGTCGACTTAGGTACTAGTATATACATAGTTAACGACCCTTTATTGCTTATTAAATACGAAGGCTGTTACATTCCTATCCGGTTTAGAGGCAATACGAAGCACGCTACGATAGTTAGTATAGCTTAGACAGAGGTTGTTAATAAGCGTAGTATAAGCAATATAAAGTTGTCTAATACACTGTATATGCCTAGTCTAGCAGCTAACCTTCTGTCTACTAAGAAGCTTGCCGATAAGGGTTGTTTCTACCGTAATAACAAGCGTATGCTATTTACGATAGTTGAAGGCAATAAGGTTACTATCGCTTAGATATACCGTAAGAATAGTCTTCCCTACCTCTATATACTAACCTCTAGTCTAGATAGTGAGATAGTTGCCCTTATGTTAAAGAAGGGGGTGCCTAAGAAGGGGGTGCCTATAGGCACTATAGATAAATGGCATCTACGATATAGCTATATTTATTACCGCAAGCTACTAAGGATAGAATCCGAGGGTCAAATTGTTATTACTAGTACTAAGAAGGACTTCCGCAACTGCATTGCCTATCGCATAGCTATATTATACAAGGAATACAATCGGCTGCTATGCGTACGACTATCTACGATCTATTACATTGTCTATGTAGATATAGTTACTATTACTAACCCTAGTCTGTTACAGAAGCGCTATTTTATACTGTTTATATGCGCCAAGTTAGGCTATCGACACGAATATGCTAGCACGCTTAAGTTAGGGGCTGTAGTAGCTATTTAGGACTATCGTATATATATCCGTATATAGACTAGCTATTCGATCCTAATCTACTACCTCGATAGAGGGGGGGAATACGGCGGAAATCAGCTGTTAAGCTAGGCTCGTAATTAGGGCATTATACTGTAGGTTACAGCTCCTTATTCTTCTACTTAGAATAGCCTTGCTAAGGTTAGCAATTATATCGTGTATACGACTGCGAGAAAGATAATACTGCAGGCTAACCTTCCGAAGTCTCTATAGCCGTATGCTGTTGCCTCCGCTATATAGGTCCTTAATATTACACCTAGAACCCTAGAAGGTCTTAGCCCCTATGCTATTATAGCTAGGGAGCTCAATTGGTCTCGAAAGCAGCTACGCCTTTAGCACCTTCGAGCCTATAGCTATACTGCTATTGCATACGATTACAGTATAGCTCGTAGAAAGAAGATAGATAGCAGAGGCCTAGTTAGCAAGCTAGTTAGCTATGCTAAAGGCTCTATAGACTCCGGAAAATACATAATTTACCTGCCTAATTAGCATAAGGTTATCGCTTCTAAGGACGTCTAGTTTATTAAGTTAGGGGGTAACCTTAACCTCCTACTTCCGGATGGCATAAAGCTATATACTAACACTAACGACTTAGCTAAGAACGAGTTTGTTATACTCGAGTCTATTATGCCGGCTTTGTTTAATTCTATAAGCAACGAGGCTCTGTTGCCTACCGAGGCTGCTAGTATAGTCTAGCGGCTTCTAGCTTAGCAAGAAGAATAGCCTATATAAGGACCTGTATAGGAAATAGCCGATAAGGTCGCTAATCTGTTGCTAATCGAGGACGACCTTCTAGACGTTCAACTACTAGCTTCGAGTAATAAAGATAGCTTCTAATTAGCTAAGGAAGATCAAGCTCTGCCCTTTAATCTAAATGCGAAGAAGGGTAAGCCTAGCTGGTTGCTAGAGTTTAAGCGACCTAACACGATAGGCGCTCGTTCTATCCGTATAACCCGTAGCAACAAGTTAGCTCGTAACCTGTTGCGTAGCTATCTAGCTAATTATAGTATTAAGCGGTCGACTCGACGTATAATAGCTAATATGCCGATAGCCTATATAAAGGGTTTTATAGCTTCCTGTTACATTGCTAAACAGTTAGATAAAGACACTATTCCTATTCTAAAGAGCTATAAGGAGGCGACTTAGTCGCTATACTAGCTATAATAGAAGGAGGCCTATAAGGCTAAATATAAGTTACTAATCGACAACTATATATAGGTCTATATATCTCGGTTAGAGGTACTAGAAGGTCGCAAGGTTGTTCGTAGCCGATAGGTGTTTACTATTAAGCGTGACGCTAATAGCAAGGTTAGCCGGTTTAAGGCTCGTTAGGTCGTCCGTAGCTTTATATAGATCGAAGGATAGGATTATAATAAGACCTATACGGCTATTACTAAGCCTTGCACGCTTCGAGCCTTGTTTAGTCTAATTGCATACTATAACCTAGAGGCTAAGCAGTACGACATTCTAACTGCCTTCCTTAACGCGCTTATCGGGGATAAGTATAAGATCTACGTCGAGCAACTATATAGCTTTAAAGACCGTAGTAGCAAGGGCATAGTTTGCCTACTGCTAAAGGCCCTATATAGTCTAAAGCAGTTACTAATACTATAGTATAAAGAGCTTCGGAAGTACTTAAAGAGCCTAGACTTTATTCTAATAATGTCCGACGTCTGTGTATTTAAGTACGTTAGCGGCTCGATTATCGTTATCTACGTCGATAATATAATTATTATCGCCTATAGCCTATCTATACTAGAAGCCGTTACTTAGATGCTAAAGGACCGATTTAATATGCAGGAACTTAGTAACCTACACTACTATCTCGGTATGCGCATTATCCGCGACTGTAACAAGCGCACTATCTACGTCGTTTAGGACGCCTACTTAAATAGGCTCTACGAGAAGTATAGTATACGTAGCCGTATCGGACTAGCTACTCTAATAGCGCCTCGTTACGTTAAGACATCTATTTAACGCGCACCTAAAGGCTATATAGCTAGTGCCGCCTTTAAGACTTAGTATTAGGAGGGTGTTAGTAAAGCCCTCTAGCTAGCAATAATTACTCGGCCGGATGCTTGCTATACTGCCGGCCTATTATTACGATTTATTTCTAACCCGACCGAGGAGTATTATACCGCGCTTCTTTAGCTAATTAAGTACCTAGTTAGCACCCTTAGCCGTAGTATGCGCTTCTAAGGTAACCTAAACGAAGACGACCTCAAGTTCGCTAGTTACTATAACGCCTTATAGGCTAACGATCTAGTTACCCGCCGCTCTATAGGCAGCTTCTACTTTACTATCGTAGGCGGACCTCTATTATATAAGTCCGGCCGCTAGACGCTTATTACACTATCGTTAACTAAAGCTAAGTATGTCTAACTTACTATAGGGGCTAAGGAAGCAGTTGCCTTAGCTCGTTTATTAAAGGAAATTAGCTATAAGGGCTATATTCTTCTAGTTACGCTCTACGAGAATAATTAGTCCGCTATTGCTATTACTAAGTCGACTAGCATTAATAGCTATACGAAGTATATAGATGCTCGAGTCTACTATATCCGAGAGAAGATTGCTAATAGTTCTATTATAGTCTAATAGGTTAGTATATATAATTAGATAGCCGATAGCTTTACTAAGCTGCTTAATAAGATTAAGTATAGCCGCTTTGTTAAATAACTAAACCTAGTAGATTGCAAGGCCGCTATTAAGAGCGCTATAAAGCTAGCTACTAAGTACTAAGAAGAAAGGGCCTTTATTTGCTTTGTCTGTTTAACCTAAGAGTAGTCTAGTTTGTTTACCTGCTTCTGCTTACCTAATACCCCTGTTTGCTTTGCTAACTAAATAGCTATTGTGTTTGGTTTGCTTCATTCTATAGCGATATGCACGTGCTAAGGGGGTGACTTAGAGTGTATATCCAGGTGTCAGGGTCCATTACGTGCCTAATGCCTGAGGCTGCAACTGCCGCACTTCTTCTTCCGACTTTCTCGTAGATAGTCTCTCTCGAATACATCAGTTACATCAAGTATTTGATGATGCTTTGTGTTGCTGAGCTTGTTGAGAATGGGAGGCGGAGGAAGGGGCGGGCGAGAAGGGTCATCTATTTATTACTGGGCATTCTTGAGTTGAAGTTGTAGAGGCGAATGGGCTTTATCTTGAGTGCCAGATCCTGCTATTCAGTTCCTGCGATGTGATGCTTTCATCGGAGGTGATTGCGAAGTTGGGAAGTACTGGTGGTGAGCACGCCACAGAGCCGAGGTCCGGCAAAGAATGGGCCAAAAACGCTGCCAAGACATGAGAGTCGAAGGCAGGAGCGGTCTCGTGGGCAGCGCAGTGCATGAAAACTAACCCTGCTAGATCACGATAAACGCGATAATCAGCAACACGCTTTGATCGCAGTGAGAAGTTCGAAGACGGGCGTCGATCTCGAGCAAGTGCTTGGTAGACAGAGTTGATCTGTATAAGTATACCAGCCTTGAGCTTTCCGTGTCAAGGCCACCGAAATGCTTATTTACAGTCCTTACTAAATATCCTTTCCTCGTGGCATGGCCATTCCATCATGCCGCTACAATCGCATCAGCTTACTTACCGTTGCGATATGGGAACGCTGTGCTCCTTGCTTCATTGTCCCATCTATAATTTTCCTAACTCCCTTCCCGATTCCCGCGTAAATGCTGATTCAATGCTGCTACTACTGCCGATAAGTGCTAAGACGTGCGAGGATGTCTTGCATGTTCTGCGGAGCTTGGCCGGGTGGTGGCTGTTGCGGTGCGCTCGCTGCGTTTGGTGTTGGAGGATAATGCTGTCCTTGATATGGCTGCGCAGGTGGATACCCTGGTTGTGGAGGCATACCATAAGGCTGTTGCGGAGGTGCAGCTGGAGAAGCTGTATTGAGCGTCGAGAGCAGGTTCTGCAGATTGTTGGAGTCTACTCTCGGCGGCTGAGGTGGATACCCAGGCGGCGGCATAGCAGGAGGTTGAGCACCGTAGTGACCTGCTGAAGGTGGTTGTCCGTATCCAGGAGGATAGCCAGTCGGAGGAGCAGGATATGGTGCTGGTGCTGGCGCTGGCGCTTGCTGGTAACCGTACTGCTGAGGTGGCGCGGGGGTCGAGTATTGCTGTCCAGAATATCCGCCGTATGATGGCTGAGGTGCATTCATACCCAGACTCTGCCTCTCTCTTATCACGAGTTCCGCGCAAATATGAGGGTCGAGGTTGTCGTAATCCTCGAATTGTACATCCCTCGTGCCGCCTCGGCGCTTGAATATCGTGAGACCTATCTTTGATGTATCTTGGTTGATGTGCCTGAGCTTGCAGATGGCGATGACACCTTCCATGATCTGACGACGAACGACAGCCTCCTCGCTCAATCTCGGAGAGATCGTAAGGACGTCCACGCGTACGTTACGCGAAGAGAAGGCCTTCTCCACCCAAGACAAGAAGTCGCGATTGAGAGGCTCAAGTGCGATGACCTGCACGTCCGGCACGTCTCTGGGCTCGCGCCGTGGCAGATTGAGTTTGTCATCTGGCTCGCGCCGGGGACTATTGCCCCGATAACCTCTGCCGTAGCCTGGAGAACGCGACCTCGTCCGATATCGATCATTGTAGCGATCTCGCGGAGAAGGCGAGCGATACGATGGTCGATATTCTCTGCTATTCCTATCGTCTCTCGGATCTCGACCATCTCTTCTCCCACCTCTGCCGCCATCGTATCGACCGCCATTTGGACGATTTCTGTTATCTGGCGAGCGCGAGCGCCGATTCTGGTTCTGCTGCTGGTTTCGTGATGGTTTCTGGGGTTTGCTTATCTCCAAATCTGCCACTCGTCAGTATGTGTACGGAGTGAAATGTGATTATCGACTAATCCCCATAGATCGCATCATAGTACTTGGTACTTACGTATGCGCTTATCGCGAATTTGGCGACCCTGCTCAGCATTCAGAGCTCGCATGCAATCCTCCGTTCGAAGAAATTGCACGAAGCCATATGCCTGCTTGATGGAGATCTGTGCCAGCTCGCCATAGGTGTGGAAGACGTGAAATATGTCTCGCTTCGTAACCTTCTCGCTGGAAAGGTTGCCTGAGGCCCCATTAGTCGCGCTGCTGGTCTTTTCTTGTTGTGAGCGAGGCATACCGACGAAAAGGCGGGATCCGTTCGGGAACTGGTCCCAACGTGCCTCGTTCACGTATCTTCGCTCCTCCTCCATGAAGTGATCGTATTTGCGTTGAATGTCTGCAGTCCATGGCTGATCTTCTGGTGTCGGTGTCTCGCCCGCAGCAATTTTGTACTCTCTGCGCGACTCTATCGTAGTGTTAGTCGTCGAGTATTGCTGTTGGAATTGCTGCGCTTGGCCTTGGTTGACCGACTGAGTGGCGGAGAAGCCGAGGGTTGGCGATGGTTGGGTTGCGTAGTTGGCTCCATTTGCGAATTGAGGCGCAAAGCTGTTCGAGAGCGCTTCAGCAGGATTTCCAGAACTTTGCGATTGAGGCGGCTGTGATGCATGCGTCGCTTGGGTAGCCGGGTTGGCTGCATGCGGATGATAGTCGCGAATGTGCTGCGAGTGGACATAATTTGGGTTCATCAATGGCTGTTCCTGCGGTGGAGGACGCGGTGGCAGACCACTGGGTGATGCAACTACACCTGACACTGGAGAAGAGGCATTCGCCTCTGGAGCAGAAGCTGGAGGTGGCTGCTGGGCTTGGGGTTGTGAAGGCGTCATGGACGTTTGCAGCGTCTCCAAAAGGGCTTGTACATTCACAGCGCTTGGGAGTGGCGTTGGCTGCGTTTGCTCAACTGCTTGGACTTGAGTGGCATCTGGAGCTTCAGTGGGCACGCTTGGACCTGACGAGGCTGAGGGCGCTTCGGTGGCAGTAGCGAGAGCGCTGGCAATGCAGTTCGCGGCATAGGAGAGGTCGTTGGAAGACTGGGCTGGAGCAGCATCATCATGTCCGTTCGACAGTGGTTCTTGAGTGCTATGTGCTGCGTCGTCGTTCTGAGATGACTCTGTAATTTGGGCCGAGCCATCCTCTTTGTTGGTGCTCTCGGCGGCGTCGCCTCCAGTGGAGAATGGAGAGGGCTGGTCGGCAGATTCGTTGGGATCTCGCCATGCGCCTGGCCGTAGCTCAGTGTCGCGGGCGGCGTGCATGTGCGCTTCAGTCTGGTTGAAGCCTACATCCATCATATTATCCAGGACGGGGATATTGCTGGGCTGTGAGAAGTGTATGGGCTTTGGTGAGGCGGGAGACAGTATATTCGGTTCCGCCTTGAGATACGCTTCCTCAATGTCGGCGTTTGGATTGAAGGCATTCATCGGTGCGCATCAGATTCTGACAGGGCTCTCAGTCTATCCGCTCATACTCTCGACGGGGATGAGAGATGAGACACACGGTGGGCTCAGGTTGGTTGGGCTGCATATACTGGACGATGGGCAAGGTGAGGCGAGACAGTTCACGAGCGGGCAAACAACTGCGCCGTGCTGCTGCTGCCGTGTTGCCGTGCGCAAAGCCAGAGACTCAAAGACGAGCACAACGACCAGGAGCCGGAGGAGTAGAAGGGATGTTGGTTACCTTGAGGAGCTGACAAGCTGCAGATGGGCGTGCGCGTGCGCGAGATGCGATGGTATTTGCGAAGTCGGCAAAGGCGCGCGGTTTGCGCGGCAGAAGGTATGCTCCGCTGCGTAGGCGTAGGCGTAGGCGTAGGCGAAAACAAATGCAAGAAGGAGGGCAGCGTGCGCAGGCGAAAGTGCTGAGGCCGGCCGCGCTATTTGTAGTGGATGTGATGACGGGCGTGTGGCACGGGGTCGATGGACGTGTGGATGATGCGACAAGAAGAACGACTTTGGCGCTCGCGATGTTGTGCGCGAGGGCAGTCTTGCGCAGAGGCGAGTGAGTTTGCGCTAAAGTGAGGTGCGCACTGGCCGCGCTTTCCTAATTAGGCTGTGCTATCCAGAGCCTCACTGCAGCAGTACTGGCAGATGTCGCAATACGACTTTCTGCGACTCTAGAGCAACGCAACGCCTTATGCTCCTCTCGTCCAGTCGCACCATTCTCCCTGGCCGCACTGGTTTGCAGCTTACGAGATGCTTCGCGACCAGACGCGGCGGCGGCGGCGATGTGGACGAGGCCGAATTGCAGGCAGCACGCAAGTGGCTGAAAGCTCTCAACCCCGACACCATTCCTCGCGAGCTGTGTGAGATCAGCTTCTCTCGCTCGTCCGGGCCAGGCGGGCAGAATGTCAACAAGTGAGATCCTCACATCAAATCCATTCTCACGCCACCGACACTGATAGCTACGTGATAGAGTGTCTTCGAAGGCCACCCTGCGCATTCCTATGTCCGTGCTACGCCAGCGCCTTCCCAGATTGATGCATCCCACAATCCAGAGCAGTCGCTACCATGCTGCCAAGTCGGATGATCTAGTCATCCAGGCAGACGACTCTCGCAAGCAGAGTGACAATGTCAATGCCTGCTTTCGCAAGCTTCATGACCTGATAGTGCAGGCTGGCAGAGACAATGTGCCCGGCGAGACGAGCAAAGAGCAGGTCGAAAGGGTTGAGAAGCTACAGAAGGCAGAGGCTGCCGGCAGGCGCAAGATGAAGGAGTTCCAGAGCAAGAAGAAAAGTGCTCGACGTGGTGCAGGACGAGGCGATGATTGAGCGACTGCGTTTGCCGGCAGCACCAATTTCGCCGTGGCGCACAATGAGTCGAACCACAGCAAGGATTTGCTCTCGACGAGGCTCTCTGTATAGCATTCAGCTGTTCCATCTGACACCCTGCAAGTCTGGTCCGCGCTCCTGGGGCGACGTGAGCTTCCGCGACGCTATACACATTCTCGTAACGAAGGGCCAGGGAAGAAGAAATACCAGTACTCGGATCAGGGCGAAGATGAATTGTTCGCAAACTGGTCACAACGGAAGAAGAGAAGGGCTATCATCGAGCCATCTGTGATAGCATCGACCAGTCATGAACTTTTCCATGGCAATTACTACATGTACGGCTGCCAGCGACCTCACGCGTCATCCTGCCAAATGCGGATGATCACAGAGAGCTGAGAACCCAGAGGTCGCAGTACTGGGTTGGAGCTCACACATCTATCAGTCTTAGATTCTGTGACAGGTGGGTGGATCTCGAGGCAATCTGCAAGAGGGCGGCGTTCATCGAGAGGAGCGTTGGCGTGTTCTTATTGCTGGTCGTTTTCGTTATCATTGCCTTTTTTCCTCAAGGACGAATGCTCGACGACTGGATGAGGCTACCTTTACTTCACGAGGAAAGAACGCCGGTCGTGGTATCACGAAGGAGGCAATGGATTTGGAAAGGAATCGAAGGGAGCTGGGGAACGAGGTCGCAAACGCCGCAGAAGTGAGCATCAAAGGCTTTGGCCTCTGAAGTCGACTGTGCGGAGACATGGTCGCTCGAGACTGAACGACACGCATCGAGTGCCTGTAGAAAGCTCGAGCATAGCGTCGAAGTGAAGGTTTGCGAGAACTGCAAACAACTTCGCTTTTGTTGACACATGCCGCCATTACATATCATCTCTCTGGCTTGACCACTAACTTGGTCACTAACTTAGTCACACTGGACTACAGACAGATTTGCCACTATGTCGGCAAGCTTCGCCTTCGATATCAAATCCCCATCAGGATACAATACCGATCTCAAGATCAAACTCGACCATGAAGCCAACGGCTGGAAGAAGTGGCAGCAATTCAGCCGTGACCTGAAAGAAGACTACCCAGACGAGAGCAAAGTCAGCTGGCAGATCATAATGGAGAGCGTCAATAACCACGACGAATATTCTCATCACGCTTACTTGTCAGCAAGTGGCGTGGAGCAGAACAAGGTACCAAGGCTTCGTTTCGGCTGCCTACTCTATTACCCTGGCCCAACACAAGCCATCGGAATAATGCAAGATCTCAGTAAGCGAGCGGTCAAACATTTCGATGTCGAAACGCTGTTGTATACGGCTCCGGGTGTTCTACCGGCGCAGTTGTTGGAGGCGTTGGTCCAGACCATGAAGACCAAATGCGAAGGTTCCAGCAAGCAAAATTGTGAAGATTCTAGAGTACAGATGCACAAGCTACACGTAGCTACCAAACAAGTTCTGATGTTTGCTCTGATAGCTCTTCTGAAGTATGGGTCCGCGCTTTTGGCGTGCTTTTGGTCTGAACCTCACATCGTGCCAATCATGATTCTGGTCATGATTGCGTCCGAGATTCTGAGTCTTCGCCTTCTCGTTGGGCGGGATTCTTCCAGGAAGAAGGATTGAGGGGTGAAGGGTGTTGTGCGTATGTCGTAGAAGGACAATTGGTGTTACGGAACAAGGAAGGAACAGTCAGGGGTGGCTGACTAATGGAGCGACGGCTCTACCTCTGTAATTAACCTTCCTCCTTTTACATAACCATCCACAATGAGAACTTCATAACAATTGGGTACGGCCTTGAATGCAAACGCGATTATCGTTCAATTGTGTGTGTTGACTGCCAGATATGCTAGTGGCCTGGAGCTTCCATCCAGTACATTTCGATCATGATATTCTGTGCCCGTTCAACGAGCTGGCTCCAGCAGTCATGAGAGAGCAAATCCGGCGATCGTCAATTCTGTGCAGGTGTCTTGATGCGAGCTGGTGGATCATCTTGATGGTAGAAGGCTCAGCGGTGTACTGGCAAGTCCACAACCCGACAGGAGTGGCCTCCGCAGCCATGCCATATATGCATTCTGATGAGGAACTCGATGGACATGTGGAAATGGATGAAGAAGGCGTGATTGCATTTCTATGGGGCAGTCTGTTCCGTCTGCGACTTCCTGGTTCAGCAACCGTTGCAGCTGCAGTTCGCCACCCGATATGCACATCTCTCGTCACAAGACAAGCCTTTCGGAACAAGATAGGCAGCAAATCCAAACGCGCCATCCGTGGCGAACTAGAGACCTGCGGGAATGCTCATGATTGCAGTGGCGTCCCGAGCTCAGAAAAATCTCCGGGCATTGAGGGGCAAGCCATTATTATTTCCAGGCGAGTTCAGCAGTGACGTTGCTGTGCTTCCTGAGGAATTGTGCCATTGTGAGAGTTGGAGAAAAGGATTACAAAATAACTCACGGTCAGAAGTCCCTTGCTTTGCAACACACGGCAGAGCCCCAGATCTGAAGTTTTCGAGCCCGTTCTGCTGGTGTTCCTCGTGGAGCGTGAGCCTGAAAGAAATGCAGCATGGGCTTCAGTGTATGCTGCTTCGTCAGATGAAGTAGATCTTATGTGATAGTGTAGCTCGGGAACAATTAAGCGAGCGTACTCATGGCTCTTGCATGACATGGTGTAGAGAAATCTGATGAGACAATTCGGGCGCCAATCTCGAGCAGCTGAGATCTGTGAGATTGGCGAGATGTACCGCCGAAGTTTATGACTAAGGCTAGACCATGGAAGGCATGGTCAGAGCGAGGCTATCCCACATACAGCACGCCGATAGACCGTGAACCGCAAACTTCAAAGCAAATCTCGGCGTATCTCGCAGAAATCCGAGCTTGCAAAGCACGTCCGACAAAGTTGAGAAGCGCGATCACAGCCAGCCGCGACCGCAGAATACAGAATACAGAATACAGAATACAGACAGGTAGCGGTCAGAGTGTGATACAGTATACACAGTGTACGGAGGACTGTTGTAAGAGACTCGGCGCCCTCAGCGTGTGGAGACAGTTGCAGCGTCTTCCGCCATTGTATACTTTGGTCCAACTCCACTCAAATGCCGCGCCGCCTAAACAGGCAGGTCAGAAAGGCGCAGCCACTTCGTCCCCATGTCTGCCTCGATGCCACCAGAATCATAATGCAGGCGGTCTGCAGAGGATAGCATTGTGGTGTGGGTTCACAGCCTCACTCGTAGCTGGCCACGGTCATAGAGTGGTTGAGAATGAACATCCCATGTTACACCGCTGACTGACAATATCTGCATCGTTGCTCATGCTTTCGTGATCACCCGCAAAGCTCGCTTGGATACGACGGAGCTGGGCCCGGCAGGGGCGGGCAGGGGCGGGCAGGGCAGGGCAGGCGGAACGGGAGACGGGAGACGGGAGACGGGAGACGGGAGACGGGAGACGGGAGACGACTGGTCGCTGGACGTGTCACTAATGCAAGATGTCTGGGATGTCGTCGACTCGGTGTGCGTCTGTCGCTGTTTCCTGCTGTATAAGGAGTTTTGGGGTGCACAGCTGATGATGGCTGGACGGAGACCGTGGAGGTCGTGCATTGCAGTTCGCTTGCGAGCTAATCTACGAGCGACGGCGCTAAGATCTTGCTCGTCTGTTCCGCCGGTGGCGATCGTCGATTTCGAAGACTCGCGATGCACATTAAACATTCCTGGGGGCAACTCTAAATCGCCGGGTGCGCGCTGCCTCCCTCCCACGAGAAGAAGTCGATGTTGGAGGCTTGGCCGCTTGGACGTGGAGCTCTCTATCGCATCCTGGCCTGCTGGTCCTTCCTTCCCAAGTCCATTCCGCTGCCCGACGCTTGTCCATATCTGTTCCCGCCGCCCACGCACATCCTCGCTGCCAATCTGCCTCTCCAGTCGCCACTCCTGACAACCTCACTGGACAGCACACGCCAGAAACATTTGTTATTAGACAAATCCGAGGCAGCATATCGAACCAACAGACATCGGCCACTCGGCCACTCGAAATCAAACATCCCTCTCGCCACAGCTTCTCCCCGCACGCATCGACAGGCCTCCCTTGGAATCGGGGAACGAACCATCGCAAGCTCACCCAAGAACCTCCCACGAGTAAGTCCCTCTTCCTCCGACATGTTGACAGCACGCAAAATCCATCGCGTCAGACATTTGATCCTACTCCACTCAGTCGTCTGGTTCCACGCGCTTCATTTTGGTTGACTTGGTACGACAGACGCGTTGACTGGTGCAACCAGCACGCTACCATGCCTCCCATTCGAACAATGCCGACCGTCAAGCCGGTGAGGACCGAGCGTACTCACGAGGAGAACCAGGAAAGGTATCCAATACCATCACCATCGCTCTCACACCTTATCATTGACACAAGTCGCAGAGCATACATCGCTGCCTCGCGAAGAAGTGATCGTAGTCTCGAGGCGCGAGTCGAATCTGCCCGGCGCGCGTCAGAAATCCACAAGAAGAGAACCGGGCGATCTCTTCGAGTACGAGAGGAAGATGTTATGAATGAGGAAATGTATGAGGAGGAAGACGACGACTTGCCAATGCAGTTCCGACGGATAAACGCCCTCCATCCAGGTCTTGCGTTCAACCCAGCCTTTAGCGACAGAGTTAACAGCTATCTTGCCGGCCAGATTGGCGTTAGGAATTATCTCCACCAGGCCATATACCAGGCCAACCAGAGTCAATACAACAATCACTTCCTGAATCCCATGATGCAGCAAAACGCCTTTCAAAACCCAATAATGCAACCTCAAGCAATGAACGCCGCACCTCAGTCCCCGTGGCCAATGAATATGCAAAACGTGCAGCCAAGTAGCCATGGTCGCTCTGCATCGATCGCAACACCACAAGGCTTTGCGAGTCAGCAGCAGTCAGGCATGCCGACCGGCTTAGATACTCGGCGCATGTCGCTGAACCCAACATCACCAGGCGCTGCATCTCCTGCCATCTCGCACCCTCGAAGCACACACTCAAGTCAACCGCCGACGCCTCACGCACTGGTCAACTCCGGTCAATCGCCAAAGCAAGTGCCGACACCACCACAATGCAACCAGACGGCTACGTCGCCAGTGCCATCGACGGCACCTACTGATCAAAATATCTACCCGTTGACCACCAAGCTGCCCATCGAGTCACAACAGCTACTGGATGGCCACCCAGGCTTTAACGTGCCATCTTACCAGATGACTCCAGGGTTGCCGATGCCATCCATGGCAGCCTACAGTTACAACCCCAACGGCAAACCGGTAAAGGGAGACTCGGGAAGTGGCTCACAAGGGGGCTTGAATCAAACGCTCACGTCATTCTATCAGCAAAACACCAGCCCTCATTCGCCTTTCGATGAACCCCAGTCTGCAGCAAGCGCACCCGCAAACTTGGACTTCAACTATAACCAGAATATTTACGGCGATATGGATATGAGCGACTCCAAGTACGCATTTAACATGGACTTTGGCAGTGGCACCAATAGCGGCCAAATTACTCCTGCTGCAGGTCTTGACTCTTCGTGGAACCCAGACGACTTTTTCAACTACTCCGCAGCATCCGACTGAAGTCGCATCAGGGCGAGGGAAGCTTTGGCGTTCGCTCAAATTTGAACCACGTCACATCATGACACACTCATGCCTGAACAGCTGACCGATTGTTGGCTACTGGCTAAATATTCGAAACCCTATGGAATGGCTGCAAATCTGAGTAGCCGGCTCAGTGATGTTCGGACCGCTCTCGCTGAAAGTACAAAAGGTCGTTTTTTCTACATGGCAGGGCACCGACAGGGGTGTGCGAAGATCGGCGACCGAAAAGTCGCAAAAACTGGATTGATTTCAGCAATCGAAAACCTAATGCAAACGGCCTGCTTCGACTGGACTGGTGCCTTGGCGCCACGTAAAATACGATTTTGTTCGATTCCAGACTCCAGTTGTAAGTTGTAACTTGTAACATTTCCGACGCTTTTTAGCGGAACCTTTACGGGGGAATTCTGGAAGCGGAATGACGGTGGAAACATCAGTATTCTGCGCACTGAGACGAGGACACGAATTTTTCTTCGAGATACCATGATTTTTGAAAGGTGTTGTGGATTACGGGTAATCTAAGCACGAGACGGCAGCTGCAGGCATGGGAGATCTTGGGAGATCTTGGAGGATTTGAAAACCGAGATCTGGAGGCCTAGGCGGAAAAGCACACAAACTGGGGATTTGAGCTTGAGAGACCTGGAAGCTCGGTGTGAAGAGATGAGAAAATTATTAGTGATCGGTGTAGTCAGTCCGCTTAGCAACAAGAGACTCTCCACTACCCAAACTATGATCGCCCATCATCTTCTCGTACCCATCCCTAGACCACAAGACAAATACTCAAATAACTTCTCGGCACGCGCCAGACCGAGCAGTGTAAAGCATGACATCTTCACGCCGGTACGCGAAGTTTCGTCGTGCGTGAAGGCTATTACCTACCTCATAAGGCTGGACCTTCGGTATAGAGTCGTACCTCGCCATCGCGCGAGCTGACCAGACCAGACAATTTTGTGATTCAGTCAGCTAATACACAAGGGCTATATCACCACTCTGCGAAGTTTGACAAGGAACCTGACTTTCCCTTTTTATTTTGTGCGGTTGCTTACATAGTTGTCAGAAATGCCAATGGTGTGGGTTGGACGGTTGTCAGTTCATAGTCCCTTCAAAACAGAAAAACAGCCACAACCGAAAGTTTCGTAGGTGTACTGTATGTACCTGAAATTTTTATACGGGTATTGACCGTATCTCGTGGTCGTAATAAAGCGGACGTCAGAGGGACAATTTTTGGCATTTGCGCGATCGAAAGTGGAAAGAGATGAGACTCATTTTGATGGAGGCAGGGCAGGGATTTGCGGTGGTGCCACTACTGGAATAGGAAGTTGCGTTCTTTTGATGCTATCCTGGGATTTTCTTTTTGTGATAATGTGACAGGGGAGGTGGGTTGGGGTTGTAGGCCGGAATGTTGGTTGTGATGAGGATCTTGTTGTGTTCGTGGAGATTTACTGGAGTAGGTAGGGTTTCGAGCGTCTGTTGTGGTAAGGCTTGCTTGGTAGTCGTGAGGACGATTTTCTCGAGTGCCGAGATCTGCCGAAGAAATTGGCTGTGGACAATGGGAGATCCAGCTTCGCGAGAGGTTGTTGAAGCAGCGACCATGCTGGCTGCGGAAATCGAACGTCTTCGTAGGTCGTGTCATTGTTGATACCGAGATTGGCAGCAGATGGAGGTCGGACACACGTCGAAATATGGAAAGTGGTCAGTAAGCAGAATTGTGTGCAAGTACCGTTGCCAGCGTTGTGGAGATGTCCTCAAGTCCTCAGCGATGTTGATATATATTTTTCCCGATGCTCGCTACTGCTATCACTTCAATAATCAACAGTTTCACATATCAAGACGTCGTGCTCGCCAGAGAAAATCGTTTGAGTCAGAACACCACCGATCAAAATGTCCGGAAATCGACAGAACAAGCGCGCCCAAGGCAAAGAGGCTGTCAGACTGGCAGCCACCAGAAATCGCCAGGGAGACGGCATCGACAGGAACAGGTTGCAATTATCCAAAAAGCAATGGGGCACGATTATTTTCCTGCTCCTTTTGTTCGCAGGTTCTATCTTCGAAGTCGTTCTAAGACTATCAGACGCTCTTGGGCCATGGGTCGGGCCTATGGCATTCATTTCGGTAGCTGGAACCGCCGCGTTCTTTGCGTGGCAAGGAAAGCGCAGAGACTTGCAATCCCGCCTCCAGATCAGACCCGGCAAAGAAATCAAGGCAGAGTGGCAATGGCCAAACCAGTCTGCTCGTGAGGATGGGGTCCTTAGAAAACCACGGGACCAGAAGAGAGCGGACCGAGAAATTAGAAAGGCGAGCCCAAATGCAAAGAAGGATGACGGGCGCAGGGACAGTGTTCTTGCAGAAGGCGAGCCGAAGCGCGAGCAGGAGCCAGAATCAATCCTGACCAACAGTAACCTGTGAAGGGTGGCGGACAGTTCTCGATTGCATGGCAGAATCTCTGGGAGGATCTGGAAGCATGGACCGGTATGGCTCAATGACCGCGAAAAAGTTTGCGAAGCTCTTAAGTGGCGCAGAATGTACGGAGCGAGTTGCAGCTCCTAATCCTAAGGTTGCAATCTCGTTGCACGGTTATCTCGAAGTGTCGAGCAAGTCTCCGAGAAGGCTTATGGGCATCCGCTCCGATTTGCTGAGAGTCCATGGCCGCTGAAGCTCACCAAGTAATCTTCCATGTAGGTAGAATCGACCTAGAGAGTTTCTGAGGTCAACAGAAATGTGTCTCCATGACATATTCCACGTCGCGTGGATTGTAAACACGTGCGAATGTGTAAGTGTGGCATATTGGAGCCACTCCAAGTCGAAGGCCCCGTGAAGGGCTGCTGCGGACGAAGCTGCGGCCGGAGCTGGCCTCATTTGGCAGAAGCACTTCTGTATCATTTCGTCAATGGTGGCGCAAAAAATCTCATACTTCTGGTTCGCCGATTGTGAGGAAGCCTGTTCTTTGAGCGTCCGACAGCAATAGATACTCTGATCACCAATTCCGGACGAAGCTCACTCCGTGGCGCACTCCTGAGGTAGTGCTGTCGTCTCCGACACTGACGCCTCAGCCTCCCTCAGTCGTGAATTTCCGGCTGCAGTCATGGCTTGTCCACAAGGTAGAACCATCATTAGCTCTTACCCGTCTACCCATGAGCATCGCGCGCTTTCGTCCTTGAATTTCGCGTGCCTTCCACGTCAGTTAGACCGTCAGTGAATGACACAGCGATGCATGTGAAACGGTCGCACGTGTCGCTTGCGTCACTTCTGCGCATTCATAAATCCAGCCTCACTTCGAAATAATGTTTCCGAAAACATAGCCATCCAAACCACTGCCATCCGCCGCCACCACCACCACCACCACCACCATGGATCCACTCGAGAAGGCTCTCGTTATCGCACTGCTGCTGACACTCGCAATCATCACAGCCCTCACGCTCCTCGCCGGAGTGCCAGAATCGCATCTGCAGCGCATACTCGCAGAGCGACCAAAGATCAACGTAAGTGAGAATGAGCCATTCACCTTTCGTTCCAACAGCGCGACTGACCGCAGCTCCACTCTACACTGTGGTCCACGCATCTCACGTCGCGTCTGGCGCTCGCAGAAAGCATATGTGGCACGGAGCGACCATTTCTTGAAGCACTCTTCTGACCTCGATTTCAGGCTCCCAAAATCAATCAAGACCCTCTCGCAGCACATACACACGACTCTGCCGAGGACCAGAAAGCCAGACGTTCCGCAAACATCGCCAAGATTCGAGAAGAATGGGCCGCCAAGAAACACAAGATGTACCAGCGCTTGAAGACAGCGTACGAGATGTACGACCCCAGCACGGACTCAGAGGCAGACAGGATTGAGGCTGAGTGGGATCAGATACCGAAGCAGAATGTATCTTTCGAATGAGCCAGAGACGATGCCACAGTAAGGGAAGCAGGAATAGGAGCGATGAGAACAGGAGTCCATCAACGCTCGCTCCGTGGGCAAGGCACTACAAAGCAATCGAGTCGCCTAGGTATTCTCGCAGACGAAATCGGTGGAGTTGCAGCGGAGCAAAGATGTGTCCTCAGGAACGGGCAATGAAGATTCTGGCTAGCAATGGAGGGTTTGCATAGCATCCGGCGGTCGCTCGCAAATATGGTCATAGGGGGTTCGGCCTAGGATTCAACAAGTTCTCTCTCACATCCTCCTCACTCTCCTTTACCATCTCCATCGCGATATACGTGCACACCCCAGATCTTCTCGACAGCCCAGCTGTGCCCTGCAACACTGATCGGTCCTCCTCTCCACAGTGGTAGCACCTGACTCCGATCTTTCCTCCTTCGTTCCAGTTCCCGAAATACTGTGCCCTGTTTGAACCCTTCCACATCACCACCTCTCAACAATCCCGTGTTCACATCTGCCGCCAAACTCCACAGTCCAACAGCTTCCACAACGCCCACGACCCCAAGCCTCTCCCTCGCCAATCCAGCAATCTCACTGCAAGTATACCCTTTCTTTTCATCCACATCCAATCCCTCTAACGGAGTCGTCTTCCACGACACGCTGGGGACATGAATCTGCAAGCTGAAGAACCCATTATTCTTCAAGAAGAGATGTCGACCAATAGCCACAGCCAATGCGACAGGAAAGTCCAGGCCAAGCGCAAGATTTCCAGCTATGGAGTCCTGGAGTCGGATTGTTTGTGAGTCGTGGGGATTGCGGTTCGAGTAGAAGGAAAGGAGGCGGTGGAAGGGCGGGACGTTCGAGGAAGCCATGACAGGCTATATTCTAACGTGCGAGGAGGGACGGCAGGGTTGGCATACAATTTTGATCAGTGCTTCCACGGTCGTTGACATCACGATGTTGATAGAGAGCGTACTGACATCTCAGCACGGAGGATCTGGTTGGTGCGGAGCTCAGTCCTATTGACATAACAAGGCTTTGCACCGAAAGCAACCACGACTTGCACACGGGTTACACTAACTGCCGACATCCCGGCTAAATAGGTGACCAACTATGGCCTAACTACGCGTGTAAAGATGCTTGCAGATTACTATGTGATTGCAGCTGTACGACGTGGAAGCAGCACGCGTTAAACAACGAAAGACTAATCGCATAGCGAAATGAAGAGAAAGTGCAAGCGTCGGAGACAAATGAGTGCGTATATTCTATTGAATTTCGTTTCGATAGTGCACAGCTCCTGCCCTCTCAGGACGTCGCTGAAGTTGCAATTGCAAGGTGCTCTTTGGCTCCCGAACCTCAATCCACCAAACACCCACACCCACACCCACGATCACCTCTCCCAAGACCGCTTACAACCACCATAAGAGATTCGACCATGCAGTCTACCACCCCACTCTCCCAAGGCTTGCTCGACCTTCCGGCTGAAATACGAATCATCATCTACTCCTTCCTCCTCATTTGCCGTAGCAACAGCCACGTCTCCATCTATCACAACTCCACGCTTACCCGGAATTACACCAGCCACATTACCGGTCTCAGTCGCAGCATTGCCATCCTCCGCGTCTGCAAGTTGATTCAAAAGGAAGCAGCGCCCGTGCTCTATGGCAGCAACAAATTTGTGTTCTGCTCCATGTTCTTTCCCAATTTCTTGGCGCAGATTGGCATCAAGTCGGTATCGCTTCTGCGCGAAGTCGAGCTAAATTGCATCATATATCAGGAAGGGCTCGGTCGTGGTGCCCGCATGCTTGGCTCAGCCGTGTCGATGAAGAAGTTGACGTTGGGAAACGACTTGTGGTCGCCTGAACGTCCAAAACTCATGGCATATACACTGTGGCCAATGGTGAAGAGTCTCGATGCTGCGCGGAAGTCGAAGTCGTGCCCGACGCAAACTCAGACCGACGTTCTGGAAATCTTGGAATTTGTGCAGCAGGTCTTCTCGGAGGATCAATTGCGACTACCAAAGGAACAGGCGAGAGACGAGGCTGTCAACTTTACCAGTCAAGTCAGGGAGATTCTACGAGAGAATCTGCTCCTCGGCGCTTAGCCGCAGCTGCAGTACTGTATTGTTGAAGCCGGAACAAGCCACCGCACAAATCAACGTCCTGCGTTCGATCAGGCTTAATTATCATGGAGAGCAGCTCAGACTCAGGACTTGGCAGGCTCGAGAGATGAGTTAGCGCTGAAATGTTTTGGCTGTTCTGCTCTTCGTATTGCGGCCTCGGGGGATGAGGCGCTGCCTCACTCATCTACATGGCTCTCAATTTACAACTGCATTCTACGCCGGACAATTATTCAATGCTGTGCCAGATTCTCACGTGGCATTCCTAGCAGCTGGAGCACAAAGTTGCGCAAACTTGCTCAAGGCTGAATCCTTCAGGCTCTGCTAGCCAAGAACAGCTTAGCTCGTGATATTTGCCTACCTTCTCTGCAGACACTCCACAGGCCAGACTCTTCTAAAACGTTCTCAAGCACGCGAGGCATTGCGCTAACGTTACGCCTTCCAATCCTTGACCACAATGTGCGCTGCTTATTAACCCTTCAAATCTTCTTGGAGATGCAACCCTGGCTCCGTTCTTAGCTCTTTCCTGTTGAACCACCAGCGGAAGACCAGCCCGAGTGAACCAGATTGATTCGCGAAGACTATCGAGAAATCGAGTACTATGGACTCCATGAAGATGGGAACTCCATGGCTGGACAAGCCCTTGTCCGAGACCTACCGAGACTTCACCTGTCAGTTCAACGACACAGCTTTGTGCGAGTATGAGTCTGGATACTGGAGATTCTGGTGAGCAATGTGCAACGATAAACGCTTCATATTAAACGATGCTAATAAACACTACAGGTACGAAGCCGACCATCGTTATGCTCTCCCAACAATCGCTTTCTTCCTCGCCACGATTCTCGTCTTCGCGATAGCAAGCATCTTCAACCAATTCGCTTCAACCTCCATACACCACAATGCATACATCAGGCAAGCAACAGCCTACTCTCGCTTCCTCAGCTACAAGACCTTCCGAATCTCATCCCTCAACTGGAACTCAGCACCAATCGGCATCCTCGCCCTAGGCGCGATCGGAGCGATTTATTTCTTCTGCATGACACTCGCCCCAAGACCATACTACTGGCCCAACACAGAAACGATCAATTTTGGTAGCTCACCGCCAATCGCCACAAGATCGGGCTGGCTATCGTTAGCATGTATGCCATTCGTATTCGCAACAGCAGGCAAGAGTAATTTCGTCACTGCTGTGACGGGAGTCAGTCATGAGAAGCTACAAGTGTTCCATCGATGGATCTCCTATGCGTTCTTGGTGACTGCGTTGATACATACTTTCCCTTTTATTGTTTATAATATCAAGACTGGGACAATGAAGGAGAGCTGGGATACTTTGGTATTCTACTGGACTGGAGTCGTGGCGCTTATTGCTCAGGCATGGTTGACTTTTGCGTCTTTTGGACCTTTGAGGTAAGAAACCCGTCCTGAACAGCGAGTGGAAAGGTATGCTGATGGTGAAACAGAACGTTGTGCTACGAATGGTTCAAGTTCTCGCATTTTGTCGCAGCTTTGGTCTTCGTGCTTTTCCTGTTCTTCCACTGCGATCATACGCTTTCGTCATGGTAAGTTCTCTCTCTCGCCACACTCACGCCGAAAATAAAGCTAACCTCACCCTCAAAGGGACTACTTCATCGCAACCGGCGTCCTCTTTTCATTATCATGGCTTCATCGCCAAATCCGAATCTACTTCCAACACGGCATCAGCCATCGTGCATCCGTCAGCATCGCATCGAACGGCTTCATCTGTGCACGAATCCCCACGCAAGCATCTTGGACCGTCGGACAACATTTCTTCATACGATTCATGTCTCTGGGACTACATGCCTGCACGATCCATCCTTTCACCGCATGCTCGCTTCCAACAAGAACAAGCTACCTCGCAAAAACGGATTCCGAGCTCGTCTTGTACATCCGACCACGAGGCGGCTTCACAAGCAGACTTGCCCGGCACGCAGAAGCTCATCCCAACAGTCCCATCAGAGTCCTCCTGGACGGACCATACGGAGGTGTCGATATGCAGAGACTCGTCACAGGCCAGCGTCAATTGATCGTAGCGGGAGGCTCAGGTGCTGGTTGGCTCTTGCCGATGATCAGTGCTTTCCTTAGAAGACAAGAACTTTCTGGCCCAGATGTCGTGCCCTCAAGTGCCAAAGTTGTGCTTGCGACACGAGATCTCGCTACATGCTCGTGGTTTGAAGAGACTGTTCGAGAACTTCTGGCCTCGGAGGAAGGAAAGTTACCAGCAAATCTTGAAGTCGAGGTGTACTATACCGGTTCCGAAGCGGCGGTAGAAACTGGTCAGCTCCTGCACAGCACTGAGAAGCCAGAGAAAGCTGAAAACGTCCAGCGAACCCTCGAGCGGGGAGATTCTGGGTCTGATTCCTCTGATTCTCGACCGATGGATATTTCAGGTATCAAGCACTTTCAAGCGAGACCTGACCTGCGAGCCATGATTCGGGCAGAAGCGACCTCGTCAAGTCTAACGGATGAGCTTGGCGTCTTCGTTTGCGGTCCTTTGAGTATGCAGAGTGATGTCTCGAATGCGGTTGCGCAGGAGCAGTTGCCGGTTATGAAGAATGGGGCCAAGAGTATTTATCTTCACATGGAGCACTTTTCTTGGGCTTGATCGCTTCGTAGAGTGGAGTAAGAACTACGAACTTTATGGGTCCGTGTTTTCCAGTACGCTGATGCCAAGTATGACGATGGTATGGTATTGCTGCTGCGATCCTAAACGTTGAGTAGCTTCGTCTAGAGTCGTTGCTAGAGGGTGTGGTACGCATTCGAGGAGAGCTTCCGTGGACATGCTGCTGAAGGCCGAATTTGAGTTCGTGCCAGTATTGGTGCGAGAGCGAATCCTATCGTGCTGCTATCAAGCGTCTCGCCGAAAGGATCAATCATGAATCCCTCGGATCCCTCAAACCCCTCGAATCCCTCGCCAGCTTCGATGAAGGCCAAAGCATCGTTCGCACCAGTAAAAGCCCTAGACAAGAATATTCCTCTTCTTCCTCCGCTCTTCGCCAAGGTCAGCGCTGACTGCTTCGGAATTGCTCTCAAAAATTTCAGATCAGGCGACCTCGGATCCGGAGGAAGGTCGTCGAGCTACGAACCAGTTACGAGAAGCAATGATGACCAAGATCAAGAATATTGCAACGACCCAGATATAAAGCTTTGCCCAATAAGCGCAGTATTCGTCTCTCTGGGGTTGTCGCATCGTGCTTCTGGGGACGAACATGTTGTGTGATGGCATCGATGGCAGGGGTGCTTGTTGGGATTCGCTACATCTATTCTATGGCATCTCACCAGTAGTAGGAAGTCTTCTGCATCGCGGAAGATTCAGAAGAGGTTCGCTTGGAGGAAGAAGTGTTCTTCATCATCAAACCCGAAGCCGGAAGGTCCGGATGCTTACATGTCGGGTGTGTAGAGGTTCCTCGGATGGGGGGACTCAGAAATCCTGACCACCGAAATCACCGACCTGACCACCGAATTGACCAATCGGATAGAGCCGTAGTAGTCCGTACGGTGGGCCGTGCGTAGCCTCGGCTTAAGTTAGCCCTACTTGCCGAAAGTTAATCGGAATCGACTAGGAATCGAATAGGAATCGAATAGGAATCGAATAGGAATCGAATAGGAATCGAATAGAAATCGAATAGGAATCGAATAGGAATCGAATAGGAATCGAATAGGAATCGGATAGGAATCGAAAAGGAATAGGAAAGGAATAAGAAAGGAATAGGAAAGGAATAGGAAAGGAATAAAAGATAAAGTAGATTTCTATAGCTTTAGATAACTTTAATAACTAAAAAACTTATAAATCTAAAACTAGATACGGCTAGTAAGTATAAAAGTAGAAGTATATGTAAGTTAAGGCCTAGCGCTATAATTTTATAAGCTATAACTAAGTAAATAAATTACTTTAATAAGACTCTTAAAGAATTCTAGTACAATTTAATTAGAAGTTATATAGAAACTAAATAGGTCTAGAAGGCAAATATAGTCCTAGCTTTACTTCTAACTAGATACTACTAGAGTAGTTCTAGGTAGAACTAAGTAGTATATCTAATTCTAGGTATAATAATATCTAGTAGTGTTTTCATATAGGTATATATCTAGTATATAGGGCTATATTATTAGTAATCTATATTCGTTTGTTATAGGAGTATATTTTAGTACTATCTATATCCTACTTATATTCTAATTAAACTCGCTACTAGAATTAGTGCTATTATTAAAGTAGATTTTTCTTCTAATTAAACTAAGTCTTATTATTTTAATATAATAATATTTTCTATATAGGTAAGCTATTTAGTTATTTCATTTAGTACTTAGCTAAGTTTTTCTAAAATTCTATATAAATCCTTTCTAAATTCTTTCTATTCTGTTTTCTTTATATTCTATTCGTATTAGCTACTATAATTATTTTTTATTATCTAAATAGTTAATAGTCTCTAAGTCTAGTTAGAGAAAGTCTTAGTAATTAACTAATATAATTTTTAAATATAGCTAATCTACTAGCTAATTAGTTATTTTAGTATTTAGCTAAACTATTTCTAAAATTCTATCCGAATCCTATCCGAATCCTATCCGATTCCTATCCGATTCCTATCCGATTCCTATCCGATTCCTATCCGATTCCTATCTAATTCCTTTCTAAAATCTTTCTAAGTCCTTTCTATATTCTATTTTAATCCTAGTTAAATTCTTTTCGAGTCCTATTAAATTAAATCCTATTCGAATCTAATTCGAATCCTATTTATTTAGATTTCATTTAGATTTAATTTAGATTTAATTAAGTTCTATTTGAATTTTATTTAATTTCTATCTAAATCTACCCCTAAAACTCTTAAACTCCTTTATATTTTTAAAATTATATTCTATTTACTTTCTATTCTATTTATATTCTATTTGTATTCTTAATATTTTCTATTTATATTAGCTACTATAATTATTTTTATTATTTTAATAGTATTTTATAGTCTCTAAGTCTAATTAGAGAGAATCTTAGTAATTAGCTAATATAATTTTAAAATATAGCTAATTTAGTAGTTAGCTAAACTATAATTTAACTATTTCTTAGATTCTATTTAAATTCTATCTAATTCCTATCCGATTCCTATCCGATTCCTATCCGATTCCTATCCGATTCCTATCCGATTCCTATCCGATTCCTATCCGATTCCTATCCGATTCCTATCCGATTCCTATCCGATTCCTATCTAATTCCTATCTAATTCCTATCCGATTCCTATCCGATTCCTATCCGATTCCTATCTAATTCCTATCCGATTCCTATCCGATTCCTATCCGATTCCTATCCGATTCCTAGCTAATCCCTATCTAATTCCTATCCGATTTCTATTTTATTCCTATCCGCTTTCTATCTAATTATTATCTAATTCCTTTCTAAATTGTTTTTTAAGAGTACTATATTAATTCTATTTAAATTGTATTTAATTCCTATTTAATTCCTATCTAAATCCTTTCCGAATCCTTTCTTAATCCTTTCCGAATCCTTCCCGAATCCTTTCCGAATCCTTTCCGAATCCTTTCCGAATCCTTTCCGAATCCTTTCCGAATCCTTTTAAAAAATCTTTACCCTATAGTAATTATTATAGAAGTAAAAAAATAAAAGATTATTTATTTCTTATTGAAATTTCATTTAAATTCTATTAAAAATATAATAAACTTACTCAATGGTTTCGCATTCCAATTAGCTTAACCTCGGCTAACCCCCTGTCATTTTAGAGTTCCTGACCACCGCGGTGGTCAGCTCGGCGATTTTGGTGGTCAGACCGGCGCTGCGCTCCTCGGATGGATACATGCATGCTAGTTGTAACGCCTTCACGGAAGAGGAGAAGCCCAGGAGCAGGGGTATGCCAGTGTTGCAAAACGAGCTCTGGCAGCGAGAGCAGCAGTCCAGCCTGTCCAGGATACTCAAGGCTTTTGAGGGGGTACATATATACATACATACGGAGTTCCAGACTTCCAGTACAGTAATTCAGCCTTTCGTTGTCTCTGTGCACAGACCACTCGCTTAGCTACCCAATAGCTCCTTCCTCACGCTGTCCAAGCTATACGCAAGCCTTCCGCATATCAGATCAACATCAATAAAACCTCACAATCCTCCCACGATATTGCCTCAACAAACCCTCCGTCTCCGCATCCAACAATCCACTCCAATCTCCTCGACTCTTAGCATCCTCAATCTCACTTTCCTTACGTTTCGCAAAACAGCCCTTGACTGCTTTACAAACGGCCACGATTTCGCCAAGCCTGCAGTGACCCAGTGTGACAAGTACGTCTCCGCCGCAGGCTTTCGTCGTGGAACGGGAGATGCGCAAGTCGATCGTGCAGGGCTGCTCTGTGAGGTACATGCGCATTGCGGAAGTGTCTTCGAGGCGGAGGAATTCTGTTGTGGAGTTTTGATAGATGAGAGGGAGAGGGTGTTTGGCCGTGGGTTTTGATGAGGTGCCGTGTGGCCAGAGCTGGTTCGAAACTAATGGATTGAGATCTATTGCGTCGGTAGTCGTTCGGCCTTTTGGAGTGTTGTGTCGCCAAGGTATGATGCTCCTCTTGTACGCGGTATCCTGAAGGTCTTGGTGGTGTTTTGCATAGTTCGCGTCGAGATCGGTTAGGAGAAAGATCTTTTTCTGCAGTGGCTTTGATCCATAGATTGTGTCGCGGAAAGTCGAGCTGACGCGAATGCAGGTTAAAATCGTTCTCGATGGAGTATCGAGAAGTATTTCTTCAAGAAGCTCAACGGTGGTGAAAAGAGGGCTCGTGGCTGCGCTCATTGAGATCCTGTGATCTGATATTCAACCTATCTAGATTCGCCGCTTTGCTTACAGAAACATGTCTCCTTGGGAGAGGACTTCCATCGAGGACTTTAAGGGTTGCGACATGTAAGACTACCTTTGGCATGTCCCTTGCTCATGGTCGAGAAATCAACTTGTCACGAGGTCAGCACGCTTTGTATTATGTATTAGAAACCCAATGTGAACATGAAGTGCGGTGCATCTGATCGCAGGAGCACGAGCTGAGACGATTTCTGTGCAACAGCCATGTTTTTATAACGTAAAACGTGAGGGGTTGCCAATTGCCGGAAAGGGTATTTTCTGTGGCTCATAGTCTCATAGTTGTACTCATGAAACTGCAACGGCATGGCAAATACTGTAGAAAGCACCAGAAGTGGGCGCTCGAATGTCTCGTCCCCAAGTCGTCCAGTCGTGCTGAATGGCCTGGGTCTCTCATGAGAAATGTCAGCAGCGCCAGGTAGGAGAGGCAATGCCAAACCAGGCCTTTCCACGAACGGCCCATCGGGCATTTGAATTGTGGGTTTAACTTTACAGTATGGTCGGGATGGTCATGTTGAGACACAGCTCTGACGTTTTGACACGCTCTGAGGCCATTGAAGCGTTGGTCTAGTCCCCAGTATAGCCCGCAGCAGTAAGTTCCTTCCTCACCTGCTCCTCAGTACCGATCTTGAGCACCTGCGTGCCTTCGAGTTTCTCGCCCCCAGCCTGTCTCATCTTTAGGTCATCAATTGCTCGCAGCTTCTTCAGTAGTGATCGGATCTTCTTCTCTTCAGGCGTGCCCGCACCTGGAGATGTAACACTCAGCTCGGGGGCCTCGACGGCAGCAGCGGCAGGAGCGACCGTGGCACCGTTGGCGCGACCCTTAGTCGCGGCAGGTGCGCCAGAGTGAGGCTGCTGGGTGTTGACCGGCGGTGGTGCGTCGCGCCGTCTCGAATGAGGTCGGGAGCCGTGCTGTTGATTGCCTCTCTGTGTGTTCGAGCGGCTTCGAGAGCGTTGGTTGCGATCGTGGGGGCCTTCACCGTTCTGTCCTGGAGCCTGCAGGCCTTGCGACTTCGCCTCTGCCTCCTTCGCTTTCTTAGCCTCACGCTTCTTCTTGTTCTTGAGAGCTGCCTTGCTCAGATTCTCGTCGCCATCTTGAGCAAGAGACACACCTCCGCCTGGCGCAGCGCCAGGAGGGAGATCGCCACTGACCGTCTCAGCACCAGGTACGTGACGTGGTCTAGGCGCCCTAGGCCCGAACCCGTTCGTTGCTGGCTCTTTACCAGACATCATCTCCCTCACAAAGGCAGCACCGCCTTCGTCTTCACGCTTGAAGGCCAATGGCGTGGCAGTGCCGCGGGCACCAGGTGGTCGGTAAGCACCAGCAGGCTTTGAAGGCGTCTTTCGAGTGCCAAGGTAAGCTAAAGCTGATGGGTGTGGAGTTGGGACTGGGTGAAGTGCGTTCTCGACAGGGTGCAGCGTAGCAGACTGAGGGCGCCAAGTGACTTGGTATAGCTCCGTCATATCCTCGTTGTACATCAAACCACCTCCAACATGCCAGATACGAATCCCGTTGTCCACACGAAGGCGCGGGCTCGTGGTCGCCGTCAAAATGTGCTTGCCATCGGGGCTCCACTCGCAAACGGAAGCGTTGCTGGCCTCAATCGTGCACACCTTCTCGTAATTCTTCGACAAGTCGTAGATGTCCATCTGTCCCGCCAAGTTTCCAAAGCCGGCAACAATAACGAATCGACCGTGAGGAGAGAACAGAATCGTGTTCCTGGGTCCAAGGTTGAAGCTGTGCTGAGCGATAGCACGGTGGTTGAAGATTGTCGTCTTGGCTGGCATGTAGCCGTATACGACACCAAACTCCTTCGAGTTTGGAGACCACGTCACGTCGTGGATGGGACCCTCTTTATCGAGTGTGATACGAGAGTCAAACCCGCCATTAGCGCTCAGGATGTACATGTTTGTCTCTCCGTAGTAACTCTTGTTGCTCTTATCAACCTCAGTCTGCGCGAGTACAATCAGGCTGGTACCCTCCTGGTTCCACTTAAGCTGAACCTTGTCGCCCTTGAAAAATGTCTTCTGCGACACGGGCTGCGTGAACTGCGGAACGTTGAAGACCTTGACGGCGGCAGGCTGACCATTGCGCTCAGGCACGAAGACCGCCACAGAGTTGGTCTTGCCAGGCGATAGCGCAAAGTCGGTGACGCCCTCGACGCGCAGCTTGGTCCAGACAGTGCCAAGATCTTTGCTCTCGTAAAATTGCACCTCGTTGTTTACACAACGAGCACAGAACTGTTCGTCCTGCGTGTATTGCAAGTTCCAGCCAGTCTGATTCTTCTGCACAAATTTGCCTACAACGGCGCGCTCGCCATCTTCGCCGGCATTTTCGTCGATTGTACGCCACACCTTCAAATTCTTCGTCGCATTTCCCTCCTCGTCCTTGGACGGGCGTTGCCAGGTAATGATGAAGGTGCCAGCGGGTGAGAAGCCGAGCTCGAAGACATTATCGGCGGGCAGCGTAGTGACAACATGGCCCGTGGAGGCATCAACGACGGTTACGTGTTCTGGCGAGGCCCAGGCAAAGAATCGGCCGTCTGGAGAGTAGACGCTACACCGGAGATTGCCCTCTGGACGCTGAAAGCCAGGAAGAGCCTCGTAGACGGGAGCTGCGTCGAACACGCCGATGTGCTTGGAAGTGCGGTCTGTAGCGGTCAGCGTCCATTACTATTACGTGCAGGAAGACATCGGGGACTTACAGGCAAGCTGAGTCGGTTGTGCCATGGCGACGATGGGCTCTGCGGGATTGAGCCTTGCTGTCGCACCGCGTAGCTGTCGACCCGAAACTTGCGTTGTCGTTGCCTGACGTGCGCGCGTGCTCGTGCGCTTGGACTGCAGTTCAAGTTTGTGGCTCTTTGTTGATGCGCTTGTTTTGGAAGTCTTTATTTGGCAGTGGCTGGTGCTTGTGGCCTGAGTTGAATAGTTAAATCCACCTCAGTGAAGGGCAATTCTCAGCAGTTCAGTCAACTGGAGCGCAACAAGAAGCGGCGTGGCCTCGAGAGCGAGCTTGGAGTGGGATGCAGGTGAGAAGGAGGCTCAGAGTGATCATTTCGAGTTCTGCCGGACGCAGACGCAACAGCTGGCGGCGGGACGGATCGCTGTTCGCGGGATCTGCCGAGGAAACCTTGTCTGCTGGCGTCCGGCGTCCGCGACTTTGACACTTTGTGCAAGCAGCGAGACTGCTTACTGTCACAGTAGCGACAATGCCTCCTGCGACGCCGCTGCCGGCAGCCGCGCCTTCGCCAGAGGTGCCGCCTGCATGCCCCCTGCTCGCCCTTCCTGCCGAATTGAAGGATGAGATATATCGACTAGCTCTCATGGAGAAGAATGCGCTTGAAGTCACTGCGGACGGTTACAGACGGCCAGCTCTCCTGAATACATGCAGAGAGATTCGATCAGAGACCTTGAAAATCTGGTACTACGGGAGCCGTTTCAAAATCTCTGTGTATGACTTCAACTCGGACACGATATTCCGCTTTACTAGCTCAGTGCGAGCCTTCGGCATCAGGCTGAGCCTAGTGAATTGTCGGTGCAACTACTACCACAACCCTCCCTCGTGGACGAATCTAGTCTGTTGGCTAAGACGGTATCATGCAAAGGAAATCCACTTGGCGTGTTTTCGAATTGCAAGATTAAATGTACTGCAGCGTAAACCCCACCTCGCCTCACCACACATGGTTGCAGGGATGTTTGCTACTGTGAAGGCGATGCGGGACAAGCCCTGGAAAGATGTCGAGGAGTTGATGAAGACTCTCAGACCATGTTTGGCTGTCCAAGATCGGAGGTGGAAAGAGGACTAGGCTCGCGTCGTGGCCGGAATGCATGAGTGTTCGGAAGCTCCTGTTGAGGCACCCGGCCAAGAGTACAGGACCAAAGTTCCTTTTCATGAGCCTGTGCCGGGAGTCCAACCAGCTCATGATCGGGGAGGAGTGATTGAGCGTCACCAGCGGATCAGAGGAGCTCGTTTGAATACCGAGTGGCTGAATTTACATCTTGAGAAGGCGCTGATGAAGAGTTGCAGCAGCCTCGCGTTTCCGCTAACCAAAGTACTTACATTTCCCAAGACTCCTACTCCTTTTGTCTCCTTTTGGTATCAGCACCATTGAGCCACCATTGTTCTATTCCCTTGACGAATTCCTGGGTGAAGTCCGACAAGCTGAAGTGGAGCAAGAATTGCTGTCAAATGCTGCGTACGGCTTAAATCTGATCGTTTCCTACAATTAGCAGATTCTGAGGAAGACGATGAGAGCACAGCTATCCATCAAGGTGTTGTAAAGCATAATTTGACCTCAGCTCGTCCAGTCCGGCAGCAATACCTTTCTTCCTTCGATCTTACCATCGTCTAAATCTTTCAACACTTGTAGCAGTCCATTGACGCTGGCAGTACTCAATTCCGGCCGAATCACGCCATCCGCTAACAGATCCAGACATTCTTTCAGCCCTTCGATCTCGCCAGCAAAAGTCCCTTTAATGGCGTAGCATTTTGAGACCATCAGTGCCGGGAGCAGTGGCGTCTGCATACTCAGAAGTCCGACCACGACAATCGTTCCCGCTGGCCTCACAACCATCTGAGCCGCGATATGCGTCTGATCATGACCAACAAAATCAATCACCTTATCAATACCCACACCTCTCTCAGCCAGCACCTCATGCATCGGCTTCTTCTCATAATGCTCCTCCCCAGAACAAAAAGCATTCTCCTTCCTAACACCCAATCTAACCGCCGCCTTCACAGCCTCGGGTTTCTTATCAAGAACATAAAGATTATCCTCCTTGACACCAAGATACTTCACAATCTGCACACCATTCAACCCCAAGCCCCCAAGCCCAACTATCGCCACCGTATCCTCCGGCCCAACCTCACCCGTATACTTGATCGCATGATACGCTGTCAAAATCGCATCCGGAGCAATCGCCGCATCCTCAATCCTCACACCTTCCGGAACTTTCACACAAGCATCAGCCCTCGCAGCTACAATTTCCTGCATGAACCCATCTTTCTCTAAACCATAACCGCCGTTATTGGGTTCTCTACACAATCTTCTAAATCCGAGTTTACATTCTCGACATGAACCACAACCGGGTACGATATGGATGGAGACTTTATCTCCGACTTGGAGACTGGAGACTTCTGAGCCGATTTCCAAAATTTCTCCGGCGCCTTCGTGGCCTAGAGTGAATTCTGTGTTGCCTGGCAGAGGTTCTGGACGGGCTATGATGAGGCAATCGGAGTGGCAGACGCCCATTGCTAGCATTTTTACTAGGACGCCGTTCGAGGCACATTTTGGGACTTGGATTCGTTTTTTGCAGAGGACGTCTGGTTTTCGGCCTTGATGACAGCGCCAGGCCCATTGGAGATTCTGGTCGTTTGTGTCTGAGGCCATTTTGGGCTTGCCTGTGTTCCTCAAGGTTTCTGAAGGTATGTAAGAACTGAAGATGTATAGACGAAGGCTTTGGAGCAGACCTGTTCTTGACGAGTGCCTTCCCCAGCTTTCCTTGAAGTATACAGCTTCTGACTCACGTTATGCTACTCAAATTGCTTACCTGAGAATCTCCGCATCAAGTCATCTCGGGGTATGATGCCGGATCGTGCAGAACGTGTAGGCGAGCTCAGCTCCTGAGACTTGGGGATCGAGGCCGAGGTTGCGAAGCGCCTTGATTTCAGCCGTCAAATTTTGATGGTTGAATTGAGGGCTTCAAACTTGCCCAGTGGGCCAGTGGAAGCCGCTTTCGCGCTCAACTCTCAACATCGAGCAATAAGATTGTTTTTATTTCAGCAGCTAACTACATGGCAGCTAGCTACTACCTTGTCTGCCATTCATTAACTGCTATAGAGGAGTTACCCGGCACCGGCAGCTCGTTAAGGGAGTCGAACCCTTCTACTATCGCTCCCCTATATACTATCTTCCGTCGATAGTAATTAGTACCGCACCTACTTAATTCAAGGGAAGAGCGTACGAGGACTGGAATACTACGCTACCTTAATCCTATATAATCCTTTCTAAATCTAATAACACTAAAGCCTAGAAGGGCCCTTTAGTAATATATACCTACTAAAGGATCCGAGGCTCCTATCGGATCCTAACCTGCTTCGGTTCCTACCCCTAGAGTTGCTTAAAGGTCCTCGCGTTATACTTCTTTCCTATATACTTATTAGTTAAGCAGGCTATCCGATTAACGTAGACCTGTTTCCTAATTAATGTTCTAAAAAACTTAACTACTGTATCGATACGCTAATAGTTAACCGGCTTAGTAAAGGAGTATAATAGGTAACACTTCTACAAACCCTATACTAGAGCCTAGCTTAGTACGAGCTAGCGCCTTCTATCTAATCTACGGAGGTTTAGTAAAAAGGCGGTTAAGACTACTAGCCCGTCTAACGTCCTTACCTCTAGAACTTAGACCGAGGAGACTCTATACTACATTAAGTAGAACTCCTCCTAAACCGCCTTAGAGACCTTATAGTCTAGCTAAATATGGTTTAGGGAGAGATCCCTCCCGTCTACTAGGCATATCTGCTATACCGGTTCGATCTAGGTAAGCTAAGAGCCCGATTAGACCTTTCTATATACGATCCGCTAGAGTAGGTTACCTGCCTTTAGCGTACCGTATAGGAGGCGGAGTGATTTCTAGAGGTCCTCTAGGTCTATTTTATATCCCGTTATTAACTTATATGCCTAGAGATACCTCTAGGTTAGCCTATTAAAGCTATGTCCCTTTAGGCGCCTCGTAACGAAAGTCCTATACGCCGTAGCGAAGCCGACTTTGCTAAGCTTAGCCGGGTCGCTATAGGTTCTAAACTGGTATTTATAACGAGGCCGAGATCTCTAAGGTCTATCCCTCTTATTAAGTAGGGCCCGCTAGTCCGTCGGTAGGGCTTTAATTAAGCCCCTAATAGCCTTACGGGCCCTATTAATGTTACTTCTGCTAACAATTGTAGCAGGAATATTAGGGGCTCTTTTATTAGGGTCCTATACGTCCCCTAATAGTCGAGCCCCTATATTCTAGAGTAGCTTCTATCCCTTACTATTCTACCGCCTTGCCCCCGCCCCTAGTCCTAGAGAGATTAGGGGGTAGTAGAACAATACGGTAGATAGTATATTATTGCGAGTCTTCGGCGGGTCTATTACGATAATATAGTCCTCCTTAGTAAAGTTATAGAGTAAACTCTACCTTCTCTAGAGGTAACCTACCGAACCTAGAACCGCCTAAACTCGCGAGGAGAAGGCCTAGATCTAGGGGTTAGTAACTGTATTATTAATAGACTAGGTACTAGCGCATCCTACTAATACCTCGTTCGCTAGAGAGGCCTATACTAGACTAGGTCTAGTAGTAGCTCGCATTATAGTAGCAGTAATACTACTATTAATAATAGAGTTAATATCTATATAGCCTAAGCCGCCTTCCTTTCTCGCGTAGCAGGCTTTTAGGTTAGTAATCGTGTGTCTCCGGCTATCCTATACTAGGCGATAGTACTCCTTTTCTAACGCCTTTCTCGTCGATATAGGGACTTTAAGGAACCTTATCGCGTATCGGGGCAAAGACATTATTAGGGCATTCGCTACTAACACTCTCCCTTTTAAAGATAGGTAATATTTCAACTATTAGGAGGCTACCGTTTCGAACTTGTCCTAGATTTTCACCTAGAAGTCCCTTAATTGTATATCGATGTCTATCCCTACTAGGATCCCTAAGTGTTTATAGGGGTGCTCCGGAGAGACTACCTAGACATTAGGTAAAGCTAATAGTTGGATATTACCGATATAGAGGATGTATAATTTATCCTAGTTAACCTTTGTACCTAATACTGCGGAGTATATATTAAGCGCTTTTATTAGGGCGTTTACCTCTAATTAATTACGTAGAACTACCGCCGTATTATCTATATACATTATTAGCTTAATAACCTGTCCCTTCGTAAAGACCCTAGAAATCTCTAGGTCCCTTAGGATAAGTTAGGCTAATCCCTTAATAGCTGCGATATAGAGAGGATAACTTATAGGGTTACCTTAGCGTACGCTATAGTAAACCTAAATCGAATCTCTAAGGAAGCCGTTTAAGTAAACCCGAGTACGTGCATTAGAGTACAATAGCTTGATCTACCTAATAAACTAGTCTAGGAAGCCGAGTTTACGCAATACCGCCTAAAGGAAAGTATAGCTAACTCTATCGTAGGCTTTCTCCTAATCTAGGAAGAGGATAGCGATAGGCTCTTTATTAATCGGGGGTCTATTACCTCGAGGTCGATATCGGTCGATTAGGAACTAAACTGTCCTAATATTATCGTTAATTAAGCGCCCTAGTAAAAAGGCACTTTAATAGGGGCCGATAACATCCTTTAATACGTATACTATCCTTTGTATAAGAACCTTAGTAAAGATCTTATAATCAACGTTTATTATAGATAGCGGTCGGTAATTCTTTAGCTCCTCGGGAGAGCCCTTTTCCTTATAGAGAAGGGTAAGGATACCGTCTGTCTATCCCTCTAGGAGCTCGTTCCTAACTATTATTTGCTTACTAACCTTAGCGATCCGGTAGGCAATTAGTAGCGGTTCTTGTTCTACTTTCCTATTAGTCCTAATTCGTACGGTACTCGGTTCTACGCGGATAAGAGCTTTGTAATACTTAGTAGGTAAGCTATTAAACCCCGGCGACCTCCCTACGGCCGCTCTTTTAAGCGATAACTAAACCTTATCTATATAGTTAAGGTCGATATAGTCCTCTACCGATTTCGTACTAATCCTTTTATCTAAACAGTTTAAGATCCTATCGCGGGCCTACCTAGCCGATAGCTTTTTAGCATATAGCTCCGTATAAAACTGTCCGGCAATAGCTAAGAGTTCCTTAGGTTTAGTTCGAACTATACCTTTATTGTCTAATAGGCTAGAGATATAGGTGTACGTTATTGCCTTATATAAAGAGAAGAACCACTTAGTAGGCCGCTCTCCTAATAGCAAGTGCTTAGCTAGGGCGCAGTAAGAGTAGTTCTTAAATTGCTACTTAGCGAGGTAACTTTCCTTTACCTCTATAGCCTCGATCCTAAGCTCTAGGTCTCGATCTACTACTTTAGACCTTTGCTTACTTATTAAAGTCGAGCGCTGCCTCGTCAAATTCCTAGAGAGCTTGCGTAATCGCTTATACCGCTCCTCTATTATTAGGCGAAGGCCGGCTTGAATGCCCGCTTTGTACTTAGGCCATTTACTAATAAGGTCCTTATAGGGTAATAGGATAAGAGCTTAGTAGTAGCTAGCTACTACCTATCTTTTGTCTAGTATTAATAGGTATAACCGCTATCTTCCTAGTCTACGTTTATTAGATTTAGGCCGTCCAATTTTAATAGATACCGCCTTATAGTCGGAAATCCCGCTATTTAATAGTATTCGCTATTAAGCTATCCTACTAAACTAGTTAGCCCGTACGTAAATACGGTCAATCCTCGATATTCCGGAGGATAGAACAAAATACGTAAATTTAATGCAGTTAGGATAGAGCTCTCTCTATCTATTAATAAAGTTAGTATTATTAGATCGCAGTTTACCTATAAATTGCTTTATAGCTAAGACTACCGAAACCCGACTAGGAGCCCCGCTCCTTCTATTAATGCCTAGGGAGCACTAGTTCTAGTCCCCTCTAACTATATTACAGTTAATAGGTTCTGCTAACTTACTTAATCTTATCGACGCTTAGTTAAAGTACTTAAGCCTCGGTCTAATGTTCGCTAGGGCGTATATATAGGAGACAGTGAATACGACCTCTTTGCAGATTAACCTATAAACTAAAAGCCTCCTATCTAGGTCCGCGTAAAGGGGTAAGCCTTTAGCAAACGCAGTAGTAAAGCTATTAACTAGGATGCCTACGCCTCCTCTATCCGCAACCGACGGGTTATTAAGGAAGAGGATGCCTAGGAACATTAGCTTATAATACAAAGACATTTTATTACTTAGGCGTATATCCTAAAGTAACATAATATCAAACTAGCGGCTTCTTATAAACTTATAGACCGTACGAAATCTAGCGGGATTGCGTACCGAGTTAACATTCAAAGAGCAAATACGTACAATAAGTCCCTTTATAACTTAGGTTTAAAAGGTAGTATCGACTCGACCCCCTATTTATTTATAAAAATAACTGTTTCTACCTCTAGACAGGCTAGGGTAGGGTAAGCCTTATTACAAACGTTACAGGACTGGTTAAGCTTTGCCGCTACAAAGAGAGCTATAAATAGTTTAGTGTGTCCTAAGTTAGCCTTCCCTAGGGGGATCTTAACCTATTAGATACTACAAACCCTATTAAAATAAAGAACAAATTAGCCTATACGGGCACTAAAGCCGACTTGCTAACCTAACTAAAAGGAGATATCCTTTAGACGCTCTTTAAGGCTAGCAATTGTAGTAGCAATTAGGTAACTACTCGAGGGCGGGGCGTTCTTATAGTAGAATACCCTAGGTCCGCTAGTCCGAAATAGACTAACCTCTATTCGATAACTATTATAGTTAAAGTCTTTCCCTAACGCTCTCCGGGCGTCCTTAATTTGGTATAAACTAATAACAAAGCCCCCTACCTAGTATACCGCCTCCTCGATCCTACCGACTAGTACTATACTAGATCGAAAAGCCGCCTTAATAAAAGGGTGTAATCGTTTAGGCGGGTCGTCCGATAGAGCGGACGGCTACCTAATAAACAGGTGCCTTCTATTAGCGTACTAATAAGCCGTATTATCTAAAAGACTACTCGAAACGTTCTTCGCCCTTATAGACGTTTTAGTAAGAGTAGCCTTTAGCTTATAAATAGCCGGTGTTAGTCGGGCCGTAGTAGAGCTAGCGGCCCTAGAGGAGCTCGATCCTAAGATAGACGTCTCTAATAAGGACTACGTAACGTCCTTAACATTTGAAGAGCGACCGCGGCTCTTAGAGTAGGCCTTCTAGGGCCTATCCTTCGGTACTTTACTCTTCTTCCTTAGTACTTCTACTTAAGGGGAGCCTACTATTAAAGGCGTAGTTCCCCTCTTTCGTCTAATTAGTAATAGCTTAAAAGCAGAAGCGTTAGGGGTTAACGGGCGCGGTATTAGTTAGGTAGTAGCTTAATTATTAACCTCTATTTTACTAGAGATTAGTTTACTACTAGGGCAATCGGCCGGGAGATGCTTAAGGCTCGTATACCTATTGCGTCTATATAGCCGAGTTAGAGCCTTACTATTAGAGCCTTCGGCAGTAATAGTTTTAGCTCTCTTAGCCTTATTAGCCTCCCGCTTCTCCTTCTTCTTACTCTTCCGTTCCTTCTTTGCGGTACGTTAGTCCTCGACCTTTTAGGGCTTATCGGCCTAATCCTCTAGATCTTAGCGCGCTATCCTTAGGAAACTTGCTACGAAGGCATTAGTCTCTAACTATTTACTCGGACTTAAAGTAGCGTCTAAGTCGTTCGCGGACTTACTATTACTAGTAATATCTAGCTAATTCTCGCGTAAGCGTCTACTAGCTTCCTTAGACAGACTAGTAACTAACAAATTCGATAAAGATTGTTAAATACTCGAAGGCGGGCGTAAAGTGTAGCTAAGGCTAGGTCTTACGTTACGAGAGTATTCTATTATCTTTATTAATATAACTTTAGAGGCTTTTAGGCGATTCTACCGTCGCTAAGGGGCACTACTAACCCCTATTTCGGTACCCCTTTCGGACGCCCCTGAAAATCTCTTTACTAGGCCCCTTCCGTTCTAGCCGGTATTGCCGCTACCGCCGCTATACCCGCACCGCGGAGGAGGAGAAAAGGGAAGGAGAGTAGGCCTTAAAGGGCCTCTAGACGCTCCTAAGGGCTCCAGTCTAGTAGGCTTCCGTCGGGGGGTTTATATATAAAGAGCCATTTAGCTAGCGTGTTATCCGACCCTCTTAGACAGGCCTAGAGGTTGTAAGAAGGTCCGCTATATATCCCTTAGGTTCTCCGCGCAAAGGCGCTCTTCGTGAAACCGATTACAATAGCAGTATATAGTCTGCTATTGTCCTCTCGGCGCTACTAAATAGTGAAGAATCACTAAAGGTGCCCACCGAAGGGTGCTCAACTCTCAACATCTTACTCGCGCCACGGACAAACTGGTGTGTCGAAGCGAGCTTCTTTGTTCACTCGCTCGACTGCTCAGTGGTACTGTGTCCGAGCAGATTAAATGCGTGTTCGACTCATCAACTTGCAGACTGGTTAGACACTGATCTGATAGCCGCCAGTCCACGATGCCGATAGCTGAGAACGAGGCAATGCTGAAGCGCGTGCTAGGGCTGCGAGGCTGGGCTGTCTTGAGCAGCGCCAAAAGGCGAGCATCTTGTCATCATCCTGATTGATAGCAGTTTTCAATGTAGTCCAATATGCCGAATGCACAGCTCGATGTCGCGTCGTATCGGGTTGGCATCCTGTGTGCCCTTTCTCACGAACGAGCCGCGGTGGAGGCAGCGCTCGACGAAGAACACGAATGGCCCAAAGATTACAATGAGGACGACGGAAATGTTTACTCGTTTGGAAAGATTGGCGAACACAATGTGGTGATAGCAAGCCTTCCGGAAGTCAGACTCCTGGTCGGTATCGGAGGCGGTGTACCAAGCAAGCAGCATGATATTCGCCTGGGAGATGTTGTCTTTAGCCAGCCATCTGGTGATCATGGCGGTGTCATATAGTGGGACTTCGGAAAAGCAGAGGTTGGTGGTTTTCGGCGAACCGGCACGCTCAACAAGCCGCCTAGAGATCTCTTGAGCGCCTTATCAGCTCTCAAGGCACGCCATGGGAACCCCAAGCGGAGCAAAGTTGGCGAGCATCTGGCTAAGATCACCGAAGAGCTGAGCGAGCGATATGGCTATCAAGGAGCCGAGAACGACGACCTGTTTCCACCAGATTATGCCCATGTTGCCGGCTCTGAGCCTTGCCATAATACCAATCCGTTTCGAAGGTGCGATATAAAGAGACACATCAAACGAGAAGTACGCTCAAATCCTGGGTCGCCACGGCTGCATTACGGCAATATTGCGTCTGGCGACGAAGTTATCAAGAATGGCCTCGAACGTGACCGCATTGCAAGCGGCCTCGGCGCTCTGTGTTTCGAGATGGAGGCCGCAGGTCTAGAGGACAGTTTCCCGTGCTTGGTCGTACGGGGAATCTGCGACTACTCTGATTCTCACAAGAACAAAGACTGGCAGCGATATGCTGCCGCGACCGCTGCAGCTTTTGCCAGAGAATTTCTGAGCTTCGTACGAGTTCAAACTGCTGACGATCCAACATCGAAGCAGCGCACGAGCGTCGTGCGAGTCGACGGATCGTCATCCTACACTGACAACAATGTCTCAGGTGGCCAAGCACATTTCGGTCATGTATTCAACTTCGGCACGTCATGATCTTGTACGTAGCTACCAGACGGCGTAACCATTTTCAAGCCAGGAATCCCGAAACTTTCCATTTGCGGTGCCCTTCAACGTATCCCAAATGCCCTTAAGTTGCAGTTTTGTTCCGCGACAAGGCTACCTCTCGCTCTAGTCCAGGCGGATTCTTATCTTGGTCGAACCAGGAAGCCCGTTGCGAAATACCTGGACGATCATGACAGATTGTGGACTAAACTCATGGAGGTTCAGCGCCGCTACTCCCCAGCATCTGACGGGCATCGTAGCATTCTCACTATCTGGGAGTTGTCGTACGAGCAAATAGCATCAGAGAGCGCTGCAGCAAGTGGTCTGCTCTGGATGAGCTGGCTGTCGATGATGCGTTTGCCATTCCAATAGACTAATCCACTCCATGGTTTCCGTATGGCCAGCTGGAGACGCCTACTCCATACACCCATTCGTACATAAGTGGAACCGGCATTCCAAAGGTCATAATCGAGAGCAGGTGCAAATATCCACCATGTCTGTGACAGCTATTGCTTCACTTGCTCCAGACTTCATGTCATCCAAAGGAGCCATTTACCACCCCGACTCTCAGGAGCCAGGCCATCTTATCCCGCACGCGAGGCACCAGGTCGTCAGCTATCGCGTGGGTTGCGGCGAGAAGGCAGCCCATCACTTGATCGTCATCGCTGAGCTTCTCAAGAGCTGGTCGTTCTGGTCGGAGAGTCAAGTCTTGTTTGGGTATGCACTAGAGATTTTAGGCTGGGCTTCCCAGCTTTATCATAAATCCAGCATAGAAGCAAATCAACACCACATCAAATTCAATCTACTCACCTACCCGACTGTCGAGAACTGTGGTGCACAGACGAGTGGAGCTTGAGAGAGAGTTATACAGTTGAGCGCCTTTTATGGGCAAAAGAATCTTTTGCGATTATGTACACGGTCGTCTCTGGGTCGTGACAGTCCAGATCTCTATTACCCATTGCCAGCCAAAGACGCTTGGGATGTCAAGATCAGTCCTTCGATGATGCTTCGGCGTAGTATCGTGCGCGAGCAGCTCCACTTTGCGCCAAACAATGGTCTCTTTCTCTCCTTATCCAAACCCAAACGCCTCGCCATGCATCAATGAAGAAGACATATGCTCGCCGTCCTGCGAGATACGCTCTCTGCGGCACACGAGATGTGTCGTTGCATCTCACCGCTTTCCTTGGGACGTGCTGAACTTGCCGCGCGAGAAGGGATCTAGGCTCTGGAGGCCCGGCGCGGTCACTGTGACTTCGCAGTATCTGTCCACTTTCGTCCTCGTCGCCATGGCCGCGGCAGCATGATAGTACTTTGTGTTGCGGACTGGTCCCGGCTTAATACCTTCAGCTCCTTGCAGATATCTCCAATATTCCGAAACAGTTTCATGACTCTTCATTCACGCGGATAAAGTACGCCTTTGCAAGCTCGTATGCTGACCAGCAGACTGCTGTACTCGGCGCGGCAGTGATCACGCGTGGCTTCATTCCTCGGAAGAAACCCTTCGCACCTTCCCTCCGCCATAGTATGCTCGCAGCGGGAAAGAGGCCACGGCATGATCGGATCTCGGCGTCGGTGGAAGTTCCTCGTGTTTGAAGCAAGGTCTTGATCACATCAAGCGGTGTAGTGGCAGCAGCAGCGAGACCACCAGCAAGACCTCCAGCAGTGCAGTGAGTGAGCGGATCGTACCCAGGCGCACGTCGTCGTTGCATGACCTTCGTGAGTGATTCGTAGGCGGTGAACTGTAAAGCAGTGAAGGGCACTGTCATGGTGAGCGTAGTCGGGTAGGATACGTAGAAAGCGCGAAGTCCTTCATGCCTCCAGACCTGAGATGCGCAGTCGACAATGGAACGGTAGGTAGAGCCATGCAGCTGCATTCGCTGCTTAATGACATCGAATGGGTTCATGAAGGCGTCACTGGCAATCGTCGCGCAGGCTCCACTAGAGGCTTCGGGATGTCAGTACGAAATACGGCGAGAGCTGGGTGGATGCGCTGACCTGCGGCGATGGGGTGATGCCCGGAGGCATTGCCGCCCATGGCTTGCTTCACGACCTCGTAGGTGGCGAAGTATACTGCGTGCGCAGGTCCTGTCATTTTCCGTCAGTCTTTCCTATGCATCTGTGATGTCCGTATGTGCGCGCACCTGCTCCCACTATTACCGAGGACAACCCTCGCCATAATGACATGTAGCCTTCCACTCTCGAAATTGTTGCAATGGCATTGCCGATGCCGCTGTATATGGCTGCCGGGTTTGCGTTGACGACTTGCATGCGTGTCTGATAAATTCATTAGCATTTGGGCGTAGCTGGCAAATCCGAGGTCTCCGAGCACACCTTGAGCAGGTCGATGGGATACATGACCGAGTGTTCCTATGTCTGCGTCAGCATTGTCCGCCCGCTTCCATACTCGATGTCCATACCGCAATGCCAGCGAAGGCACCAGCAGCCATGTTCGCGGCGAGGGAGAAATTGGGCGGGAGAGACTCATAGCTGCCATGCCATCAGCGATTAGCCATCAGATGCTGTCTCCTATACCGCGCGCGTCTCTGCGGGTGCACATACTCGTATTCCTGTGCTTCTTCCAGCACAAGCTTGTCATGCGCGGCCATTGCGCGCGGCTGCGCTGCAATCGTCTCCACGGTTGCGGTTGCGAGCGGTGTGGACGTGGTCGACATGCGAAAAAGTGTATGATGTCGTCGAAGGCTGGGCGAGCGGTGCAGTGCTCTCGAATATTATCTGATGGGGACGGGAAGATCAGATAAGTCGCCTGCCAAAACGTCACGCCCGCGGTTCCTTCTGTCGCCCGATCCCGATACCCCGAACACAGCAAGAGTACAAAGGGCCTTTCCCGCCGCTGGTGTCGTTGTCTTGGATTCAGTTAGAGTCAAGGAGAAGTAGCAAGTTGGCGATCAGCAGTGACAGTAAAAGTGACAGAACGCTTTCGACCTGGACTTGCACAGCGCGAAAGTTTATTCTACTTTTGCCCGCCGAGGAACTCTGATGAACTCTGCAGCGGATCCAGAAAGCTCCTCCTTTCTCCGGACCACAGCAGCTCGGCCCTGGTCAGTAGTCAGAGATGTTAGACACAACATCACAAGCTTCGTGTATACGGTGATATCACGGTGTATACGGCCGTTCTGAGGTCCCTCCTTATGAACACGGCGGTTAATATAGCCGGATACAACGGATAACTATACCGGAGGGTGGATATCCTCCGTGATGAATCGTATCTAATGTGGGTCCGTACTTGCCCCGCAGCTGATTAATCTGTGTCTCGTATATTCTCTATCAGTATTCTGATTTGCACTGCATCGGCGGCACGCTATTTTCTACGCTGCTCTTCGCCATTATTGGTTCAATCTTTCAACGACTAGCACTCTTTGTGTCATTGCCGAGAGCCTCTGCAACCTCCCGCTCCCCGAATGCATCGACAAGAAAGACAAAATTGCTTCTTCTTCGGAATTCGTACTACTAGTAACTTGTCTTCTTGTCTCCCGCCTCTTTGTGCCAAACACTCGGGATGCATCTGTTTTCTCAGATCGGCTTCCGACCCACCTAGCTCTGCCGTGGGCCAGCATAAGACAGATCCCCGGGCACCCGAAATCCGAATCGCTGCACAGAGCGTTATGCATGGAAAATAGAGACGACTCGGTCTAGTCGCAAACTGGCAGGAGCGAGTGTAGCTCGTGTTTGATGACCCTTTTCTGCTGATCATTCATGCCGAAGGACCTCACCTTTGCCAGACTTCGCGTTCTCAAGCTCGCAACCCACATATCTTCGCTGTAGCATGCAGCGTGGACGGACATTGCTGCAAAGAGTTGAACAACTGGGGAGCGTGTGATAGTGTGCATTTGTATCGCCATTTCACACTGAAGTTTTGCCATTCGACTCACAAGGACTCCAGCAGAGTCGGCACTATCAAAAGTCCTCCCTACGTTTGCTCGGACAAGCCTGACCATCCTGCAGCTTCGCATGTCGATGCAGCTGACAGGTGTCCTGGTTCAATCTCGGTCTCGTGTCGCTCTGATCAGCGAGCGCCACGAACGCTTGGAGAAGCTCGAACAAGCATTGCGATGAGACGCCACAAAAGCCCTGTATCTGCTCCATAGTGCAACAGCTGATGATAGTATCGACAAAGAACGTTCGCGCTTTAGATCCAGGCGCGGTCATCCGGTAGGCGGTATCGACAAGCTCAGTAATGTTGCTCCAGAATGCCTCAATCGACGCAGGATCACTTCCACCCTGGTCTTTCGAAGTAGCTGCCTTGATGATGACGTTCATGACAGCGTCACAGAAGGTGAGTTCTGCAAGCGCCTCTCCCATGAAGTAGCACTCCCAAATGAAGCGCCACTTCTTCTCCCACGGCAGATCTCTCACATCTGGTGGAAATCGAAAGGTCTCGTGATACAGCCATTGGACGTAAGTCTCGAAGCAGTCTGGGTTTTGTTCTGGCAGATTAACCCTTTGGTTGAGTGGCGGTGCAGGTGGCCGAAATGTGTCTGAACGCTCCCAGAGAACGTGACAGTGAATGCGGAAAGCCTTTCTGTCGACATGGCCCACAGGTCCCACTTCAAACGCCTGCAAAGCACACCAGCTTCACAGCGTCAGCATATTGCGAACTGTTCTGGGCTCTATTCCACTCACTTGAAGCCTGACGGTGGAGGGCTAACAGTTGGCGTCGTTGTCTTTCTGCGCTTCGAATCGCGATCATGCTGTTGAGCTGTCATGTTGTGCTGCTTAGTAGTGGCAGCACCAGGCGACTTCAGAGTCAAGTGCAGCAATGTCGTGCCAAGGAAAGTTGCTGACGCTTTTGAACTAAGGTGGGTGGTATCATAATCCAGGATCCTTTGAATTGAGTGAGGGAGAGGCACATCTCGTGTTTGCTGCTTGCGAGATGCAGAGCGCCGTTCACTCCTGCCATGCTGCAGACGCTCGTTGCCAACCGATCGAGCACACATAAATGGCAAGACCGACCCATCCGCAGAAGTTTGTACTAAAACGAGGAGATCCATGTATCACAGCTACGGTCTCCACAAAGACCTGATTGCATCCTTTCGCTTTCTCAGCCTGCATGGTAGAGCTGCATTCGATTGCTCATCCAATGCTATCTCCGTTGTTCTTTGCCTTCGCAAGAAGCTCTTTAGCTTCTTGTATGAGCTCGGCCTCTTTCTCAGCTCCGACCTTGTTACCGCGACTATTCAACCAGCCGACATCAAAATTGCCTAGCCCACCATTCTTGATGCGCTCTGGATTCAACTGTTGTGTCGGCGGTATCTTTGGAGCATTGTTGTTCCCCCGGTTCTGTGCCTGCATCTGTTGCTGTGCTTTGGACAGACCTTCACTACCAGCAGCATAAGGATCTGGAGTGATAATGCCAGCCTCTTCCAAGGCATATGCTTGTCGTCGCAGACGCGCCATGACGCCCTGCAAAGCTTCGAGAAAATCTGTGTTGCTAGCTTCGAAAGCCTGCTTGCGATCGTCGACCGAGGCGGAAGTGTCATCGTCCATCTCATCGTCGTCGCGGTGAAGTGGCCGGTTCGTCAGTGCATGGACTGCTTGGCCTGCTGAAGCGAGCATAGCCGCAACATCTTTGTTGATATCTGACAGCTCGCGAATGCGCTCCGCCGGCGTGATCTTTTGCGCCGGCGCCATTGCGAGTGATGCTCATGTCATTGCACTTGTAGAACCACCTTTGCGAGCTTTCCAGGTGGGCTGTCGCGTCGCGCTAAGGTATGCAAGGTACGCTAATCAAGAAGCTTAACCTTGTCACGTGACTGTATTTAGCCACATCTGTCTTCTCACGGTTCGATTTCTGGACTACATCTCCTAGCCTTTGCGACGGCGAGCCTTATCTATCTTTCATCTAATTCATGTAAACAAGCACAATTTTCAATATGGCCTCGCAGCCTCTGCCGCCGTCGCGGACGACGAGCGTTGGCCCGCCCACCGCGAGCGGTTTGAACGCGCAGGCCGCGACAACACCCGGAGGCGGACAGCAAAATTCACAGCAGAATCTGAATCAAATCGTGAGTCCATCGAACACTCCCACTCCTTTACGCCCCTTCGGTCGTTGTTGTGGATTCCGTGGTACACAGCAGCAAGTTCTGGATTTCCCAAATTCCTAGGCGCGCAAGTCGGCTGCGAGTGAAGCTCAAAAACCGTTGCCTCCAAAAAGCCAGGACTCCAAATTCATCAAGCTCATCGGAAATTCCTTCGTACCGGGCGCAAGGACGACCAGACACACATCGCGACTGCTTTTCACAAAACCAAACAAGCCGACTTCTCCATATCGACTGCGGATTCGGGGCACACGAATGTCAGTATCATCTTGTCGACTCGCATTCTCCAATCAAGCAGTACTCGACTGGCCTCACTTTGAAGACGTGCGACAATGTCACAACAACGCAGATTACTGCCAAAAGGCATCCAGCCTTCCGAAGACATGCCATCCGAAGAACTCCGGTGGCATCGCTGGGTAGATTCTAGTGGCCTTCACATTCACATTCTGCTTTGTCACCTGCGTCCTTCATCATTCATTTGCGCGCATCCTTCATAAGCACTTCGACTTCTTCATTGCAACTCATTTGCCCAAATGACCATGATAATGGACAATGCTAACATGCGCTGGAAGGTGTTAGAATACCTGTCTAAGAAAGGCTATACCCGCACCGAACAGACGCTTCGAAAGGAGAGTCAAAACCTGGACGCCAATGGTAACCCTATCGCAACCACAATCGACGAAATGGGCTCCAAGAAATTTGGAAGAGCGTTCGAGTTGACACAAAACTGGGTTGACAACGTGCTCGACATCTACAAGCCAGAGCTCAAACGACTGTTATGGCCCTTTTTTGTTTATTCATATCTGAAATGCGTGGCTGAATTTGCTGCGCGCGACGCCGATGAGTTCTACCACCGCTTCAAAGAACCATTTGAAGCAGAACATGAAGATGATCTGCGCGCAATGCGAGGCCTTCACGATCCGCATGAGCTGGAACAAAACAACATCGCGAAACTATACCGCTCCAACAAGTACCGAGTGTCGCTCAGCACGATGGCGTTTCAGACACTGATCATGCATTTGGAGGCGAAGGAGAACGAGGGGGGCAAAATCATAACAGGCATCATCTCCGACAACATGGATATCAAAGTGGTGGATAGAGCAGCTGCTGGTGGGGAGCGCAATCTTTCTAAGCTTCTCTCGCAAAGGAATGAGCAGCAAGACTTCCCAGCAGAAGACGAGGGAATACCTGGTCACAATCCTGGATCGGCCAATCTTGCTCCGAATGCACCTGCGGTACTTTCCAAGCTTTCGCTCGGACCGTTGCCCATGGAGACAGATTTGATGGAAGACGTCAAGGCCGATCTGCGAGACATCGATGCCTCGCACCCTCCAGCACCTGGTCAAGCACTCCTTGAAGACACATTCGACCAGCATATCAAGCGCGAGCCCAATGAGGAGGCTCCTCGAGATCCTCTACCATATCCACCGTCCACTGCGCGAGACGTGGCGATGGAGGTGCAAAAGGTAAAGGAGAATCGCGACAGATTTCGGATTGAAGGCCGAACAGGCGGTGTAGGTCCTGGCATCAGCGTGACCATGTTCACGTTCCACAACACCTTCGACTGCATCAACTGTATTGAATTCGCAGGCGACAACAATCTCGTTGCAGCCGGAACAGCCGAGTCGTACATCAGGGTCTGGTCGCTGGACAATCGACCTCTAACGTCACCAATTGATCCGCCGTCGTCCCAGCCATCATCGTCTCGAAGACTAGTTGGCCATTCCGGGCCAGTCTACGCACTTTCGTTCTCGCCGTCAATCGCACTTCCCGCACCAGCCACGAATGGTCACACAGAACAAAGCACTTCTTCTGAATCGCAGCCCAAATATCTGCTGTCGTCATCAGCAGACTGCACCATTCGACTCTGGTCGCTCGATACGTGGACCAATCTTGTCGTGTACCGATCGCATAACTCACCAGTATGGGACGTACGTTTCTCACCTTTCGGCCACTATTTCGCATCTTGTTCGGCCGACCGAACGGCACGATTGTGGAGCACACCCCAAATCGCTCCCCTTCGCCTGTTCGTAGGGCATGACTCAGATGTTGAGACAGTCGCCTGGCACCCCAACAGCGCATATGTCTTCACGGGATCAGGCAGCGGGGATCGTACTGTCCGGATGTGGGACATCCAGCGCGGCACAGCGGTACGTCTCTTTACCGGGCATGTTGGCAATGTCACTGCTCTGGCTTGTGCACCAAATGGACAAGTTGTGGCGAGTGCAGATGATCGAGGAGAGATCATTCTCTGGGATCTCGCATCTGGCAAGCTCCGCAAGCGCATGCGTGGTCATGGGCGCGGCGGCATCTGGAGCTTAGACTGGAGCGTCGAATCAACAGTACTCGTGTCCGGCGGTGCTGATGGCACTGTACGAGTGTGGGACGTGCAACCCGATGCAGACACGCAAGGCAAAGTCGCTGGAGAAGGTGGAGCTGGCATCAAAATCGACGGTAATGCCGTTGGAAGTGGTGCAGTCAGCAAGGCGAAGTCGAAGAAGGATGTCGTGGTGTCGCCCGATCAGATTTCCGCCTTCCCGACGAAGAAGAGCCCGGTCTATAAGGTGCGATTTACCCTGATGAACTTGGTCATGGCAGGCGGCGCATATCTGCCCTGATGGCAGTCATTGTACAGGTGGACATATCTACTTTAGCACGGCGTTCCGGACCAGAAAGCAGCATCAGGCGGGATAATGCGATTCGATACCAGGCATTGGAAGAACGGTTTGTACTTGGAACGGTAGTTTTTGAAGCTCGTCTAAAGATGCATTCACTGCTGACTGCATCTCACTTCAACTTTTTGCACAGTCCCCTGGTTGTTGGCCTAGCCACATTACCGCCGATCTCATCTCTTCGGCTACAGCTGTGGCTCTTCATCTTATCGTCCCGTCCATACCCACCAACCAGGTCTTCCCGACCGTGCCACTCCAGCAAGACTCGTGAAACCTGCAGTATGAGATTTAGCATCAGCGGATGCCACCTCACGATCTCCGCGACTTGTGGCTGAGCAGAGCATTTCGAGGAGCGATAAGAAGATGGCTTGCGAGCATGTGCTCTTGTTTCGTGACGGAGCGGCGATCAATGAGAACTGAATCAAGCTTTGTCTTGACCTAATTCGGTCAAGCGCCAACTCAAATGACGCGCCTTCTCCAGAATATGACGCTGGCTGACAAGGACATCAGGTTTTCAGTGCAGACTCCAATGCTCTTGTCTGCCGCGTGTCGACGTCAGGGTCGCGTGGTGGTGGACGAGCACAAACGCTGATGATGTAGCAGGCGACACTTCAGCTGGTACGGTGTGTATATATGTCCACGCTGCCGTATCCCGAAAGGTAATTTCCTACCTCACACCAATTGTCATCAGTCAACCAATCCCACCAAGCAACGACTCACTCGTCGACATGGCACGAACACGCACAACCAAGACTACACACTCCAAGTCAGGAGGTCTCCTCTCCCGTCTGCGCAACCGCAATCAAGCCAAGGTCTCTACCACGCAATCTACCAACCCGGTCACGGGCACTACCACCACGACTCAAAAGACCAAGACACACCCCAACGGCGTTGGATATCGTGGACACGGTGGACGAGGACCAATGGCTAACAACCATGAGAGCCACTACACGAGCGGGCCAACTCACGTCCATCACAAGAGAAAGCCAAGTGTTGGCGACAAGATTTCTGGTGCTATGATGAAATTGAAGGGCACAATTACTAGGAGGCCAGGAAAGAAGGTATGCGAGACTGTGTGTGCAAAGTGTGGGCGTGAATGAATGCTAATTTTTCAATAGGCTGCTGGGACTCGTCGCATGCATGGTACTGATGGACGTGGGTCGCATCATAGGACTGTTGTTTAGACATGGCCATGGAGCAAGGCATGATGAAGACAAGATTCTAATGTTGATGGCATACGAAGAGATGAATTGTACTATTCTGGAAATGTTATGAGCGATACCCGAATTTGTGAGCGAGGCGTGTTTTCATAGCGTCAACGGTTCGAAACGAATTGCAAGCAATGATGATTTCCAAAGACATTTCTTGGATTTGAACTCAGTATGCTCGTCGGAGTGGTGGCATGGAACGAACGTTTCTAAACACTACCTTGTCTCGATGATGTCCTAGCATGTGATAGAATATGAATCAGCTTGACTAACCCGAACGCGATGACGGGAAACCGATTTATTCTAACATGCAAACCTTATCAACATATTCACAATACCTACACCATACACATGCAACCACTCAATCATCCCCCGCCTCCCCATTCTCCTCAAACACACGCGCCAGCCTCCTAGTCTCCGTCCTCATAACCTCAAAATCCCCCTTCAACTTCTCCGCCAAAACATCATACCTCTCCCTCCCCACTTTCCCCTGCTCCAACAAACTCTTCAAAACTTTCGCCTCCTCCAGTAACACAGCCTGACCCCTCTCAATCGTACTCTCAAACCACCCCACCCGGGAAAAAAACCAAACATCATACCTCCCTTTATCTAACATGAACCTCAGATCGACCGTGGCGTTCCAAGCCAAACGTTTCGCGATGATGCGTTCGTTGGTTGTGATCAAGTTTTCGAGTTCGGAGATTTCGGAGGCTTCGAGTAGTTCTTCTGAGGAGGTGAGGCGGGCGCGGGCGGTGTCGATTTCGGATTTGCGTTTTATGAGGCCGCGGACGCGAGGGGCGTAGGGACGACGGTCGTCGGGGAGGCAGAGGTAGTCGGAGAGTGTGGTATGGGATGTGGTAGGCTCAAGGACGTATGAGAGGTCTGTGGCTTTGGATGTGGTGGAGTAGAAGCGTCGGTTGTTCAAGGACGGGAGAGTCGCGAATGGCGAGTATGGGCGTTTGGAGGCTCCAAGGTTTTCAATGCGGGCATGGCGAGGTCGATCGAAGCCAAAGTCATATTCGTCTTCTTGTTGCGGATCGACGTCTTCGGCAGGCAAGTCGCTGACCTTGCTGAATTCCTCATAGATGTCGATAAATTTCTCGTCTTTGCTCGCGTCTGATGTCAGGCTCAAGGCATGGTAGAGAAGATCGTCATCGGAATCCTGGCCATCCTGCCCTAGCGGCGAAAATGAGGCCTCGTGTGGAGTTGGTCCTGACAAATTATGTCCTTCCGCTTGACCATGGTGTTCGAGTCCGACATTCGAAGCAAGATCAAGAGGGTCTAGCTCATCTTCCACATGTTCTTGCCGGATGGTATCGCTTTGCACAGAAACTGCTGGTTGTAAAGCCTGCCCGGTAAGCTCAGCAGGCTCAATGGTTTCGCCAGCGCTGCGATAGCTTTGCATCGAATAACTCAGACCCATCTTGAATTTATCCGCCGCATTCGCTGATTGAGAAGCTTCTGAGAATGTACAAGCATGGACTTTTGCAACAACGACGATATGATCGCCGACTTGTACGCACTTTTCAGGCAGAAGACGTGCCGAAATATTTGCAAGTATGGCCCCGCCGATGTTATCCCATAGTCTTGGGAAGAGGGGGAGCATCATGCCACCGTGTGTAATTAATCTGGCGTTGAAGACTTTTTCGAAAGGTTCACTTGGGTGCTCATAAGGTTGCGCGAATGCGTGAGCAATAGCAGCTGCACGAGGTGTGGCTGAGAGAAATGCTACTCTCAATTTTTGAGAGGCATATATAGCATCCCACGTGCTCGACGGTACTTTGATGTTGAAAGAGATGATCGGTTCAGGCGCCAGAGTGATGGTGTTGAAAGACGAAACAGTCAGCCCCCTCGCTTTACCAAACTCCCCATCCTGCTCAGCGAGTGGATCTCCGGCGCTGATGTGGACGACCGGATGGGTTAGTGCTCGTGAGACCATGCGAACGTCTTCGCTCAATTTTGCCTGCTCTTCTCTCAATTTTGCCTCCTCTTCTCTTGACAGTTCACGTTCACGTACAAGCACCTCCGGTCGGAACTTTGGTGCTGCTCTTATTTTCACTGGGTGCTCAACGCACCCCGCTTTGCTAATCGTTGCTTGTATGAACTCATGCAGCTTGTCTCTTAGGCGATCGGCTGCAGGTCTACCGTCCACGAGCAGTCCGATTTCGCCGTCCACTTTTCGCAGCCCAAGCCTCTGCAAGCCTAAATCCTTCTTCAGTTGCTCAAGTTCCAAACCGTTTCCAATGAAACTCCTGATGATCTTGGCTTGTCTCGGTCCTTCAGCCGTGACCAGCAATGTCTCCTCCACAGCGTCAGGCTTATCAAGCACAGCCGAGCTGACTGGGTGTTCAAGAGTATTCTTGGCCGTCGCTTTGGTATCACCGTCAATTCGCTCCGAAGGTTGCGAACGTTTGAGTGCCCGGTCACGTCGTTCATTCGAAGGCATACTTGCTCGCGTCAATTTTGCGTTCAGTTCCACCACATCTCCTTTGATGTGGCTGAATGTGTTTGAAACGTCCTGCGGCGATCCAGTTATGACAAAAGAGCGTGCAATGTCCTTCTCATCAGAGACTTCGCTTATGCTCCTCTGCTCTGGCTCGCCGATGTCAATCGAGACATTATGCCGCGCCGCAATGCGGGTAATGTCATGTGCGGCAATGAACCTCATGAAGTCCGACTCGAGAAGGCTGAACTCCAGAGTCCAGGTTGCGTCCGACCTGTGGCGGAGGACGTACTCCAATGGATGCAGAGTATGTGAAGGGCGCTGAAGCACTGACTTCACGAGTTCATGACCGATTCTGAGGAGCGGCCGCGATTGGAGATGGTTATACAAACTACCTACTTCGGCGAAGGAGCCTGATATCAGAACAGAGATGGTTCGCAATCCTGCAATACCGCCGGCGTCTACGGATGGAATGGCCGCAGATAGGTTCTGTACTTCAACTCTGGCTCCATGCTTTTTGCTTAGCCCGTTCAGATTTGGCCCGTAGCGTTTGAGGAGACGCTCCAAGTAGTCGCTGCGAATAGCGTATTCAATCATGAGACCCAGATCGGATCGATAACGCACAACCGTTTCGCCGCTTTTCAGAGTATTGAAAGGCTTCGCTGTGGCAGAAAAGATTTCGCCTTGGATGAACTTCTTGGGACAGTCCGAATGTTTTGGCTCCCATACTTTATCAATTTTTACTGTTTTGGTGCTCGCATCCGCCTGAGTCGAGACGTTGACAATGCCATCCCGAGTGCTCGCGATTCGTTCTGCGTCATCTTTCCAACGCCCTTTCGCACGGCTTGATAGAGGTTTGCTGGGGGATTTGGTGATATGAAAGCGAACGGGTGGGTTCTGGTCTCCTGCGCTTCTATCTCCTCCTCTCCCAGTGGCATATTCTTCTCCCACTGGCGCATTCTGTGTCGCAAGATCTTCCTGATCTCCTCGAGTCGGGGCCGATGTATGGAAGTCGTGTCGACATGATCGAACTCCAGCTTGTCCAGCAGCGTGAGGATCGTTGAGCAGACTCCATCTGCGAAATACGCGATAGAAGCGGCGACTCGCAACTCCAGGGTTATGCATTGCTTATAGAGTCGCGCGCAAAGGCGCATATATCGAAAGCAAAAACAGAGCTCCCAATGAAGTCCAAGCTACCTTCACCCACCATCAACGCCAAGCCGCTCCTCCGTCCCCTCTCCGCAGACCAGCCAGCGACAACGGAAACTCCCTTGCTCCCATCAGACACATTCACATGCAAATAACCCAGATCACTGCCAAGATGCTTCTCACACAATCCTCTCGACCAATATGCCAGCACTGCGCCAAACAACTCCAGAACTCACAGCCAGTACGACACGCGACTCTCCTCAAACGCCCGAAACGACCCTACCAATTCACCCAACTCATAACACTCTCCGACGGCAGCACGCTTACACATCGCACAAGCTCGCCTGCGCCGATATACAAGAGCACAAAAGATACAAAAAACCATGCAATGTGGAATCCGAGTTCGCAGAAATTGTTGAATGTAGAGGAAGATGAGGCTGGAAGACTGAGGAAGTTCAGAGCGAAGTTTGGGAGAGGATATGATGCTGAGACTATGAGTGGCGAGGAGGAGGTGCAACAATACCGTAAATGGGTTATGGATGTATATTTGCTAACCTGATTGGCAGGCGCGAGATGGAGAGGATGCTTTAAGTCCGCATGAAGAGGAGGAGAGTGTCTTGGATCTGATTTCGACGTTCGGACAGAAGGCGGAGAAGAAAGCGAAGGCGAAGGGGTCGACAGAGCCCGCAAAGCAGAGTGGGAAAGCCAAGGGAGGTCAGGAGTGAAGAGTCTGATAGACTGGGATATGATTACCCTGATCGAATGTCTCCTTTTATATCGACAATGCTGAGTCCCCAGAGCCGCCCGGGTGCATTACACGCTCAGACCATTTGCTCGTCAGCTACGCAAGATGGTTGACGCGCGATGAAGACCTCATCTACAATAATCGCACGGAACAGTAAGAAGTCTGTGCGGCATCACGCGCGAAACGCAGCTGCGGAAGCCGACGCACGTGTATAGGGGCATTTCGCGCGAGGAGATACGAAGAGAGGCGTTGGGAGAATCGCCGAGATAGCAGCTCGTGGAAAGCAATATCATGTGGCAAGATAAATTCTGTCTTCCGAGGGAGGCTCTCAGTCAAACTTTCCGACATATTAGCGAAGCATGTCTCGATCGATTGATGCGATACAACAGCAAAACACGTCGCCATCGCCCACCGTCCAACAAGCTTAGGCGAGTGAGGACGAAGAGTACGAGGAACTAGTACTATCCTTCAATCCCATCCTCGACATCAGACCCTCGACCTCGCGCTCTTAAAGCTTTTCTATCTAATCTACTATACAAGTCAGCCTTCGACAATACACGATTATCAAAGATCCTACAATTCTCTTTGCTATGTAAACGCTAACAATGTAAGAATGTGAGGGAACCGATAGAACATGAAAATTCGCAGCAAAGACAAATCGCCCTTCCTCCAACAGTCTCCGTGGTGGACAGCGTGGCGGAGGAACATATTCTTATTCTTCGCCTCGATGCCCGACACTAGACCTTCGACCTCGCGCTCCAAGAACTCTTCTGCCTGAGCTATACGAGTAACTGCTGGACAAAGAATGATCGTCGAGAACGCTTGAAGTTTTTATTTCCTATATCTGTCATGCTTCAAAATTGAAAAAATTGGATCCTGTGACTGCCAGAAGAACTCGTGCGGTCTGAAGGCCTGGAAATTGATCGATGGACTCCAAGACAAATCCAGTAAGTATCACGTTCAGGAGCTCTACGATCTGCCTACTTTCTGCTCGCTGCCGCCTCAAAACTCACCTGACACCCCAATTGCCTGAGGACGCTTTGAAAGGGTATAAGTATTTATCTGAATTCCCAGATCTCGAACAATCACTCTCCGCTCGATGTGGCCCAGGTGGTATTAAGGCGCGCTTGACTGAGATGAGGCAACTGAACTCGCCTAATGACCTGGCTTTGGCTCTTTATCTGTTATCATCGAGCTGACGACGACTGTTCTTGCTTTTTGCTAGGTTTTTGTGCGAGATGGGAGTATAAAGACTTACAGTTCCTTGCAGAACCTTGAACATCATTCTCAGCTCGATGGAGCTCAGTCTGTAAGGCGTCAGAACCCCAAACCAGGTCAGAAAGGCCTGTTCGTATCGTTGAGCTGTGAGTGATTAAGATTTGCTTTTCGCTTCTCGAATTTCAGGAAACTATGTTCATATTCCAAACATACATCGGCAACATCAACCATGCACTCATCTCTACCAACCCATTTCACTCCACCTTCCCTCCATCTTCCTCTCCTCCACTCACTATCGCCCTCGCATCCCCCTCCTCCTTCATCCTCCCACCCTCCACAAAGGCCGTCCCGTACCTCAAATCAAACGGACACAAATGAGAAGGCCTCCTCAACCCCAAAAAATAACATGCCGAAAAAGCCCTCCGAAAGTTCGTAAAAGTATTGATCCACGACCTAATTCCACCGCTCATCGTCGTTCCGTTCACAACGTGTAGACCATCATCATCAGCGGTAGTAATGTTATTGGTAGTATCAGCCAGACCACCACATTCCCTCGCAATCACATCCGGCGTGATGTTGAGTAATTGGTTCGGCGAAGTGAAAAGCAAATGCCTCACGCCTTCCAACTGCTTCATGTTCGGATCGATAACATTGTCAAGCAATTTTGAGGATCTGCGGAGGACCAAGCAATTGACTTGGGTTGGATAGCGCTTCGCGACGTCCACGTATGCGGAGAGTTGACCAGGAGTGGAATCGTCGCCCATAAGAATGTACTCGCGATGAGGGAAAGTCGTGATTAGTCGCTCGATGCTTGCGATTCGGGATATGCTGACGTTGACTAAACTCCAGGGACGGAAGTCGAAAGAGCCGAGAGGATAGTGGTCGAGGAGTGCGGTATACGCTGAATGCGACATTTCGGGTGCGTCGGTCGAATAGTGGAAGTGGAGATCCTTGAGATTGCTGTCTCTCCATCTTTTGAAGACTTCGGGCATGTTGAGCCATGGCTGGAAGGGGTGTACGTAGGTGTAGAGGCAGAGGCGCTTTAGGTTCCAGCCCTCTGATTTCTTGAGGACGTCGTCGATGTCAGAGATGACTGTGATACCGGTTTGGGTGAGAGGAAGGATCTTGAAGGATTTTTTGGTCGATGGGATAGCCGACTCTAGGTTGAGAGGCGGATCACAGCCATCCACACGAAGCTGAGAAGCATTGTAGTCCAGCTGGAGCCTAGGAGGCAAGTCGATGAACGCATCGAAATGGCCGTAGAGATTTGTCGTGGTCCAGCTGTGGAATGCCGTGTCTTTTGCGATGAGAGAAATTCCTGCTCCGGCGACAGAATGTGAGACGTACTCCCCTGACATAGCGGCCGGCGATGAGGGTGGCAGAAGCCGATCACCGCCACTCAACGAAAGAAAGTTACGAAGCGTCTCGCGACGGTATGACCAGGATGAGCGACAATTGTCCAGGGCGTAGGCGAAGCCAGAGATGCGAAGTCTTCGTGGCTCTGCATATTGATGAGCATATAAGCCACGCTTAGCGATCGAAAGGCATACCAGTGGCAGAGCGATTCAGGCGCATGTATTGCGGCCATGTCGCAATCTCAAGTGTTTTGAACGTGTTCTCAGAGAGCTTGGTAGGGCAGGATCCGTCACCCATTCCATGCATCTGGCGAGAGAGGAAATGCCGTAATGGTGCGGTTGCAACTTGTAGAAAGGTACTGCCTTCGAGCTCGCCACATTTGATCTGGAAAGGTGCGTCAGCGTCGACCGCGATGCAGAGGAGGAGGAGCATCCAGATCATGGTGCCAGGAAAGTGGTGATTGTATCGCTAAGAGGACGAATATCGGCGTTCTGTCTAGCCGACTGCATGCGAGTCGATATCTGAGTTCCGGAGATTTGAGATGGACATCAGTCGCGCAGCAGCCACTGCCTCAATGAATAGCCCAAGGGAGTCACGACCACGCCTAGTAGGCATCGATTCATTTGCCGCTTCGGAGATCGGGTGCATGCTATCAGCAGTCAGTGGATGTGGATTATTCGCCCGATTTGCCGTCAGCATGGAAGTGTCTGAAAAGAACGGAAGAATGAGAGGGATGCAATTGCCATTGATCATAGTATGTAGCAGCCACGCAGGTCGCATAGACATCGCAGCCTAAGCCACAATTCTCTGCTCAACTTGTCTCCCAAAAAACTTTTTTGCTGTTCTTCCTTCTACCAAGACATCATCCTCTCGCTCCTCTATCCCCGGCAGTGATTCGTGTCTCTTTGTCAAGTCGAATGGTATTGTCGTGCCGAAAAGATAGAGAAGTCGCAAAGAATGTGTCCTAGACTGATCCGGCATCTTCTGAACGAGTGAAGAAAATGTGATCAACAGGGTCAATGTGTCGAGCCAAAATCGTAGCGCCCGAAAGTTGTGTAAAGTATGGCAACTTCATCCAAGGCAGAAGCTGTTACTGGAGAGATTCAAGATGTAGGTCCTGTGGGTCGGCAAGACCGAGAGAAATTTGTGGTCATGATACCTTGATACAAGTTGCGTGGTCGTTCATGTTGTGCTGTTGAAGGTTTGTGTGTGTGTGTGTCGTCTAGCACTCGGCTAGTAGTCGATCGATAGGATAAGTGTGTCGAAGAGTCGTCTCCGAAAGGAAAAAGGAGATAGCGATGTAGTCGTCAAAGGCCAAGAATCACTTAGGCCGTGGAGAACCACCGCTCATGTCGAAACGTAAACACCGGAACGAAAGAACCGGGTATATCATCAGTCATGCCCATTAGTCACGCCGAAAGTTGGCACGCCGGCCAACGGTTCATCCCTTTCTGGTCTGAACTCCCACGCGAACGCCATTCGATAGTGCTACAGATTGCCCCGGATTGGTCGATATGCGACTCAGGATTCCTATGCCTGAGCCGCTGGAGGACCAGCTGGAGCCATCTGTTGTTGATTGGGCCGCTGCTGGTAGCCGCCCTGTCTCTGTTGGCCTTGGAAGCCATTTTGGTCGTAACGTTGACCACCGCCACCACCGCGTCCTCCTCGGTAGCCACCTCGGCCGCCGCGGTAGCCACCAGTGGTACGGTTGGCAGGATTTTGCAAGTCCTGTCCATTTCCCTGCTGTCTGCCTGATGGTTGTTGAATTTGCTTCTGCTGTGGCGCAGTGTTGATTGGTCTAGGAATGTTTTCTGGTGCATCATAAACGTAGAGCTTCTTGTCGATGGAAGCAGGGATGGGCTGAATCTCGGTGCCAAGTTCCTGCTCGATGCGATAGAGGTTGAATCGATCTTCCCAGTTGATCAAGTTGATAGCCAGACCTAAATGACCAAAACGACCGGAACGACCGATACGGTGAAGGTAGGTTTCCGCATTCTTTGGAAAGTCGAAATTGATAACGACATTCACAGCCTGAATGTCGATACCACGGGTGAGGAGATCTGAGCATACAAGATTGCGCATGGCACCATTGCGGAAGTCGTGGAAGACACGGTTTCGATGCTGTTGCAGCATCTTCGCGTGAGAGTAGAAGCACGAGTAGCCAAGTTCTGTGATCTTCTTGGCGAGCAACTCTACTCGAGTCGTGCTGTTGCAAAAGATGATGGACTGGTTGATCTGGAGACGACTGAAGAGGGTGTTGAGGCAGTGCACCTTCTGCTTCTCCTCAACAAAAGCGTAGTACTGCGTGATACCGCGGAGGGTGAGCTCATCCATGAGGTTTATTTCGTGTGGGTCAGTCATGTGCTTGTCCTTGAAATCCTTCACCACAACTGGGAAGGTGGCAGAGAACAGCATAACCTGGCGGTCCTTGGGGTGGAATTTGAGAAGCTGCTCAATGGTGACGGTAAATTCTGGAGACAGAAGCTTGTCTGCCTCGTCCATGACAAAAGTCTTGGCTTCTGAAAGATCGGCGACGCCCTTTCCTGCAAGATCCAAAATACGACCAGGAGTTCCAACAACAATGTGTACAGCTTCATTCAATCGAATAATATCGTCGCGAAGTCCAGTACCGCCGGTGGTGACCATGACATTAATGCCAAGGTGCTTTCCAAGGGTCTTGCATACTTGGGAGGTCTGCAATGCCAACTCTCGTGTAGGCACAAGAAGAAGGGCCTGAATTTTGTCTGATTTCGGGTTTATGCGCTCAAGAGTAGGGATGACGAAGGCGGCTGTCTTTCCTGTGCCGTTCTTCGCTCGTGCCAGAATGTCACGTCCAGTCAGTGCCACGGGTATGGTCTCTTCTTGAATTGGTGAGGGCTTCTCATATCCAGCTTCATATATGCCCATCAAGAGTTCTCGCTTGAGGTAGAAGTCCTCAAATTCCAAGCCTTTCGTCGCCGTCACGTCCTCAGTCTGCTGTCGCCCATCTTTCGGAGGTGCCTTGAGGCCCTGCTTGTAGTCGCCGGCTGGTGATTCGTCATTGAGTGTAGTGCTCTCGAGCTTGTCTGCAAGCCCTGACGCCATTGCGTTGGTGTATTTGTGTGGGGCCTCGTGGAGGTGGTGAGGTGGAAGTGACTGTCCAGCGCCGATTCAGCTGTATGGGCTCGAGGTGTATTCGGACTCCGTGGACACAAGGAGCTCAGGACAAGCAGCGCCTGAGAAGGTGCTCGTGTTCGTTCGGTGGTGGAATGCCGCAGTCGGCAGATCCGCCTCTCGTTCGCTTACTGCCTGCTCTGCTCAAACAGAGACAGGTGAGATATCTGGTGCGCAGAATTCAGTGAGCTTTCTTGGTCTCAGCCCAATCGCAATGTGTGTTCGCGTAGGTGTGACAGAGGCAATGGCAATGGCGGTGACTGGCTGGCTGACTGGTTGGTTGGCTAGCTGAATACAGGACGCGTCGCGTTGTCGTGTAGTGTTTGAGCGTGGTGGCTGGGCCGGAGGGGTGCTTTCTGGTGTTGTTGCGAGGTTTGATGCTGAAGTTAGATTGAAGTCTGGTTTCAGCATCACCGCGAAGGACGCCAAGACGCCAAGGCGCCCCACTTTTCGGCGTAGCTCGACTGCCTCCGAGCTTCTCGAGAAGCAAAGACTGAAGAATGGCCTAAAAACATCCAGCTTCACTCAAATCATGCTGTCTCTCCTTACCCCCCGATTCTTCCCCGGCGCGGGCAGAAATATCCTATCAGCGAACCGCCACACCATTCAATCTCGCTTCTTTTCCTTGACATCGGCAAGAAACAGCCACCTCCAGCAAACACTGAAGAATAAGAATCAGTCTTTCTTCTCCCAGCATCTACCGCGGATCACCAAACAACATTCGAACCCATCCATCTTCTCCCGCCTCTACTCCTCCTCCTACAGAGGTACCGAAGACCAATTCTGTCCCCACTACTCCTCCCCCTCCATCAGCGCCCTCATCTGGACAATCATAGGACTCAACACCGCCGTCTTCTCCACCTGGCTCTACGCAGATCGCACATCCGACAGCACCCTAAAAGCCTATCTCTACGACAACTTCACCCTAAAGAATGATGATCTCAGCTCAGGACGTTACCACACCCTCCTCACCTCCGCATTTTCTCACATGGAGCCCGTACACTTCGTTTTCAATATGGTCAGTCTCAACGCCTTCGGAAGTGTGATCAAGAGGGTATATGGCGTTACGGTGCTTCACGTCATGGGCTTGGTGATCGGATCGGCATTGGCGTCGAGCGCGGCATTTCTATACCACAGTGCTCCGTCTAATACGCCGAAGAAACTGCTCAGTAGCTGGAACTGGAAGTCGCGGATCCGAGAAATCAAAGTGGCTCTAGGAGCCAGTGGAGTCGTAATGGGCTTAGCAGCAACAGCAACGTGTCTTGCCCCTACGGCTCGAATGGGGATATTTCCCATACCTTTTGGCATTCCGCTTTTCGTTTTGGCGCCACTGTATGTGGGCGTAGATATGTATTTTCTGAATTCTGGGGAAACGAGGACTGGACATGCGGCGCATTTGGGAGGATTTGCGTTCGGGACAGTGTTTTACCTGGCGTACTTGATGAGGTTCGGTGGGGTGTGGAGAATGATTACTAGATGGAGATGATTGAACGCCACCTTCACAAGGGCTAGTTTGAAGATAAACTAAGGTGATGACGGTTATATCAAACAAGACTCTTGGTGTGGCAGTACAGACCATCTGCCAATTGTAGCCGATGAGGTGGCCACGGCTCTCTACGCTTTTTGGGCGAGAGAAGGGCAGCTTAGGTTCGAGGCGCGCACGTAAGACCTGTGAGTGGGATGTTCCCACGGGTTCGGGTCAGAACGAGCCAGTAGAGACGACTGAGAAAGTATGTTGTATACTCATAATCTATCTGAACAGCCGAATCTCGACTCAGTAAACGAGTGTCCTCAGTTCATTTCCAAGAGTCGAATAGCAATATTTTCTAATCTTGCCGGTCATGATCGATGCCAACGGTTCCGTTCCCAATCACTGCACGACACAGCCACGTTCCTACCACGACCAAGTCTTCATAACATTGAGCTCGGGGCCGTCGTAGACACTAGATGCGGAAAAATCGCGGGTTAGCATTCTGTGGCGCTCATAGCAAAGCAGTGCAAAGCAACGCGGGTCGGGTATAATGATGCCAAGCAAAGCAAGACAAGTGAAGTCTTCTTCTTCAAAGACAGGGCGAATCCCAGACGCGCAGAACGCAGAGTAATTCGACAATCGGCCTCTCCAGAGTGGTCAAGAACACTCACTGTCTTCCCTCTCGATGCTTAAGCTCATCAACGCGATCCGCAAGATCGCTTGCGTCAGTGAAGACATGCCACAGGTTATGATCCAGACCTTCGAACGCCTTCTGGAAGCGTTCGCTGCTATTCTTGGTCTGTCCGTCCATTTCTGCGATTCCTTCGACTTTGCGGATATAGATAGCTTTAATCCAGCCGGGGAAGCGGCGGGCAATCTCGCCGTATGACTCTGGGTCTTTCTGTGTGGAGTCACCGATGCACACAATTCGTCGATGCGGGAACCAGGAATGTATCTTCTTCATACGGTCGACTTTGTATTCTATGCAATCATAGTCAGCACTTAGATCTTGCAACTGTTCCTGTCTTACTCTCTAACTCACCTTGAGTATCCTGGTTGAGAGACGCGATGAGGCCGCCGAGATTCTGCCAAGAAGCATCACGGAGGATTATGGTGCCTTGTGGGTAGTGGGCTTCTCTGAATTGACGCAGGAAAGGATAGAGGTTGTATGGGGATGCAGACAGATAAAAGAATGGTGGGGTTTGGAGGGTCGATTGGATGTGGCTGTAAAGTGCTGGCATGCCTGGGACTGGTGTAGGGTTCTCAACAATGAAGGTCTCGTGGAGAATTCCGAGCGGGGATGGGGTTTGGGTGATTTTGATGGTGTCGTCTATGTCAGATATCACGGCCCAGCCTCGCTCTTCGGCAGGGACTGTGACACTTGGGATACCGAAAGGAGGTGGGAGATTGATTGCATTCGAAACGAAAGGCGAGAGCTGCTGGGTTGGCGAAAAGTGCAGTTGGTGGAGGCCAGAGCTGATGCCGGAGTAGTTCGAAGGCCCAAGAGTCTGCTGTTCTTTGCCATCGATGCTGATGCGAAGGGTGCGTTTTGGTAAGACTGTGTCAGCAAATGGCTGGACGCGCTCGGCAATGCGCTTCTGGGTGGCGATGTCCTCGTCGCTGATTTGCAACTCGTGGGCGATGTGCGACACTATGCGGGATACGTCCTTCCCGGAACCCTTGATGAAGTAGCATGCAACAAACTCTACTTCCCACCCACTACCACCTCGCACTGGCTGAGGCGTGCTCCCATCTTCGCTGATCCTGCTCGGTTGGGTTTTCCTGGCAGGCTCAATCTGCGCCAAATCTGGTCGCTTGTCTCCTGGCTGTGGAGTGCGGAAGGCAGTATTGTCGAGGATCCACACGTTGTGCAGAGCAGGATCCACGGGCTCCGGCTTCGTCCATGGAAAGACGACGGGAAATCGGTCAAATAGGTCTGGCATGGAGTGCCGTAGAGCTTCAGGTACTTCGGGTGAAAATGGCGCGTCGTGGTCTATGCTCGAACTTTGCAGAGCATCGACGGCAGTCCGCCTGCCTACGGCGGCGAGTTCGCTTAAGAAGCTCATCTTGACTGTGTGCCTGTGCCTGTGCCTGCTGGTCGCGCGTGATGGTTCTTGCCTTCGTCGCCAAGCCTTCTGACCTGGGGAAGTGTGACGTTTGCTGTTCGCTCAGAGATGGCGGGCGAGAGATCAAACCCGTATCCGTCTCAAACCGTTGTGGGTACTTCGCACCCTAGAGTGGCAGCAGAATTGTGAGATTCCAGTCATCAACAAAGGACATTCGAGCACGAGGTGAGGTCCACGAGTTACGAAAGTGGCGAGAGCCCTGCAGCTCTCGTGCATGGAGCACAAGACCGAGCATCTTGGCTTCCATCGTGCATCTGCACGCGTCGCATCGATCTTGAGTCCTCCTGCTTCCCACTTCCCGTGTAGTTGCGGATTATGTGTTTGCAGCGCGTTGATATCAGACCAAGAAAGATGCAGCTCGCGTTCACTTGTTACGCAGTAATAAGACCTGGATATGCGCCTTGCAAAGTCTCGGGCTGTGGAGACGAAGGGGCATAAGTCCTCGCTCTCGGCATCCTGTGATCGTTAGGGTTAGGGTTATGATGAGGACGGCGAGGTTACCGATCTTGTCTATTCTCCTTCAAATCGTGGATATATCGTTCTGAATAGGACTTATACTTGTGTATGTAGTTGGTGCGCGATTCGACCCGTCTTTCCGTAGATATCTTCGATCAGCTCGAATATGTTCATCCGAGAAATTGAGCTTGCAACTCTGTACGACAGCACAATCACAATTCACCCACACCTTGATCTTTTCCGAATGCACATCAACACCACATTGCCAGCATCGATGACAAGCCCGGCAGGAGGACCGGAGCACACACCACGATTGAGCTCACAAAAGATTATGTCCAGCAGCAGGTGCTCGGCTCTGTCGGACGATGCAACAGCATTCTTATCATCAATCATTGGTATCTATACTGTACCACTCTCCTCTATGCTTCGTATTCCCGGTCGATCCATCCGCAGTAACTCGATATACGTCACTTCCTGGTAAGCAGACTGTGCCCGCTCATCTCCTTAGGCTGCTCGATGCCCATCAAATCAAGCAGGGTCGGCGCGACATCGCCCAGCACACCGATGTCCTTCTTCAAGCTTGTACCCTCAGGAGCGTTGGCCATCACGAAAGGTACCCGATTCGTAGTGTGTGAAGTCTTGGGTGTCTTCTCATCTGTCAACATCTCCTCCGCATTGCCGTGGTCGGAGGTGACGAAGAGTGTGTAGCCGTGCTTCTTGCAGGCTTCGTACACGACCCCGATTGCCTTGTCGGTCTCGGCGACACCCTGTACCGCCGCATCATAGACACCAGTGTGGCCAACCATGTCGGGAGGAGCAAAGTTGTTCATGACAAACTCATACTTGCCATCAGCAATTCGCTCAGCCATGCGCTCAGCCACACCCATGGCGCTCATCTTGGGTGCTTGGTCATATGTAGCCACACTCTTCGGAGAGTCGATGAGCTCGCGATCCTCGCCATCGAACTGTACCTCGACACCACCATTGAAGAAGAAAGTGACGTGCGCATATTTCTCCGTCTCGGCGATGTGGCTTTGCTTGCAACCCTTTTGGCTCAACCAGTCAGCCAAGACGTTGTCCATGACTTGGGGCGCAAACGCGACTGGCAAGTTGAAGTCGGTCTTGTAGCGCGTCATGGTCGTGATCTGGATGTTCTTGGGGTATGGGAAGTCTGGCTTTGGCGAGCGATCCTGGTCTCCGAGCAGCTGAGTCACTTCTCTTACACGATCGGATCGGTAGTTGAAGAAGAAGAGCGTGTCATTGTCCTTGACGCGAGCGTGCTTGCCGTTTACGATGATTGGCTTCAGGAACTCATCGTGCTCCCCAGCATCATAGCGCTTCTGGAAGGTCGCGACTGGATCATCTGTCTCCTCGCCCTCACCAGTGACCATTCCTTTCATGCCAATCTCCACACGATCCCAGCGCTTGTCGCGGTCCATGACATAGTATCGACCTACGATGGTAGCAAGCTTGCCGATTCCCTGCTCTTTCGTAAACGCCAAAAGATCTTCAAGATGGCCTTTGCCGCTCTTTGGGTCGGTATCACGACCATCACCGAAGAAGTGAATGTAGACCTCTGGCACGCCAATCTCCTTGGCGACCTTGAGCAGCGACTTCAGGTGGTTGATGTGCGAGTGCACACCTCCATCACTGACCAGACCGCACAAGTGTAGACGTCCGTTGCCCTCCTTCGCCCTCTTGAAGCTCTTGACCACGTTCTCCACCTTGTTCATCTCGCCCTTCTTGATGGTTTGGTCGATTCGGACCACATCCTGCCATACCACACGTCCAGCACCAATGTTCAAGTGGCCGACTTCAGAGTTGCCCATGAGCCCCTCTGGGAGACCGACTGCGAGAGAAGAGGCATCGAGCTCGGTGTAGCCTTGTGCGTATTTGCTGTCCTTCTTTGCGAATTCGTCCATCCATGGTGTCTCGGCATTGAGGATAGCATTGCCTTCGGGAGGACTCTTCTCAGACGGAATACCCCATCCGTCAATGCAGATGAGGGCGACCTTCTGCTTGACCTGGACCATGATGGGCGGAGACGACACCGTGCTGAAAGTACCGTGATGGCCCGTCTTACCCCTCGATAGCCAGGAATTGAGTTCACAACACTCTTGTGAAAGGATGACTTCTCGTTCGCTCCCTTCGACGAGTCTTGCTACAACTGTCTGCCTCGAGTTGCGATAAAAGCGTATAATTTGTTGTTTTGTTATCTGACAGTCAACACGGAGACCGACAAAATTGTTCACAGCACCTTAACCGGCGACTCTCGGTCCCACCAAACAGCCCGCGTAGCCCACTTCGAGGTTTGCTTCTGCTCGAGCGTCATCGGCTGCAGGGATCATCTGCAGGCACAGGTATACACACCCGTCCACGTCCGCGTCACATGCATGTTGACAGACGCGACGAACAATTGTGCTGATATTGTCATCAAGAAAGCATACCGATACATTGCGACCGGGGTCGGAACTTATGATGGCGCAAAAGCAGCCGATCAAGACGACGACGAACGCCGACGCGACATCGAAGTCGCTGCTTAACCTACCATCGCCGCAAGCCTTCGATATCCTGCCACTGCTCCACGAATATCTCGCACAGGTCGACGTGCACTTCAATCAAGATGTGCCGCCCGACGAGAGACCGCACGAGGAAGGCAATGATGATATAGGTGCAACATACGGAGGCGAAAAAGGCAAGCCTCTGAACCCGAAAGAGCTGCCAGCCAAAGTATCGGATGTCAAGCAGAGAATCAGACAGGCGCAGCGCGAGCTTGAGAAACTGCCAGACATGGATCGCACTGTGCAGGAGCAAGAAGAGGAGATCCAGGAATTGCAGGACAGGATTCGGCGGCAAAGAGAAATGCTGAAGGGCCTCGCTTCGTTCGCGAGGACCATGGAGGAGAGGTTGCCGTGAACGATGAGGACTATTACTACTGGTAATGAAGCTCACGCTTGATTATTGAGCAATTCGGCTCAAAATTGCCAAGGCTGAGGACATCGAAGCTACCACCAAAAATCTCATGCACCCCTCCAGACTGAGGACACCGAAAATTTTTGCAGACTATAATATCTACAGCATGCCTGCGGTTGACGATGGATCATCAACACCATCAACTCGAATCGATACAGGAACTTGCATCGATAAATCAACTCGCATCGATACGAAACCAGCAAAATGTCGTTGACCTGGACTTCTTACAACCAAACACGCCACGAGCATGTGGACAGCACATTTCCCTTCGACGGTACCGACATCTACAAAGCTTTCCAAAAAGAGGGCTATCCAGTCAAATGGCTGCACAGCACTACTGCTTTCACGCTGGGTAACGTGGTCATCCGAGCACCTCATAAGGAGGTCACCTGTATCAGCTTAAGGAAAGACGACGCCCAGCTGCCATATGTCAGGACCATTCTGCGCGGCATCAGACATCGCATGGCGACGGAGAAGAACCTAGCTGAACTCCCTGCGAAGCTTGCAGAGGAGAATCGGAAGAAGTTCGACGTTGGGGCATTTCTAGATCAAAGGCGAAGCCGGAAGGACGGCGCACCAAGCGATCGCGAGCCGCTGCTGGACGGAATACAAGACGTGTGCACCAACGCTTCCAAAGCCAGACTGGAGTTCGAGCAGGCTCTTCATGAATTGCACATTCGGGAGCAAGGATTATTATTGGAGGAAGATGTTCCCAAGGTCTTGGGGACGCGTTCCATCGCAGAGGACGATGTCGAGGAGGACATCCTTCTTCAAAACGTTCGCACGGCCTGGCAGGAGCGCAAGCAACAGTGTGAAGCTCGACTCGCAAATCCTCAGCTCGTCAAAGCTTCTGAGGCCGCCTTCAAAAGTTTCCGAGCAGATGTGAGGGAGCTATCCAGATGCCATGTGAAGAAGCCATCCAGATCGCATGCAAGGGTTGAGGCTTGGCTTGATGGATGCTATGGGAAGCAAGAGGCCGCGCTTTCCCTCGAACAACAATCCTGGCCAACTGAGCTGCTCCAGGACATGCCATGCTCGACTTCAAAACTCGCTCGTGCGCACGACTCCGTATTCTCTTCGAGGGAGCAGCTGGTTGAATTTTTCGTGTGAGGGACAGCAGCCGAGCAAATTTTGGGCTTGTGATGGCAGAGCAAGCTTCATGTTGCAGTATTCTAGTGAGAATGGGAAATCAAGTCAGCAGAGTTCTGCATTTCGCATATGTATTGTATTGTAGCTTCACCAACCCTGAAATCCATCGCAGCGTTGACTCGCTGTTGTGGCCCGATTCCATAAGTTACGTGTCAACTCTTTCGCAGTGACTGGAAGCAAAGCAAGATTCGGATGACATACTCGCAGCAGACTTTCTTGTGTAAACATGGTTCTTCGATGTCTCATACGCTGTGCAGATGCTATTCTCCGTCTGCCTGCCATCGTGTGGTTGCTATGCTTCCTGTGAGCGCCTATGATGCGAATGCTACCTGTCATACTGTATGTATAGTCTTTCCACATATCCAGGAACTGCTTCTCGCGTATTCTTTACAATGGCCGGGTGCCATGCATGACGAAGTGCTGCTCGGAAGGCGGATGTAAAACGCTTCCACATCCGAGTTGCCAGTAGTCGAGCAGGCACATGCAATAATGTTCACAACTTCACACTCCACTCCCAATAAATTTTGACTTTCCCACCGCTCCGCTCAGATGAAGGCTTGGCCTGCGCGGTATCGGTACAGATTCACCGTCACCGTCACCGTCACCGTCTCCGTGCCCGCGTCCGAAGGCCGACTTTACAGCTGACTGAGCAGTCGCAGGCACAAACACCCTAGAATACCACCCTACCACCTGTGCGGCTGTGCCTGTGCCTGTGCCTGTGCCGTGCCGTGCCACCTTCGCACACGCACAACTTCAGCTCGGCATCTGACCGCTGCACATTCAAACTCAACGCTATGGGCACGGTGTTTCGGCATGCCGCGGACGCGACTGGGCTCGTTGCAGCCTCCTACGGTACGTTGCGTCCAGGCTGCACCTGCACCTGCAAGTTTTCGTTTTTCGGTGCACGAGCCCGACTGCTTGGACATATTCCTTTCTGAAGCGCGTCCACGGTCCGCGAGTGGAAAGGCGGGGTCGTGCAAGGAAAACTCTAAGCTCCATGCGGCCTCTTTGACAGGCTGGCGGATTCCGCGGCCCCGGCCCTAGCACATCTCGCACATCTGGCGTAGGATCCCCCCTTAACGAAGTCCGTGGTTAAGTCCGTCGAACACCTACCCTAGCAGTCCCCTTGTTAGGTTCCACTTTCTATACTAAATCCGGTATAGCTCTATATAAACCTATATTACTACTCGAATAGCGATACTATCCGATTAGGTCTCGGATTCAGCCGTAGTAGAGCTTAGGGTTAAGAAGCCGACACCTTTACGAGTCGTCCCCTAGTAAAGGTTTTATAGCAAACCTTAGTAAGTAAAGAAGAAGATATAGAAGAAGGTATAATAAAGGCGCTAAGTACGCTACTAAGACAGGTATATAGACAAATAGACTATAGATTAAGACCTTCTAATACTAATTAGCTACTACTAACAACCGAGTCTCGGTTGTTTCGTATACGCCGTCGACTAAGGCGCTATAAGCTTAGTAAAGATATACTTTAAGCCCTTCTCGAGCCGCCGAGTTTACTTAAGAAGTAGTTTAATATTAGTCTACTTATAGCGAAGGTTAACCGTCTCGCGGAGGCAGTAAGGGACTTAAGGGTAGACGTAAACCTTCTATAGAAGGAGGTTAAGGAGTCGCTAGTAGTAGCTAGCTCCGCTAAAGAAGGCTCTCGAAGTAAGGTAATAGTTATTAAGAGGGCGGAGTTTAAGGCACTTTAGCGCTAGGTAAACCGACTAGAAGAGACTATTGCCGAGCTCGTAAAGTCGTAGTATGCCTTAAGTGTCGGCTATAAAGCTAATCTATAGGCAATAGCGACTATAGTTAATCGCTAGAGGTTAAAGCGCTAGTAGGTACTAAATCTAGCTTTAGGCTCTCGAAGAAGGTATAGAGATTAGGCTAGTTGTACTATATTATATTACATACCTTATATAAGGCGATAGGTCTATAATATAAGTAGGCGTAAGTTATATAGTACTTATCGTTCTTATTAGTAGGCTAGTGTTTAAATCCCTAAGCGGTCCTTACGTGCTTATTATTAGGACTAAAGAGGTTATATATAATTAGTATATAACTAGGCTCGAGTAAAGCTAGGGTCTCGATGCCTTAGGTAGGGCTTAGCGCTTAGCGTTAGGCTAACTAGCCTACCTTCCTCCCTCTCCTCTTAGATCTTTATCGAATACTACCTATACCTACTACTACCCTATCTACCTGCTAATATACCTGTCTTATATAGTATTCAATCTACCCTTTAAGGGCAGCAGCTAGATAGTTCTTATTTCAAGCTTTTAGCGGTATAGCTACGAATAAGACTAATCTAACTATATTGCGCCCGAAGAACGGGACCTATACGTACTATTCTATCGAGACAACCGTACTAATTATTAAGCGAGGCCTTCTATACGGCCTATTATACTAAGTTAATCGTACTAGACTAATATCTACTAATTCCGCTATATCCGTATCTTAGGGGCTAATAATACATTATTAGTATTACCCCCTATTATAATAGCCGGCTTATTACGAAGTAATAACAACCGTGCTACCGCTAGTAGCGCTAGTAATAACAACGCTAGTAGCACAGTACCTACTACTAAAGTGCCTACTAAAGCACCTACTAAGATGCCTCCTACCGAAGAGCCTGCTATAGGACCTACTAAAGAAGAACCTGCAATTCTAGGTAACGACCTAGAATTGCCTATCGACGATATTCTTAATAATATTGTTAACCGTCGATATAGCTAGCTAGCCTTTAGTCCCTAACTAGTAGCGAGACTTTAAGAAGCTACCTAAAACAGGCTTACTGCCTTGCGTTAAGAACAATAGCTAAAGGATAATCTTCTCGAGATTCGCCGTCTCTAGGAATCTCTAACAACTACTACTAAGCTAATAGTAGGACCTTCTTTACTACCTATCTAAAAGAAGGATACTAAACTCAAGGACTGTACTATATTTAATAGCTCTAGTCGAAAGCAGTATAACGACTATATTCGTAACTATAAACTCAACTAGCGTAATGTACTAAGAGCGCTACTAGACGACTATTCCTTAGTCGTATACGCTATACAGTACATTAATAGCGACCTAAAGCGTATATAGAATAACCATTTCGACTCCCTTAATAACTAGACTACTGTTTAGTAGCAAACCTACAAAACCATTATACTAGATACCCTTAGAAACCCTATCCTAAGGCAATAACATACTTAGGACCTATATCTTCGAGCTAAATAGAAGACTAATTAATCGGCTCGCTTATTTAAAGCCTATTTAAAGACCCTCGAGGATAACCTTCCGCCTAAGACTAATTCTATATAGATCTCGGAAATACGCCTAAAACTTAGATAGGAACTTATCCTCGAGTTAGACCGTCGCCGCGTATTCGAATAAGCTAACCTAATACGTATTTAATTTATAGTCGAAGTAGAAACAGCCGAACGAGCTGTCTAGCTCTAATAACGACTAGAATTAAGGATCCGACTAGCTAGTACTAACCGTAGTAATCGTAGTAGCCGCGGAGGAAACTAAGGTTCCTACTAGGACAATAATGCTAATAGTAGGAATAGTAACAACGACCGTAGAAGGGGCCGTAGCCGGCGACTATATAGAGGAGGCCGCGATAGGAGCCGTAGAAGGGGCTCGTATCCCTACAATACTAACCGCTCGGCTAACAATAGTAATAATAGCTACAGCAACCTACTAACCGGATTGAAGTGCTTCAATTGTAATAGTACTAGCTATCTACTAGGCTAATGCGACAAACCTAAGAACTAGGCCCGAATTAACCGTGCTTCCGCTAAGCATAGGAAACACCTTTTAGCTACTAATGCTACCCTAGTCGGCTCTTTAAATCAGTCGAAAAAAGAGTAAGCGCTATACTAACTATTAGCCTTATACGGCGTAAGACTATCGACATTGTACTAGCTATTATACGTACCTGTCTTATATCTAGGCCCGACACTAACTATAAGGCAAAGGTTATACTAGACCCCGGAAATTCAGTTAGCGCCCTTATTAGCTATCGCCTAGCTAAGCAATTAGACCTTCGACAACTGCCGAGGACTAACCTGCTAACCCTTGCTTAGTTTAATAACGCTCGGTACTTAACCTATAGAGCCTACTATATTCCTATAGTTCTAAAAGACGACCTCGGAAATGAACGCCTACTAAACTTTACTACCTACGCGGTAGACATAGACAGCCTCCTATCCGATATTATTATTAGCAACCCTATTCTTAAGTACTATGCTATAGTTATAGACTTAGGCAGTTAACAATAGCGATTTAGAATCGCTAGGAAAGAGGATATTAAACACATTAATATTAGCGAGTGCCCTAACGATATTAGGGTCCTATTTATTAGCAACCTAACACCTGCCTTAGCTAATCCGACTACCGACCTACTCGGTAGTAACGACGATAAACCTATGCCCCCTAATAATCCTAATTAGCTTGCTCGTATACTAGAGCCTATCCGAGAGACCTATATTAATATGTTTAAACACTACCTAGCATCGATATTGCCTATATTCAAAGAGACGGATTATAAGATTAACATTATAGAGGGCAAAGAGGTTCCTTTTAGCCCCCTCTACAACCTTAGTAAGCGAGAGCTTGCTATATTACGTAAGTACCTAGAGGAAAACCTAGCTAATAGTCGAATTCGGTATAGTAACAGCCCTGCTAGTGCACTAATCCTGTTTGTTCTAAAGAAGGATAGTAGCCTGCGGTTATACGTTAATTACCGTAGGCTTAACGCTGTTACTATTAAAGACCGCTATCTACTCCCCCTTATTAATAAGACCCTCGATCGCCTTTCTAGGGCTTACTACTATACTATACTAGACATTAAGGATGCGTACTACCGTATCCGCATTCGTAAGGGTAACGAATAGAAAACAGCCTTCCGTACTCGCTATAGCTATTTCGAATACTTAGTTATACTATTTAGCCTAGCTAATGCCCCTGCAACATTCTAGTCCTATATTAATCGAGCCCTTTTAGGCCTATTAGACCATCTCTGTATAGTTTACCTAGATAACATCCTAGTTTATATACATTTACCTAATATTGCAGAATACTAGGCCGTAGTACGCAAGGTCCTCGACCGCCTACAAGCCTATAGCTTATATTGCAAGCCTTCTAAATACATCTTTGCTACTAAAGAGGTGTTATTCCTTAGCTTCCTCGTATTAACCGAGGGTATTAAGGCTAATCCTAATCGGATTAAGACTATTACTAAATAGCCTGTTCCTACGTTAATTAAGGAACTATAGTCGTTCCTCGGTTTTACTAACTTCTATCGCCGATTTATTAAGGGCTATTCGAGGCACGTAATGCCTCTAACTGAGCTTACTAAAACTAAGGCCAATCTATCTAGAGAGTTTAGATAGACTAACAAGACACAAGCCGCTTTTAACGGTCTAAAGCAACGCTTTACTAAAGTCCCCTTATTACACTATTTCGTGCTAAGCAAACAGATCCGAATCGAGACTAACGCTTTACAGTTCGCTATATTAGCTATTATATTACAACAGGCTAATAATAATTACTAGTACCTAATCGCCTTCTTTTTACGGAAGATAATTAATATAGAACGTCGCTACGAGACCTACGAGTAAGAGCTCCTAGCTATTATCGAGGCCTTTAAGCATTAGAGACACTATCTCGATAGTGCATAGCACACTATTTAGGTCTATATAGACTATAACAACCTCCGTAGTATTACTAAGGTTACTAGGGTTATAGATCGATAGGCTAGATAGGCCGTCTACCTCGCCGGGTTTGATTTTAATGTATTATATCGGCTAGGCGTAAGCAACCCTACTAATAGCCTATCGAGGCGACCTAATTACGATAGCGAAACCTAATACATCAATTCTTTGTTTCTAACCCTGTAGCATAAGATTGCTATAGCCCGTATTGTTAATAAGCAAGCGTAGGATAAGCGGACTTCCGGACCCTGCGGCGGCAACAAATACTATAGCGGAGTTGTCGTTCTTCTAGTATACGTTAAGAAGGACGTAGATCGCTCGAGCTATAATAACTCGATTAAAGATATTGCTATCTATAGCGATAGTACTATAGAAGAGGTTGCAGTAGTTCTAGCTACTAGTACTATTAGATATATATAATACGTACCTCGTTTAATAGCGAGGGTACTATTAAATAACCTTGCAAATAGGGATAGTTAATCGTTTATAGATAAGCTATTACGTGCTTAGTAGAGGGACGCCTTTGCTGTCGAGCGTATTAATAGGCTTGTAAGTAGACGGGCGACTCGATCTAGTAAGAGTAATAGTTAGTCGATCGACGACAAAGGTTACTTAAAGTTTAAGGGCAGATACTATATCCCCGCTAAACAATCGATTAGATAAGAGCTTTTAAAGAGGCACTATAATAGTGAACTCGCTAGTTACTATAGTATAGAGAGGTCGTACGAGTTACTATCGCATATATACTACTAGCTAAATAGTAAGCGGCATATAAAGGAGTATATACAGACCTGTGCAGTATACTAGCGAGTTAAAGTACTAAAGCACTTACTATTTAGCGAGTTGTCTTTACTCCCTATTATAAAGAAGCCTTTTATAGAGCTTATAATAGACTTTATTATAGGTCTTCCCCCTACTAAGCGAAGGGGAAGCAAAGACGTCTTTAACGCTATACTAGTTATTATAGACCGATTTACTAAGGGTGCTCGTTATATTCCTGCTCGAAAGGATTAGACTGCTATTAATATAGCTAAAGCCCTATAGAACAACATCTTCTGTAGCTATTAGGGAACCCCTAAGGGGATAGTCTCCGATAGGGGCTCGATATTTATATCGCACTATTAGAGCGAATTATGCCTATAGCTAAGACTGAAGCATCGGCTATTAACAGCCTTCTATCTACAGACTAACGGTTAAACAGAGAGGCAAAATGCTACGCTATAGCAGTACCTGCGTAGCTACATTAATAAAGACTCTAATAGATAGGTTAACCTTCTATAACTAGCCGAATTCGTATATAATAATAGTGTGCATTTATCAACTAAGGTCTTACCCTATATAGCTATAATAGGCTAGAACGCTGCTATGCTACAAGACCCCCTATCGCTCGAGGCCGAGCGTAAGGAAAGAGAAGCGCGTTAAGTACCCGAAACACTAGCGGCTATTAAGAGGGTTTAGAAGATACGAGAAATCTATACTAAGATAGCCGAGAAGTTAACAAAGGCTTAAGAGTACCAAAAGACCTACTACGACAAGCACTATACGCTAAGGACCTTTAAACAAGGCGATATAGTTATGCTAAGCACTAAGAACCTCCGCATCCGCAAGCACCTATTACCTAACGGCAAAACAAGGCCTAAGCTCGCACTAAGATACATTAGTCTATTCCGCATTCGAGAAGTTAAGGGCTCCTCCGTATAGGCCTATTAGTTGTAGCTTCCTCCTTATTATACTATCTATAACACCTTCTATATATCCCTCCTTAAGCTATATTACCTATACGAGGGGGATAAAGCCTCTACTAAACACGAAGACATACTAGCGGATAGTAAAGAGCTGTAGTCTATAGAACGTATTCTAAAGCACTAGACTAGGTAAGGCAAGAAGGAGTACCTATTAAGATAGCAAGGCTATTTACCTAAATAGGACTTATAGGAAGCTAAAGGTTCCTTTAAGGATATAACTAAGTTGTTAGATAAGTATTAGACTAGTATAAAGAACAAGAAGAAGGCTAAGGGCCTATAATGTCGCCTAGGAACAATACTACCCCTAGGGTGCTATTAGCTAACTAATTAGAGACAAGTAATTATTAGTAATAAAGGACAATAAGACTATACTAGGCGCACTACGACGCGTTAATCAATTAATCGTATACTCTTTTAAGGGCTCTACCTCTTTACTAATGCGCCCTATAAGGCCTTCTCCTAGTATTTAAGTCCCTCTCTTATTCCTTTATTCTATTAAGACCTAAGGCCTAGGCGGTCGATAGAGGCGGCGCGCGCGCGTAGACGAATAGTATTAGTAATAATAATAGTAACGACGGCGTTACGCTTGCGCTAAAGGACGACACGGCCGGCGCGGCTATATTAGTAACAGTATTACGAAGTATATTGTTAGTCGACGAAGGAAATCGAAAGCAAGGTAAAGTTAGCGCTAAGACGACTAGCGCCGCTATTATTAACATTACTTGCTATTGTTACTATACCTACGGACATAACCTTACCTATACTACGAGCCTAAGGCACCTTTAATCAAAACTTTAATTAAAACTTTAAGCCGCCTAAAAGATTAAGCGACTAATAGACTAACTAAGGGCAAAACTATAGAGCTAAGCTAGCTAGGGTCGATCTTGCGGACAATAGGTTACTCCTCGATCTATCTAACCCTTTAAGCGAGGCGAACCTCTACTACTGCACTTATAATAGCCTTTACCTATAGAAACCAGAAGAACTAAGTTTTTTAAAAAGATATAATTAGTTAATACTTAAAGGCTGCCAAACCTAACTAATTAGGGTTAGTAAAACTACGACAGTAAATAATAGCCCTCGTAACAATAAGAACAACCCTCGGAACGGACAAACCCTCGGAAGCGAATATTGCTAGGTCTTTTAAGAGTAGACGCAAAGAACTCGGTACGATATTACTTAGAACGGAGGCAGGGCTACAATACCTCGTACGTCTACCTATTATAGTAGGGAAGACGCGCTCGTATTGTAATTAGTCGATAGTCTCTAGTTCTTGTAGTTATATATCACTTTATTATATATAAGGATAGCGCAGTTAGAGTTAGATATTGTGTTATATTAGAGGTAAGGTTTGATATAGTTATATAATCGGTAATTGCGTGTTTAATTTAGCGCGGACTAAGAAGCTTACTAGACCTGCTAAGTTAGTAGCGATAGAGGTTAAGAATAGAATATAGACCGGCTACGAGGGCGCGGCCTTTAGAAGGGAAGCGTGTATTAGGACTAAAGAGGTTACACGTAATTAGCATATAACTAGGCTCGAGTAAAGCTAGGGTCTCGATGCCTTAGGCAGGGCTTAGCGCTTAGCGTTAGGCTAACTAGCCTGCCTTCCTCCCTCTCCTCTTAGATCTTTATCGAATACTACCTATACCTACTACTACCCTATCTACCTGCTAATATACCCGTCTTACACTTATATAGGTAGCAACGTTAGCGTCGTAGAACAGCCTTCTAGTTATATATAGCGTTACTACTACAAGCGAGGCGACGAGCTTCTTCGGCTATAGGAAGACTATTACCCTTCTTAATCTAATAGCGACGAGATCGAGAGCCGCTCGTATTATAGGTATAATCTAAGACAAATTAGCTATAGCTTCGAGGCCGTAGCGGAGTTAGAGTACGCTATGCCCTTAAAGCCGCCTCTATAGCCTATTTCTCGTTAATCTCTTACTAACCGAGTTAGACTATTTGCTACGCTAGTGCTATACGGAAGTCGCGTTAGTAAGTAAACTGTTAGTTCTTTGTCTACTGCTTATTACCTCGTAGAAGGATAAATAAGTTAACAACTAAAGCGTCGAGTAGGAAGTAGAATAAGAGGTACTAACCCTTCCGTAACTTATACTATATCGAGTAATAATAGCGTAACTAGTTATAAATATTAACGCTACCTATATAGTTATTATATAGGGTAGCAATCTCTAGTAGAAGTATCTCTTATTTGCTGTCGGTTGTCTAATAAGGTCTTACGTACTTGTCGATATAGGCGTTGTTTCTAGCTCGAGGGCATACGCGAAGCCGTCGTATCCGCTCGAAGGGTCGATAACCTATTATAAGGAACTAGACGAGGTTCCTATCCTACTAGATTACCGCCGCTATACTATAAATTGCCTTACAAAGTAGTATATCGTAGGGAAACTAGGTCGTTTTACGATTAAGACCTAGGTATATAGATTTCTGCCTTATACTATCTTTTTTTAAAGTCCCTAGTTTCTCGAAGGTTTTACCTCGCTACGGCTACGAGAGTAAGCTAGATCGTACCGTTCTAGTCGCCGCAATACCGAGATATCGTAAGACTGCGAATAATAGTACGTTATTAAATAGGTTGTCTATAAAAATGTAGTAGAAGTATTATAGGAATAGAAGTTGTAAGATTAGTCGAAGGATAGCCTACCGAAGCGAGCTTAGTTTAGCGCTTAGCGAGACGGTAGGCGATACGATTAGGCTTTTAGTTAGTTCGGAAGTGCGGTCCGCGCGGGCCGCGCTTATATAACTTTCCTTCCTTATATTCTAAACTAAATATAATCTAGTATTCTTACTATAACTAACACCTCCTAGACCTCGTAACTCTCGCTCGCGGCGCTTCTTACTACTCTCTTTATAGCGCTCCTTCGCCCTAGCATCTATAAGAACCTCTAGCGTTACTACCGGGTGCTTAGCGACCGCCGCGGCGATAGAATCTAGGTCTTTATTAATCTCCTACTTATATACCTTCCGTAGACTCGAGAATAGGAAGGGGTATAGGTACCTATCCTTATATAGGTATAGAATATAGTATCCGATTAGTATTAGCTTCCCTCGCATTATAATTACATACCTAGATTTACTAGTAAAACAGATTATACTCTCGTTAATAGATACATTAGTACTAGGTACGACTACCTCGCGGAATTTGCTACGTAAAATGTTAGTAAGAGGTAGGATCTACGTCTAGCTAGGTAGGCCTCTTCTACTTAACGAGAGCGCGTTACTCCGGCACTATAAAGTAGCCTTAATCTGTTTAAACCGCTATTTACTTATATAACCGATAATAGGACATAATAGCTAGTATCTATCGTCGCGCTAATAATCGGACTTGTCGGCTATTTAGATTACGGATATATAAATAATAATACCTACGAAGATCCGCATTATTAGCTTGTCTACTAGCTTCTATAGATAGCCGGAAACGACGATCTTATTACCCTTCTTAAAGTCCGGCTTACTAATAGTATACTCGTTAGTATAGTTAACGAGTCGGTCTATAACCTTATTAGTCTAGAAGAGTAAGAAGAAGCGATACTAGACGTTGTCTAGTAACGATAGGTTACTACTTAGGTCTATAGGTAAATTGACCTGCCGCCGGTAAGGGGTACTAGTTAGTAGCTCGTAGCGACCTTCTATTATCTCTCCGTCCTTCGAATAATATAGTCTGCCTATCCTACTATCTACCTCTATATCTTCGATCTCTTTATCTCCTTCTACGACTTCCGTAGGCCTACTCTCTACGCCGCCTAGTATAGGCTCTCCTACCTTCTTAAATACTAGCTCCCTTCCTTTAGTTAGCTAATTAGTATTTAACTTATCCTTGTCTATTAATCTAGCGAATATATCTAGCTAATTGTTATTACTATCGTTGTTACAACCCTCTTCTATAAAGGCCTAGAAGCTCGCTATATTGTTATATGCTTCTTAGTAGGATTGAGTTTAGAAATACGAAGGCAATTAAGTCGTATATATAGGCCGATAGCGGCAACAAGGGCTAAGCGCTTAAAGAGGCTTAACGCACCTATAAACGAGGCCAATTGAGGCCTGTTCATTCACCTGCAGTCTACCTTCCGAAAGCTAACTATGTGGACACTATAGGGGTTGATCCCTGTTTAACCGACGAACGCCGCTCAGCAACGAGTTATTACAGGGGATACATCATGCCTGGCTGTGATCGGCCTTAACCTGTCCGACTTGCTCGACTGGCATCTTTCGTGATCGGAACGCGGGTCCTCCTGGCCTCATCACTGCAGCATCCTTACTCCTGTCACGAAGCACGGTCTGCGTACATACGATTACGGACGTGACAGGCCTTCTGGCCGCACGCTCGAATAATAATCATTATTGTATACTAAGCAACCATGTCGTCAACGGACAAGGACGGTGACGACCATGCTCCCAATATAACAACGCCAGCCTCCGCTCCGACTGTGCCAAATTATTACCATCCACCTACGCTGCAAGGCATCTTCGACACTTCCACAGAGCACCAAGGCGAGGCTTGCGAAGACAGAATGGAGTCCGCCGACGCCACTGTCAGTCACAGCCAGAGCCAAGGAGAGTCGGGCACCACAAGCACAACTTTGACCAACTCTCCATCGAATCATCAGCCAACTACCAATGTCAGCCAAATTTCACCCAATAATAATGAGCATCACTACGTCACAGAAGACGGGCGAGAAGTCGCAGAAGACCCAATGGACGTCGGGGCGTACGAGAAGCATCGAAAATATAGCGACCCATCGATATCAAGCGATGAACGCTTCGAACCCATTAATGCAAACGACGAAGGTGTGTTGCGAAGGCTAGCGAGCTCCATGCGCTCCCAATCATACTACGCCGATCGACGATCAAGTTTGCCCGCCACCGAACCACAGATTGGCGCGCTGGAGCGGAAAGGCACGCTCGAAGGTCTCGAGTTGACCGACGAAGTCTTTGATCCACAGTCGCCTAAATTCGACCTTTACAAGTGGGTTCGCATGACTCTGCGTCTTTTCGACGAAGAGGGCATCAAATTCAAGCGAGCTGGAATCACCTTCAAGAACGTCAACGTGAGTGGCACAGGAGCAGCGCTCAATCTTCAAAAGAATGTCGGCAGCATGTTCATGACGCCGCTACGACTGGGCGAGATGTTGAATCTGAAGAAGACGCCACGACACATCCTCCACGACTTCAATGGCATCATGAAGAGCGGCGAGCTACTGATCGTGCTAGGACGTCCAGGTTCGGGTTGCAGTACTTTCCTGAAAACAATTACTGGGCAGATGCATGGCCTGAAACTCGACGAGCGCTCGACAATTCACTACAATGGCATTCCTCAACACCAGATGATCAAAGAATTCAAGGGAGAAGTCATCTACAACCAGGAAGTGGACAAGCACTTTCCCCATCTGACTGTTGGCGAGACCCTCGAACATGCTGCAGCTCTCAGAACGCCACAGCACCGTCCACTCGATGTTAAGCGCCACGAGTTTGTCAAGCACGTAACACAGGTCGTCATGGCCATTTACGGATTATCCCACACTTACAACACGAAAGTCGGAAACGATTTCGTGCGGGGTGTATCGGGAGGAGAGCGGAAGCGGGTTTCCATCGCGGAAATGGCACTCGCCGGCTCTGCTTTGGCTGCATGGGACAACTCCACTCGTGGTCTCGATTCAGCAACCGCATTGTCATTTGTGAAGTCACTCAGATTGACCGCCAATCTCGAAGGATCAGCTCATGCCATTGCTATTTACCAAGCGAGTCAAGACATCTACGATCTCTTCGACAAGGCAGTTGTTCTCTATGAGGGCCGTCAGATCTTCTTCGGCAAGGCCGGCAAGGCCAAGGAGTACTTTGAGCGCATGGGCTGGTTCTGTCCACAGCGACAGACCACCGGCGACTTCCTTACCTCGATCACGAACCCTGCCGAAAGACAGACGAAGGAGGGCTACGAACAGAACGTTCCACGAACACCCGAGGAGTTTGAGAAGTACTGGAAGGATAGCCCCGAGTACGCCGAGCTTCAGAAGGAGATGGCGGAGTACGAGCAGCAATACCCAGTTGGGAGCGGCAGCGAGTTGCAAGCTTTCCGCGATTACAAGCGCGATACACAGGCCAAGCACACCCGACCGAAGTCGCCATACGTCGTCAGTGTTCCGATGCAGATCAAGCTCAATATGAAGCGCGCGTGGCAACGAATCTGGAACGACAAGGCATCGACTTTTACTCCCATCATCTCGAACATCATCATGGCCCTCATCATCGGTTCCGTATTCTACCAGACTCCAGATGCGACAGGCGGATTTACCGCCAAAGGCGCAACCCTGTTCTTCGCCATCTTGCTCAATGCTCTTGCTGCTATCTCTGAGATCAATAGCTTGTACGACCAACGACCGATCGTGGAGAAACATAAGTCTTACGCCTTCTATCATCCGTCTACCGAAGCAATTGCTGGAATTGTTCTCGACGTACCGCTCAAGTTTGCAATGGCAGTCGCCTTCAACATCACGCTATACTTCTTGACTGGTCTCCGTGTAGAAGCTGGAAATTTCTTCTTGTTCTTCCTGATCAATTTCACGGCCATGTTCGTTATGACTGCCATCTTCAGAACGATGGCCGCCATTACCAAGACCATTTCCCAAGCCATGGCCCTCTCTGGTGTTCTTGTTCTCGCAATCGTCATCTACACCGGTTTCGTGATACCCGTCAAGTACATGAAAGATTGGTTTGGCTGGATCCGGTGGCTCAATCCCATCTTTTACGCTTTCGAGATACTGATCGCGAACGAGTTTCACGGAAGACGGTTCGACTGTTCCGAGTTTGTGCCAGCTTACACCGATCTCACTGGACCTACCTTCATCTGCAACACACGTGGCGCCGTTGCTGGAGAGCTGACTGTTAGCGGAGATGCCTTCATTTCTGCTAGCTACGGCTACACATACGATCATGTCTGGCGTAACTTCGGAATCTTGCTAGCCTTCCTTTTCGCCTTCATGGCTATCTACTTCGTCGCAGTCGAGCTCAACTCTGAGACCACATCTACTGCTGAGGTCCTGGTATTCAGGCGCGGCAATGTGCCCAAATATATGACGGACATGGCCAAAGGCAAGGCAGACGATGAAGAGAGTGGTGCTCCGGAGGCTGTCGCAGAGACGGAGAAGAAGGACGACGAGCGAGCAGACGTCAATGTCATTCCTGCTCAAACCGACATCTTCACCTGGCGCAATGTCAGCTACGACATCGAAATCAAGGGCGAACCACGAAGACTGCTTGATGAGGTATCTGGATTTGTAAAGCCTGGTACCTTGACTGCGTTGATGGGAACGTCCGGGGCAGGAAAGACAACCCTTCTCGATGTAAGTCGCTCATGGTATGCGGACTCGAAGCATGACTCTAACATTGGTGTAGGTATTGGCACAGCGTACCACTATGGGTGTCGTCACGGGTTCTATGTTCGTCAACGGCGCTCCACTCGATTCCAGCTTCCAGCGCAAGACCGGCTATGTTCAACAGCAAGATTTACATTTGGAAACTGCTACCGTGCGCGAATCATTGAGGTTTTCCGCGATGCTTCGACAGCCGAAGAGCGTCAGCAAAGCCGAGAAATACGCGTATGTCGAGGATGTCATTAAGATGCTCAACATGGAAGACTTTGCGGAAGCAGTCGTCGGTGTGCCTGGCGAGGGTCTTAATGTCGAACAACGCAAGCTCCTCACGATCGGCGTTGAGCTTGCGGCAAAGCCCAAGTTGCTCCTCTTCCTGGACGAACCTACTTCTGGCTTGGACTCACAAAGTTCTTGGTCTATCTGTGCTTTCCTTCGTAAGCTGGCAGACAACGGACAGGCTGTTCTTTGCACGATCCATCAACCTTCTGCGATCCTGTTCCAAGAATTTGACCGACTATTGTTCCTCCGCAAGGGTGGAAAGACGGTCTACTTCGGCAACATTGGAGAGAACTCGCATACCCTCTTGGACTACTTTGAGCGTAACGGAGCTCGCCAATGTGGCGCCGAGGAGAACCCAGCCGAATACATGCTTGAGGTTGTAGGGGATCAGTCCACAGACTGGTACCAGATCTGGAAAGACAGCCCCGAAGCCGACTCTATCCAGAAGGAAATCGAACAGCTCCACCATGACAAGAAGGACGCACAGGAGAAAGATGAAGACGCGCACGCCCACGACGAGTTCGCAATGCCCTTCACGGCCCAGGTTGCGGAGGTCACCTACCGTGTCTTCCAGCAGTACTGGAGAATGCCATCATACATCCTTGCCAAGATGGTCTTGTCTGGTGCCTCTGGCCTCTTTATCGGGTTCTCCTTTTACCAGGCGAATACCACGTTGCAAGGAATGCAGAACATTGTTTACGCACTCTTCATGGTCACCACGGTCTTCTCTACGATCGTGCAGCAAATCATGCCGCTGTTCGTCACCCAACGATCACTCTACGAGGTCCGTGAGCGTCCAAGCAAAGCCTATAGCTGGGTTGCCTTCCTCATCGCTCAGATTGTTGTGGAGATCCCGTATCAGATCATTGCCGGTCTTATCGTTTACGCCTCCTTCTACTACCCAGTCGTTGGCGCCGGCCAGAGCGCTGAGCGCCAAGGTCTTGTCCTTCTGCTATGCGTGGTCTTCTTGATCTATGCATCGACCTTCGCACACATGTGTATTGCAGCTCTACCAGATGCTCAGACCGCCGGTGCCGTCGAGACCTTCCTCTTCGCCATGTCACTCATCTTCAACGGTGTCATGCAGGCTCCTCAGGCTCTCCCTGGTTTCTGGATCTTCATGTATCGTGTCTCTCCTATGACCTACTGGGTTTCAGGCATGGCATCGACTATGCTGCACGACCGGCAAGTGGCTTGCTCACAGGATGAGATCAACCAATTTCAGCCTCCTTCTGGCCAGACGTGCGGCGCGTACATGGCACCATATCTGCAGCAGGCACCTGGATACCTCCTCAATCCCGATGCTTCTAGCGATTGCCAGTACTGCTCAATTAGCGTGGCAGATACTTTCCTCGCTGGTCCAAAGATATATTGGTCTGATCGCTGGAGGAACTTCGGTCTCATGTGGGCCTACGTCGCCTTCAACATTGGTGCCGTTGTCGTCCTGTATTACTTCTTCCGCGTGAGGACTGGCAGTGTGTTTGGCTTCTTGAAGAAGAGCAAGAAGGGAAAGAAGAGCACTCCAATACAACCGAGCGAGACTGCTGAAGCCGAGCACAACAACATGGAGGTTCAGCAGAACGAAAATTTCGAGCACGAACAACAGCCAAGACGCAAGAGCCTTGTGCGTGCGCCAACTTGGACTGGCGTCGCTTCGACCGCACAGAACTACGCGCACGATTACATGACCTACAACCTGGGCAGAGTCCACACGAATAGGAGGAATGCCCAGATCATTTAGATGAAATTTTTGGTTTATTGACAGCGTTCAAGCGTTGAGCGAGATGGCATGATATGGATACATATATACTACAGCATTAATACTAATGGTCTTTACTGGTTCAGGTGACTGTCTCCCCCGTTTCGCTCCCATCATCACACGGACGCTAAGCGTTTGAAGTTCTGCGATGTATATAAATACAACTCGAGCCTGACGCCAACTCTTCCACATCAACCACACGGATTCAAAAGGCGAACTCAGACATCCTCACCAGCTCTCGAACAAGAAGACACCACGTCAAAGTCCAATCCCGGAAGCACCTCCCACCACCACCACCATCGAAGACCGACAATTCCTCCTGACGACATCATCTTCACTCTCCCGCCCACCAACTTCCTTCAAATCTCCACCCTCGCCGTCGTACACACAAGAACCCAAAAAACTTTCCCCCTCAATCACGCCCTCCTTTTCCTCCCGCCACAACGCCTGTTTCTACCACTTCCCACTTCCCACCTCCTCAATCGCAAAAATTTTTTATAATGTCAAAACTCCTTTTCTCTCGGAACTGGAACCTACTACGATTTCGCCCTTTTCCCTTCCGGATCTTTGATTTTTGGAGCAAGTAGGTTGATGATGATGTTAGTTTGTTTGTTAGAGGTTTTTTTTTTGGAAAAAAAAAAAATTCATGATGATGAATGAATGAATGACGAGGTGAGAGGGGGAGGAAGGAAGAATGTCGAAGAGGAAATTTTTTTTGGTTGGAAGAGTCGTATTAAGAAGGTTTGAAGGATTTTTGAGGGTGTGAGTGGGGGTAAGGTGATTGAGAGAGGTGTTTAGGGGAGGGGAATTGGAGGGTAGAGGGATGGGGTTGTTTTGGGTAGGAGGAGTTTGATTGGGATGGGGGAAACTGAAATGAGTGAGTATTGGAATGGCGATGGACTGAGCGAGCGTTTAGGTTCTGTAAGAAGCGCACCGGGTTGATTGCTTTGCCAAGGATCTCGTTTTTTTTTCTGCAACCTTCCGGGAATTTCGGGTTCACTTTCGCCGTGGAGAAGTTCTTGTCATGTCATGTGAGGGACTTGGGCAATGGATTTGCTGCTTGCTCAACTTCCAACGGCTTTCAGAGCCTTGACTCGACCTGACCTACAACGCATCCCTCAAACTTCTTCCCCGGAGAACCCCATGCTCCTCGACGCTGCGGCTCTCTCATCGTAGCAGGGACGATGTCATGTTGCGAAGAACGAAAGCGAAACGTGAATATCAAGTACAGGCGTGCGTGAAAAATTTGAGGACGGACGGGAGGTATCACCATCACTATACTTTTGAAAGGGTTGAGAATAACCCATGTTTGAAGCAAGCGGAGTGGTTCTTGGTGGTGGGTATGATCAGAAAATTAGGTAGAAGGGTGTTGAGTATACATAGGTATGAGAATAGTTTAGGCGTTGAGAAGTATGGGAGTGCGAGTGGTGCAATGGGACGGGAAGGAGTTGACGAGGAGTGCCAAATTTGGGATAAGGATAAGGGGGTTTAAAGTGTAGGTATGATTGTTGGATGTAAGGGAAGACTTACTCAGAAAAGCAGTTGGAAGCAAGCAAGCAAGAAAGCAGGCGTCACTTGGTGAGAAAATCCTCTACTTCCCAGGACTCAATATCACAGGCGGACTCTCCGCATTCTCCTTCTGCAACACATCCGCATCGCACGGCGCCTCTTTGCGATCAAAACGTCCATAATCCCTCTCAACCCTCACCAAATGCGTCATCTCCTCCGCCCCCTTCTGCACATTCCCATAAGCCTGACTGGCGCGACACTTGACCGCAGCCTTCTTGGTCGCAAAACTAATCAACCAAACCACCGTCTGATCATTCGCATAAGGAGTAATATCAAACGCCTCATCAAAAATCCCACTGGCAGCGACCAACAACGCAGTCTCAATATGACTCCTCAAACCCGGTTGCTCTCGGACGGAAATATGTTCTTCGTACACGATTAAATAGCGTCCGCGTTTGGATGTGGTGGTTGTGGGGTCATCGGCCGTGTAGTATTCCGAAGGTTCTACGACGGCGCCGGAACGCACACGATAGTCTTCGAAGACTCCTTGGCGGGATTTGTGTTGGATTCGGAGATGGTCTGGGTGGGTTCTCCAGTTTCGAGCGGCTTCTGGGGATGTGAATTTCGCTAGGACGAGATGTTGCTTTTCGTTGGAAGGGGATGTGTACCCGTTTTCTGAGATGAAGCCGGAGTGGTCTTGGAGGGGAGGGCGCAGTTTTGTGTAGTATGCTCCCGCTATTACGTTTCTTGAGGCTGGGATTGTTTCTTCGAAGACGGTTATGAACATTTTGGGGCGGTTGGAGGGTGTGGGGTTGAGGTGAGGTCGGGTTGATTATCAGATGTGTTGAAGATTGTGGCAAGCCTATTTGTTCTTGCGTCGCCTCAAGTTGGCCTCTCTGGCATGGAGACCCTGTCTATGCGCATCGTTTCTTGACAAATCGGTAAGCCTAAGCGTGGGCGCGGCTGTAGACGATGATCCCCATAAGAAAGTGATGTTAAGTAGGCCTCCCTGCATGTGAGGCTGGAGAGGCTTAAGTCAGCAGTGTTCAGGCAGTACGGAGTAAGTCATCTGGGATGTATCTTACCAACAGTCCTTGCCGACCAGGATGTGCATTGGATCTCAATCAAATCTGTTCGATTCCTCACCAAAGATCTGACCTAGACCGGCAAGGACTTCTGGTACCACTTTCAACTGTCCATGCCCATCCCTTGGCGGTGTGCCATGGATGAATGTATGAGGTGCCATCCACTGGCCAGCAGCCCTGAAAATTTTAGTCTTTCTTCCCCTTGCAAGGAAGATGTCATTCTCAAGCTGGCAGTGCTGGCAGCGAGTCCGAGCGTGGCCGCGTTCTGGAAGCAACAGAGCTGGACTGGGCAGATTCATCAGCGACGGTGGGTGATGTAGAATATCCGCCAAGAAGAAGATTGAGTCGCATGAAGCAGGGTGGCTGACTTTCCGTCTGTCAGGTGTCAATCAGCCTGGAGAGGTCCGAACTGGAATCGCATGTGTAGCCTTCCTTGCGATGCGCGCGGTGTTGGCTCATCGGTAGTGGTGACACCTCCCTTCCGAGTTCTTGCATGCTCGTACGGACACTGGACAGCGATATGAACAATAAATAGTACGGAGACGCCTGTGCTGTGCTGCGAGAATGGCGTCAACATGTCCTTTTAAAGTTGCGTTTCGGCAGCGCACGATCCTAGCATCATCACGTAAACTTCAGCAGGCAGGGCGGCTGCCAACCACCCAGCAAAGCCTCCATCAACTCTGGTCATCTGAAACCTCTCCGAAGCGCAATAACGTTCCTTAGTCATCGTGAGAGTACGACGTTCTGTCTAGATTTACATCTTCTCGAGCATGCTCCCACCGATGCTTCCTCCTCCACTTCGCTTTCGACAAAGAAAATAACGAAACATGCTGTCTGGCCCTGGTATGGTGCTCGCTAGCAATAACTGATACAAAATGACAATGCATGCGCTTCATGGAGCGCGTGAGATCCATAAAAGCCATCCGGACTCCAAAAGTGCAAGGAGAATTCGGCGCTCGAAGGCGCAATGCACAAGCGGTTCGCATCGAAGACGTATCAAAAAAGTTTCACATCCAATCAGTCGCTCGTACAAAGGAAACAAGACAGCAACATTGTGTCGACGACGCTGTGTCAAATCCATCAGATGGCATCAGGAGGCCGCGACCGCCGAGTTGATGCGTTGATTGCGTGACAGCTCAAGCATAGCAGATCCAGTAGGTCGATGATCCGCGTTATCCATGTACTTTTGCGAGAGGTGTTCCTAGCTCCTCTTCACGGCGAGACCGAGAGACTCGTCTTCTCTGCTTCCTGAGCTGATGCTCATCGGGCTCGCAGACAGTTGTGTGCTTGCTTGAGGAAGAAGCGGCAATGTCTTGTCTTTGGGTGGGGTCGGAGGCGGTTGTCCTCCCCAGCTCAGCCGTTCCTCCAGGCTCCGTCTATCTGTACTACCATCAATCTTAGGGGGCGTTGGAGGAGGCACTTCGCCAATGGATTCCGATGTCATTTCGGCGTTTCCAAGAACGGCACGTGCGTTCCTCATCTCTTCTCGACTCGGTTCTCGTGTCATTCGAGAAGGTGTGCGTGATCCTGCATTGCTGTTGCTTTCGGCAGCTTCACCAATGACAGGCAATGTAGCCGACTCGGTCTGTTCACCACCTGGGCTTCTAACCGTCATGATCGACCGATCTGGTATCTCCTCTTCGTTCGATCCTTTTCGTCTGCTCTTCTCAGCCATGTGCTCAGCGGCTTGAATGACCTTCTCAGTGCCTAGTGGGTTGATCTTGTCGCGGTGGATGTTGATACCGCCAAGACGTGGGTCGTTGACAGTACCTTCGATACCTGGTGGTATTTCGACGCCAGCATCAGCTGCTAAGGCGGTGGATAGGCGTTCCTTCTCGGCGCGCTCTCGAGACATCGTGACACCAGAGATGAATTTGACGAAGCGATCGCCATATCGTTCGGGAGGAATAGGCGAGATCTGCGCCTCATGACCGCCCATGCCTTTCCAGAAGTGCTCGACTCGCTTTATCAAGTTGTACTATGACAAAGTCAGTATATACCAATTCTCTCATGTTGCAATCCTTACTCTGGTCAGGCAGTCGATTATGCCCAGGTAGTATATCTCTTCACCCGGCATGTCGTCTTCGTGAGTCGCTCTGAATCCACCATCATCTGCATAAAAGTAGAAGGTGCTTCGATGTGCCTCTTCAGGCAGCTTGTCAAGTGTCTGGCTAATCGGGACTGGTCGCTCCTTCTTGACCATGTCTCGCATTTCCCTAACACGTTTTGCATTCTCCATCTTGCTTGGTGTTCGTGCTAGCTGGTGATTATTTGACTGCTCCTCATTGCCGCCTCCGGGTTGGAAGACTCGTAAGGTCTTGTCGCGCAAGTTCTCCTCGTTGCCACGCTCGAGATCGTGGATGCCAACCAGGAGGGAGTAGTCCATGATCTTGAGCCTACGAAGCAAAGCTACGTCTTTCTGCATCTGATTGACAAAAGCCTCCTTCTTCGTAGGGCCGAATTCCAGATGCAAATTGCGCCGTAGCCAGTTGAGATCTTTCAAAGTGGCGCGGGGATTCTTCTCCAAATCCTCCTCGCGGTAGTCGCGTCCGATTGTGCTGCCCTTGAGATCGAATGTTCGATGGATGTCACGGTGCGGAGGGAACAAGTTGTTCATCACCACAAAGTGTATTTTACGCCCATAGGGTATCTTTACGCGATGCAGTCCATAGAATTGTGAAAGGAGAGTGTTGGGATTCTCGGTGACATGGTCATAGTAATCCTTCAGTATCTTCCGGAGGAATTTGTGTTCGCCATGATGGATCGTCTTTATGATGTACTTGTAATCTCGCGAGAAGTAGAAGAATGAGCCGCTTTTTCCAGGCGATCCGAGCTCCGAAAGGATGTACTTAGAAGTCAGTGACATGAGATAGTCTGCCGGGTCGATCTTGAAATTGGCGCGCAGCTTTCGGAAAACCCAAGGCGCGTAGTCCTTGAATTTGAAGTCGTACTTGGAGCTCGGTGTGAGCTCACTGCCGCTAATGTCGAAACTGTGCTTGTGTCTCGCTTCAAAATCTGCGCCCGTGAGATCTCGATCTAGCTTTGCGTTGATTCTGCTAACGCAGCAGCGGATCCCGGTAAGCATGTTGTAGGCCGTGACAAAGTTGACGTGGTTTTGGTCCACTTTCGTGCCCACAACGACTCTGTCGTCGTCCGTGTCGGCGCGCTGTTTCTTAGATGCTCGCTTATTCCTGATATGCTCCGCCCATCTTGCTGCATCTTCGTCCTGCGGTATTTCTTCAAGATGCATGTCAGAATGAATGGAGCGCGTCTGCCTTCTCACGAGCTGCAAAGAGCCTCGCCTTCGCGTGGGTGTATTTGGTGAGAGGCGTCCAGCTAAGCCATCCGTATTGGTAGGATCACCTCCATCTTTCGACGTTCTGGTTTGCGCTTTCGGCACTTCCAGAGTGTGACGATGGGTGAGACGGTCTGGTCGGGAGGGAACAGGAGTTAGGCCTCCTGCTGGGTCGAAGGCTGGTGGGGAGGATGCGCGATGGCGCTGCTGCTTTTGTGAACCATGGCCGGGAGGCTTCAGAAGACCATCGGCACAAGCCTGCGGTGAGCTTTCTACTACTGGCGGCAGTGCAGAGGCGGAAGTCATTGAGACCTGACTGTGGCTCACACTGCGAGCTGGTATAGCGTGTGCAGGCTCGCCATTGTTCATGCCCACCGGCTTACTCAGAGGACTCCGAGATGGGCCTGCAGGCTTCCCGTTAGGCAGAGCCGTGAAATAGCCCTCCTCTGCAGCACCGGGCCGTGTTGTAGCTTCTTTGACGGCTTCTCTAGACCTTCTTTCACCGCCGTCCGACAGATTGGTAGCACTCAGATTGCTTGCGCTGCGCCGGGACCTCATGCTCAGAGCCACGCTTTTCGCCGAAGGTGCGCGATCACGTCCGGCAGTGCCATTCGGCACGCCGAGAATGCCACCATCTTTCCCACCATAACCTTCCTTGGTGCTGCCGTGGGACAGAATGCCGTTAGCAGCAGGAGTGAGTGGCCATCCGGCCGGCGCAGCGTCTACCGCTGGCGTAGCTTGCTCGGAGTCTCTTCTCGGCTCGGTAGATAGCGGTCTCGTATATGTTGCCGTGGAGGTATTTGTAGTTGTTGTAGTTCCATCTCCGCCCGAGAAGGCGGCTGGCATATCTCTTGCAAGTGTACTACGCACCATGAATATGTGGCCGGCATTGAGCTCGCTGCTTTTCCTGCTCAGCGGAGATGCTGCTGGTCCTTGCGCGGCCGACTCATCCCCGTCGCGGGATCGTGAAAGATTGGTCGCCAGTTCGCTGTCGGCTGGCGCCTGCTGCTTTCGAAGTGTGTCTCCACAGTCGTGCCTGCTCTGTACCCGCTGGGTCCTTACGTTCGGCAAGAATACCAAGAATAGCTTTCGCGGAGGCTGCGTATTTGTATTCGCTCAGCCACGAGATGAGATCCGGCTGGGGAGCTCCCGAGGGAGGGGGGGGGGCCAAGGAGCACTCTACGGGATGAACAATGGTATAAGGCGGAAGACTTTGCGTGAAGGCCAGTGGCGGAGAGTTGTAGGTGAACGTGGACGGCCGGGCCTGTTTGTCAGGGCAACATTCGCTTTGCGGTGGAGCCGCTGGAGCGTCACGAGAGAGAGAGGCTTGGTACGCCACGGGCCCAGCCGGTCGACCAATCGCACTCTGCCCAGGACGCAGCGCGACTTCACCAACAGCGGCGAGTGCCGAGAAACACAACACGACTGGTTCGTCCTCTTCTTCCACACTACTATAGCCATCACACACCAAGCTCAGTCGTTCCAGCGCCATGAGGGCATCTTGCTTTCGGATAGATGTGTAGCAAATCTCAGCACATTTGCATCTACAGTACATCAATTGTTGAACTATCACACCATCAAGCTCGCGAATGAGCACTGATCATGTTAGAGGAAATTCATGCCAGACTATGTACTCTTCTGTAGCGCTGCATAGTGACATCTCTCGTCATCAAGTCCGTAACGCCGTCCAGTCAACACCGATTAATCACAATCCTGGGCCCAGTGCAGCAGAAAACACCATATGCCGCAAACCACTTTGGTATCACACACACACCCACACACACAACCATAAACCGTCGTTCAGACGCCCGTACGCCACCAACACTGACGCTACCATTCGCCGACGTGGCGACATCCAATCCAGTAGATCATCAGATAATAAGTAACGCGGGCGTCAGCGTCCACCTCTGGTGCCAGAAATTACATCATGCCGTGAGAAGAGGAAAGCAGCTTATGCCTTCTTCGGGGTCGCACTCTTCTTTGGAGTTGCCTTCTTGGCGGCGGGCTTCTTCTTTGGTGCAGTAGTCTTAGCCACGGGTTGCGGTGCCTTGGACTTGGTGACACGACCAGACTTGGTCTTGCCAAGGACGACAGGTGCCTTGTCCTCAACAGCTGGGGCCTTGTGAGATGTTAGCATTGGGTTGTTAGAGTCGAGGAATCGATGATACCTACAGCAGCAGGTGTCTTTCGTGCCTTGCCTGTGTTGGCCTTTGTCTTGGTGGCAGTCTTCTTGGCCGCCGGTGCCTTTTTGGTGGCAGTAGTCTTCTTTGCAACAGCAGGCTTCTTTGCAGCAGGTGCCTTCTTCGTAGCAGCGGATTTCTTTGCTGCCGGGGCCTTCTTAGCAGCAGCAGGCTTGTCTGACTTCTTTGCGGCTGGCTTATCGGCGGTCTTAGTGGCAGCAAGCTTCACCGGGCCGGAGGTACCTGTTGGCGACGGCAATGTCAGCAAGATGCAAACGAATCGCGGAGGGATAGAAATGTTCGAACGACGTCAATGATGCCCACGATCGAAAGATCTCAGGGACATCAAATGTCGAATCGCAGCAGATATGGATCGTTGTGGCGATCGTTTGGTTTGACGTACCCTTTGGTCTGAGGAAAGTGCCGTTATCAGAGCCCTTCTGGAGCGCCTTGTTGAATTGGACAGTGAAAGCGTTGTCGCTCACGCCAGTGAGGTTGTTGTTGGCGAGGACGTATTTCTTGATTGCCTGGCGCCTGTGTTGAAGATGCAATGTCAGCAATTGGTGGAAGCAGAGCCAAGCAATGCGCTTTCCGAAATGGGTAGCGACAGCGACGGCGAGGTGGCGGATTTCACTTACGAAGAACCGCTCCTCTCTTTCAGCTGCATCACAAGACGCGTTAGCAGAGAGTTCAAATTATGCGAGTATTCGTGGGTCGTGTGGTGTGATCAAAGGTGCAACACGTCGCAATCTGGCGTAAGCCAGCGCGAGCAACACATGTTGCGCCGGGAGTCGTCAACGTACCGAGATAACAGCCTCCTTGATCATGTCTGTTGAGAATACGCGTCAGTGACTGGCGAACACGATAGAAGCTACGCCAGGTCGCCGCGACAAACATGGCGAGCTGAAACTCGAGGGAAGGCATACCAAGGTACGAGCTGTGGGTGGCAGCAGCCTTTGGAGCGGCGGTCTTGGTGCCGGTGGATGCTTTCTTTGGAGGCATTGTGATGATCGTGATCGATTGTTGTGATAGTCGAAGAGCTGGAGAATCGATTGATGCTACGCTTGGATGAATGCAATTGACGCGTTGTTGTGGTGTGGTGCGAAGATGTCGAGGGACTGACGGAAACGCTGGCACGCGCGAAGGTGGGGAGGTGCGGTTTTATAGCAGTCAAAGCTCTTGCCAAGCATCCTAATCACAACCAAAACACACGACGCGACCAGGGGCAGAAACAGCGTTGTCCGCACTCTCTGCGGCTCTGTGATTCGACTTCGTTGAGCTGAAAAAACGACACCTCTTCGTGGCTCGTTCCCATGCTCGCGACTCTTGTGATCTTGCTCCTTCCTTTTCGCTTCGCTATTCTGTTATGGTGATGGTGAGCTGGTCGTCGCCATCCCGCTGAAGAAACATGCCCATCGTATCACGCCAACGCCTCCTCTCCTCTCTATTTCCCTCCCCTCCCTTCGTTGAGTATATCACAGTGTACTTTGGAGAGACACTGGGGCTTCGACATCATCGTTATCTTCGAGCGATCGCTGTCACAGTACCTCTCACTGCGCGCTGGCGGGACCAGTTCGTCCTTTGAAGCATGACTGTCACGAATGCAAGACGGCCCAATGACTGCCATCCCGACTATATGATCTGAATAGATCTGAAGACATCTCAAGGCCAGTGTAACCATTCTGGAGAGCCAATGGCCGCATGGCAAGTCCCAGTCGCGACCGGAAGCGCGCGGCAAAATGAGGAAGCCCGCGCTTGTATCGCGACACTCATTCTCATGCACGGAAGACTTCTCCTCGCCATCCCTCATTTCGAGCGTACGTCTGCTATCAGCCCTCACCTTCGACAGTAATGACCAAAAAGCGTCATGTGCCAAAATGACTAGGAAGGTCGGCAGGCAACAAGGTCACATGGCCAATTGCGACGAGCTGTGCCATTCCATGTCCGAGTACCAGCAAGGTGGATCTCGAAGAACAGACGCAGCACTTGTCCGTGTACGAAAGGAAGCGTCCGCGCATTTTTCACGTCTAACCTCTGTTCGCAGTCCTTCATGACTTGATGTTTCGGCGTCACCTGGCGCAAGATGTGCATGCGATGCCCGGCTGATAGCAATTCCAGGCCAGATTTCCACTCCTCTCAAGCAACCGGCCACAACGCTTCAACACTTACGATCGTGTCTCAATCATGTCTTCGGCTTCATGTGGAACGCATCGCTTGGATTCCTTCTACACGCCACCAAATTCGGTTTCTACGCAGACATCAGCCGCTCAACACCTTCGAAATGTTCAATCCACCTTTCTCCACCACAACTCTCCAGTATTCCCCCCACCACGATCCGTGCCAATCCTCAGCAGCTTGCCTTCGATCGTGTGATGCACGGAGTAATTCCTCCTCTGTAGTGTTCCCTGCCAGCTCGGCACATTCGCCACAGCCAAAGGTCCATGGAAAAGCTGCCCGTAGGTAGTGTTTGGACATGGAAGGTCACGACTGACTTGATACGGTCCTGCATATCCAATACTATGCTTGCCGACTAGTGCCCAATCTGCATCGCTATCGTTTGGCTGAAAAGGAAACGTCAAATTGGGACGCACTTCCGGTTCCGTTGCTGTTATGGTCGCCGACATCCAGCCTGAAGAGCTGTATGTGATGATGCCAACTGGATTTTCGCCGTATGGAGTACCTTTGTTCGGGATCAGTTTGCCATCTCGGAAGCTGTTCAGGTCAGCAATCGTCTCATCCGAGCGAGCACTTCTTCGCTTACTCTGTGCTATTAATGAGCGAATACGTGCCCGCAAGAGCACTGAATATTTCCTCGTCTTTGTAAGGGTTCTCGCATTCTACATCTCCACCCTTTTCTTTACCCAGCGGTTGAGGATGAGCGAAAATTGTAGGGAGCAGCATCCAGACTGCCAGGAGGTGTTTGATCATTTTAGCCATGCTCGCTACAATGCGGAGCTACACGGGATTATGTCTTATAACACATCATGGAGCACTATGCCACTATGGGATCGCTTTCCGAAGTGTTGTCTTGCCCTTTACGCACCCTGTCGTCGGAGCCACGGAATACCAGGTCTGTCGTATGATCGTATCTGCCGAAGCCATCTCCGCGGTTGTGCCACAATGGCTGGTATTGTCGCTGTTCGCCTAGCCTGTTTCTGAAGGAATGAAGATCATCATTGACATAGGAGGAGGTTGTAGCAGACAGGGGATTCTGAGGGGAATCAGATCGGATCCCAATGCGTCTGCTTGCTGTCTTTGTTCAGTCTACTGTCAGCAACACATCTTCCACCTTTGAACGCGATTTCGACTTCAAGTATAGATGTATTGCGACATTGGCAGCATCGTCCAAATCGTTCTGGCCGTCTCAAATGGAGATTGTGAGCGCAAGAACAAGCTTCTGACGACACTCTCGCAACGCCAAGCCTACATACCTGACACCACTGACACCATTACGAATGCATACATCCATCGACATACGGAATCGTCTCAACGTACAAAACGTAGATTAATAACAGCAAAGGAGGAGGGATATCCTACTGCGTTTTGGTCAGGAGCACAGCGCCAGAGCAAAAAGATTAAGGTTGCCATCGTGGAACCTCCTTTCACCTAGCCACCTTGACCAATTTCGTGCAGTTTGCACCACAATAGCAAAAGATGAGATAGCCAAAAGGACGAGCTCCCCACCTGGTTCGAACAAGTGACCTTAGGATAATCGCAGGAGTCTGCAATCGCAGGGTTCTGCAATCCCACGCTCTACCACTGAGCTAGGAGAGCGTAATGTTAACGGTCAAAGGGTTCCGTCTGATCCGTTTTGATTGGTTAGTGATGTTTCAGACTATATATAACCCTACAAAATGCTCCAGCTGACTCGTTTTGATTAACTAACGAGGTTTTAGGCCGTATATAAGCTTACAAAATCTGGCGGTTATTTAGTACTAGGTCTAGTAGGAGACGGGTAGCCGCGCGTGCGGTCATTCAGATAGGCAGCCGCGCGTGCGGTCATTCAGATGGGCAGCCGCACGTGCGGTCATTCAGATGGGCAGCCGCACGTGCGGTCATTCAGATGGGCAGCCGCACGTGCGGTCATTCAGATGGGCAGCCGCACGTGCGGTCATTCAGATGGGCAGCCGCACGTGCGGTCATTCAGATGGGCAGCCGCACGTGCGGTCATTCAGATGGGCAGCCGCACGTGCGGTCATTCAGATGGGCAGCCGCTAGTGTTGTGGGTTTACAGCCCCTGAGAAATGGAGGTTGTGTACATCGTATATTATACTGGTGTACACCCATAGATACACATCGGGTATACCCGAATACCAGGATATCCGAGCAATATTAAGCAGCTTAGCGGGTTGTAGGCGGGATATTAGCGTATCCGATAACTCCGCCTTGTATATACATAACGAGCTCGCCTAAAAGGGTCGTATACATAGTGTATTACAGAGCGTATATACTATCTACAGGTTAGTAGACCCTATTACTAGCAGCCGCACGTACGGTTATTTAGATAGGCAGCCGCACGTACGGTAATTTAGTGCTAGGTCTAGTCTTAGATAACTCTAAGAGATAAGCAACCGCACGTACGGTTATTTAGTACTAGGTCTAGTCTTATTAGAAAATGTGCTGTTTAATTGCTACGCAAGCTAAAGGATTTACGACCTTACGCGGTATTAGTGCTATAATACTAAGACTAGGGCCTTAGGTACCTAGCATTTTGATTTCTACTAAGAATATACGAATAAGTAGCCGTACGTACGGTTATTTAGTGCTATAGCGTCTTCGCGCATCGGAGGGCTATTGCTTAATAGTAAAGCCGAGTTTTCAATTAGCCTAACCCTTACTAGCCTAGAATAGGGGAAAATCGATAGCCTTCCGATACGCGAAGACGCTATCCCCTATAATAACTCGTTAGCTATCGGCGTTTATCGGCAAAACAGGCATTAACCCCTACCGCTCTACTACGGCTAAATCCGAGACCCAATCGGACAGTATCGCTATTCGAGTAGTAATGCAGGTTTGTATAGAGCTATACCGGATTTAGCATAGAAAGCGGAACCTAACAAGGGGGGTAGGTATTCGACGGACTTAACTACGGACTTCGTTAAGGGGGTAGGTCTAGTCTTATAAAATGAGTAGCCGTACGTGCGGCTATTATTTAGATAAGTACGGCGCGTACGGTTATTTAGTAGCTTAAGCCGAAAGGCACCTTAATAGCTTAACCGAAATTGAACACCGTAGCGTTAAGCTCGCCGAAGACCTAATTTAACACCTCCGAAACGACTCGAAGGCTCGAATAAAGCGTAACGACCGAAGAAACTACTATCTTCCGTAAAGGACCTACGACTTAATATACTCGAAGAACGACTAGTTCGCGTAGAGGCCTCTTTACCGACTAGATATATTATGCCGCAACGACGGCAGTAAGAGACGATTAATATAGCCGCGAAGCAGTAGAAGGAGCTTCGCGCTTAGCAAGAGACGATTAATACGAAGAAGGCTACAAAGGACACGACGGAGCTATAGGCTCGCAAGAGAGAGACAATAACGACTTTACGTACTACGGCGCGACGACTACGCGCTTCTATACTAAAAGCTACACTACCGAAGGCACGGCAATAGCCTGCGCGTACTGCTACGAAGGCGACAACCTCCCTGCCCGAGAAGGGCTTACTACCTAGCTATATACGACCTATAACATCCTCGAGGACTGCTAAGACTTAAAGGAGTTTCTTAGCCTCTTATTAGCTGCTACTAGAAAGGCGATATTTATGTTTTAAAATATAACTACAAGGCTTAGTTCTTCTCTATAATATCTAAGAGCCTAAGGTAAGAAAGAGGGGAAATTTAAGACTAACGCGGACGAGCGTTTAAAGACTATTCGCCGACTTTGTAGAGTGCATTCTAAGATCGATTTTTAGGCAGTGTATAGGGAGGCATCGTGTCTTCCGCTCTACGCTTCTCGGCGATACAAGTTCTAGCATCGCGATAGCTCGGGGGTCATTTTAATTACTTCTAATTAGAAGCCGAGTCTAGATTTGTATATACGAATCCCCGACGAACAATATATACGTAACATTCTAAGTGCACAAATTCTAACTGTTCTTCTACTTAGCTCGTAAACAGATAACATCTTCGCATTCTCGTTGCAAGCTCCTCGAATGCTCCGGCTTATAACTGTTTACTTCGCTTCGCTCGGATTAAGCAACCTCGTATACTACTCGAAGAGATTATCCTTATCGCTATTATTATCCGACTCCTTTCTAACTGCTTTATTAACTTAACTTTGCATCTAGACATAGTAGTGCTGCTCTTTCAACTCCTAATTAACTGCTTATATACAGATGCGATATTCTCGAGTCTGCCGGATATAACCTTTAGGGTAATCTACCGTTCCTAGTATCGTAAATCTGTCTAGCAGGTCGAGCACGCTGTCCTACCTATTACCCTTATAAGATAAGACTCCTCTATCGCCTACGCTATATTCTATCGGATACAGAGTACGGTTTAGCAAGGATGCTAGACTTAGTATCCTATTCTAGTGTTTGTCTACCTTTAGGTTAGTCGCTAACAAGTTTCTCTATAGGTCTAACGGCTAGATATCTATAGATAGAATAATCGTAACGGGTATGCTAATTTTAGCAGTATCCGGACCTCCTACGTCCTAGAAAATTAGTCGGCGCTAAGGATAGGCATCTAGACGACGAAACGGGCCGGATTTGAAGTTAGGCCCTTAAAAGAATGTCTGTAAATGCTGTGTATAATAACATATTAGCACGATTTCTACCTCCGTATTAAGGTAATGTCCGGCCTTAGGAGGTTTGCCTATCCTTAGGTAAGTTTCAACCTCTGCCTTCGTCTAGCGATATCTTAGATAGCTAAAGTCTAAGATCTTGTAGTTTGCGGCAAGAGCGACAAGAAGGCCGAAACGTCTAACAACTAGTTAGCTTATGCATTATAGCTAACCGGGGAGGTACTAACCTCGTAGCGTAGCGTTTTATAATATTAGAGAAGAAGCGATTATAACTAGCCCTTAAAGCAGCCCGGTACTTAGCCTTCGTAGCTTGCCGGTTAAGAGCAAATTTCGACTTTTTAGACTTCTTAGGCTTTAGTGCTAGCACTAACGCTAGCGCTAGCTCTTCCTTAAGCACTCGTACCGGTCGCTACTCCGCCTTCCGCGGACTTAGATTCTCGCGGACGATTCTCTCTACGGCTAAGACCTAATCGCTGCTCTAATCTATAACGATGCGGTATTTCTAAAGATAAGGAAAGCGAGTGAAATCGACTATAGTGTCCGTAGTGCTATACTATTCATTAGGGATCTCTCTTTCCGGAACGAAAAAGAATTCTTATTAGATCTCGGGAGCACCTTTAGAGAACACAAACTGCATCTATATAAAATCGAAGCGATCGTATACCGAGAACTACTACCTTCGATTAGCCTTAGTCCTATCGCCGCGAGCGATAGTAACATTGTCTAATTTAGAGTCTAGAGCCTTAAGCTTAGGGTCGATTTTGTGTTAGATAAAGAATTGCCGCCCCTTTAGTCTTAGCTTTAGGTCGGCTAACGTAGGCTAAAGACCTACGAAGTCAGTTTCTATTGCAGTCCGGCTATTAAACTTAAGGATACGGTAGATTTCTATTACAACCTCGTATGTAGACGCCTAGTCCGTATTATCCCGGGGACGCAAAAATCTCGTCTGCCTTGTAAGATATAGGTTCTATTCGGGAAATAACACTCTAGTCTAGGGATTTACGTAAACACCCTCTCCTATAGCCGCTAGGCGAGCTCTAGAGACTGCTTCCTTAAGCAAGGATAGTAGCATACGGTATAGCGTACTAGTCTAATCTAGGCTAGCAGAAGCATAATATAGCAATGTCGAGGTACGGTAAAAGTTCAATTTGTGCTTTATTAAAGCGCCGTTAAAGTAAACGTAGGTATTATTCTTACAATCTATAGCCTCTTCTACTTGATAATAGTTAGGTATTAACTCTACGAAGGTTGGATCAGCACCGCAAATGCCGATATAGAAAGCAATATACCGCTGCTAAGCATTACTTGTAATGTATAATTGCTTATCGAGCTGCTCTACTACCGTGCTTTTAACATCGAATAGAAGAAGGTAGCTTTAGTCGTCGTCTAAACGTCTACTATACATGTTCTAGTACCGCTTAGCATAAGTCTAGTTAGGGTCGTATGTGTTAGTCGTATTAATAGCGCCGTCCGCTAATGCAAACTCGAACCTGCGAAGAATATACTCGCAAAACTTGAGGATAGAGAAGATATCGCCTTTATATAAAGACCTACGAGTGCTGAATATCCGCCGCTTAATAGCTGTTAATAGCTTAGACATGTTGGCATTAATGTTTAGCGCAAGTGTGTTATCGACTATGCGGACGAAGCAAGCTCGCTCTCCTAAGAATATACTATATAACTTTATAGAGTCTTTTCAATCACGCAGACACGTTATACGGTACGCTATACGGTAGGTACGGGTTATAATAGGCGCTTCAATTCATGCATCTAATTTATTCTGTACGCCCGTGCTTGTACTCTGCTTATTAATGCCTGCAAGATACTAATGTAGCTAGCTAGGCCGACATTGATACCTATCTCTACTTAGCAAGGTGCGACCCTAATTAAGAGAGTAGAAATTGACGATATATAGCACGAGCATAGGTAAAAGCTCGCACCTAACGTTCTATTTTAATAGATTGTAGAAAGTATACGATACTAGGAACGACCTACCTAAAATGTAGAAGATTGTATATAATCGCTGCCCTCGAAAGCTAGATTCGATCTATTCTTACTACGTCTCGGGTATTCTAGTCTTAGACTTCCTTAAAGCGGGACGTATTAGCTCTAAGAATAATTAAACTTAGAACTCTTTGTCGCAGACGAGCGTGTATAGAATGTCTTAAAGGGCGATACAGTTCGCGTATACTTTTATAAGTCGACTCGGCGAGGTCGATAATCTAAGTAATTCTATACGGCTCTCTAAAGTCCTATCTATATCGACGCGGCGACTGTATCGGTCTATACGCTTTTTGCTATATCGAAGCTCGACTCTATACTCCTATCTTCGTTCCTAAAGATAGTATCGAACGATCTCGCCCTCCTACAAGCTTCGGAAGGCTAGGAAAGCAACGAAGTCGCGCAACATTATAAACATAACAATCAGACGCCATCGACATCTCTAGCTACGGCGCTCGCTCTAGTATTCGATCCCTAAAAACCCGCACTTAATCCGAGTTACCTATATTACGGGACATAGGTAGAGTAGCGCTCTACGTA